CCCCCCCTAATTGATCGTCACGCGTGCAGTTTATGTTTGTAATATTTTTTTTTATTAATTAGAAATCGGAGCGTACGTACAGATATTTTCAATTACCATAACTAACGTAATAGTAAAGGTTCTCGCGGATACGAAATTTGGATATTGTCCTGTTGATGAAATTCAACGTCATATCAAGGTTCCACATGAAAAGTTCGTGCCCGATTAATGTACAATGCGCGTGCCATGAAATTTACTAATCGTTTGAAAAGTGCAAGTCCATTGTTGCCATTTCTTGTCGTATTAAGAAACATAATAATGGTTACACTTGGAATAAATATAGGAAGAGCACTTTCCATGGATGGTCAGGCAACCTCGTAATGACCTTGGTTACACAATAATGAACAAAATGTCTCCTTATAGTAGCCGCTTGATTCTTAGGTGATAAATGGACCTAACAGCATCCAGGCTTCTTATCCGAGAGGAGTCTTAAGTTACGTTGTGAGTGTATACCTTAGCACGAGTACTTAAGTTTAACTTAAATAACTTGAGAAAGTTTTGTCGCTAGAACGACAAGCAATGGAAGATCATGCAGGATGCGCTCAGTCATTCAAAAAATGTCAACACAGTAGGTACTTCGCACGCTTCTCTCATTTACTCTATCTCTCTCCCTCTCAATTGCTCATCAAGTTTTCTTTGTTTCTCAATCTCGATAATTTTTTCTTAATTTTAACTGAAACAACACTTTTTTTTTGATAATACATTATTTAATAGGCACGATAGACCTACTTTACCTACAGGGAGGCACACGAGTTTTATTTGGCTATAATCGAAGACGGCAGCCGCACTAATTCATCATTATTTATATATTGTTCACGATGGCCGCCGTCTGTCACTTCCATTACAATTCTCTAGAAGGTTCGCGAGGATAAATAGTGGGGGCGCACTAACCGGAAAGCCTTATAGAAGTCGCGAGGGACTCCTGGTATTCCTTCTAGCTCGATTTCTAATCTACTAGGAATGTCGATCAGATTCCGCTTCGTCGTTAAGGAAACGAATGAACGAGTCTTGATTATAAGTGGAACGAAAATCGTCACGAAGAGATATCACTGGATCACTTCGTCTCCCGACAAAGTCCGTTCCTTGCGAATCCGATGCTGCTGCTATCCACTAGATCAGTTCCGTGTATTGGACGGTGGGAATTTATTGGTGGGATCGCATCTGCACACGCAGCACGATGGAAAGAGGAACCAATCCATGAAGATGCCTTTGCAGTCGTTGTCAGGATCATAGGCGAGTAATCTGTGCCATTTGTATTTCTGCTCGCAGCCACAATCGCCGCTACATCTGTTGGTCCGGGTTTTTCTGTAAATGGATTTTTCAACGTTTCTCTTAGTCGATATCAATTAATTATTTCTCATTGGCTTCACTCCTTTATACATGACATTATATACTCACGAGCATACTTCCTGGTGAATGGCTTGCTCAAAATGTTGTGTGTTGACAATCGCGCGGATCTTACCGGCGCTGTTACTCGCCCAGTAGGGCGTCACTATTTCTACCTTTGATTCGCATGCGTCGATTCTATTAAACGATACATTAAATTAATATTAATTTTACTGTTTTATTATAATCTTATATTTATTACGATTCATATTATATTTTTATCTCTAACCTGCCGCTTTCGCTGCTTTTATTGTTCCCGAAGGACTGCCTCGTGTTTCTAGCCTTGCTGAAGAAGGAGTCTCCATCAGCATCCATTTCCGGATCTAGCTTCTTATCGTTGTCGATATTTGGTCCTCCGTCGGGCAGATCGTGCGCCGCGGAGGACCTCTTCCGGCGATGTCCTGCCGGTTCTCTCGTTGGCGGACCGTACTCTGTGCTCATTTCAAAATCACCGTACATCCTCTTCATAAGAGCCTTGTTCTCGTCTATGAAGCGCTCTATTCTGTCTCTGAAAATATGCAGAAGATTTTAAGGTTATTTTTAACATTTTTGATTCAATTTATTTTTTCATATTTTTTTTTAATGACTAACACGAGTATGAAACGTTCGTTTGGTAACGTTCATAAAAGTTTCATTTTATAAATGGTAAACATCGGAGAAATACGATCTCCTGCCATTACTCGCGGTATATAAAAACCCAGTGCATGATAGAGCGTGCATAACGCTACATTTTTTTTTCAGAATCCTTTTTCATCAGTTTATCGCCATCAAAGCGGATCTTATTGGCTTTACAGCGACTGAAACAAATAGCTCGGTCGCGACGAGTAAAATCGTATTCTTATTTGTCATTTTCGAAAGGACAAATAGCCTCGCGGCTATACAAGTGGGTTCCTATATACGTAGGAACCTTTAACGTTACAGAAAAATGTCCCTGGGGCTACATTTTACGAATTTCACGACGGTATTTCCTCCGAGTGACGCACTCGCCGATACGTTAGTTCCAATACGGAAATTCATAATGGCGTCGGATGATGACTTCGACTACCTCGACTTCCGTTCCTTGATTCTGGTACCTATGTTTTCCCCGAACATAATGACAATGAGATACTTTTTTTTAACTTACATGGGGTAAGTATTTCCAGCTGTTGGACAGAACAGTTGATGATATCTTTTGATACATGGCGAACCTCTCACAAGATCTCCTCGTAACTCGACGCCTAATGCTACGGACAAGGCCGTCCATAAGATCTGCAAATTAGTAATTAAAAATTTGATTAGATAATTGTAGATTAATATCGATTCAATGTGGAATAGTATAAGAACTGGAATTATTGTCAAAATAGTATCAAAATTGTAAATGGCTGACAAACCAGCAGAGATCTTATAAGCAGATCGACCTCGAGCATCATGCTAATGGCGAGCAGTCAGTTCCGAGTTTATCGACCTGTAGTTGATGGTTGTAACGCATTCAATTAAATATACTACACGTCATTATGACACGAGACAGGATTTATAGCAATGCTACTACTTGTCAAGTGATACGAGTTGACAATCATGGTGCCAGATTTTGCATAAATAAAATGCGTTTGTGGGTCTGTCTAATGGAATGAGATAAAAATTCTTTTATTTTTCTGTCTTCGAATTTGAATTTTCACATCAGCCTGTTGAGAAGGAAAAAAAATGTTGTGACGTCCACGAAGTTACTATGCAACACAAACAATGGTTTTTACCATCCTTTTTCTATCACTTCCCGCAATTTTAACTCGGTTTGGGCGAAACGTTCTTTAAAAAAAAAACGGAAATCCTGTTTCTCCTATCATTGACTAAATTTCATGGATCTTTCCTGGGTCTGTATACAATAGATGTCTGATTATGCATAGCCCATAATCAATCATTGAATCGAGTCGATTCGAATTCGTGACTCAAGTTGTCCTGGTGCACTTTCAAAAGTATTAGAAATATTGCATTAGAAATTTTCCGTTCACTTCGAAAGCTATTCTACGGTGAAAGTTCAATTGTAAAATTTCAAAAATATATGTATGATTGTCCTAAACAAAGATTCCTATATATCATTTGTACTGTGTATCAATGAATTTCATCATTTAATATACAGCAATACACGTGAAAAAACGTCATGCGTTTTCGTTTTGACTGTCAATAGGAACGTTCCAGATGTATTTAAAGCAATAAAGTTATTTAATATTAAAAAAAAATAATTATACAGTATATCAAATCATTTACCCACAAAACCGTGTCCATGACTGCATTCGTTATTACTTGTGCCCGCAGGGCCAGTCTGTTTTCAAAAGCACCACCTAGCAATATATCCACTGACACTAAAGATCCCGTATTAATAACCTCTCGTCACACATAAATCATAAACAGTCGATAGATGGATAAATAAAAAAATCAGTTCACAAAAAACTTCACAAAGACACAACAATACGCCATGTTTCCAGCACAACACTTAAATAAATTCCTGTACACCCCGTAGTGCCTCACCGAAAATCCTAGCACACTCTAACCACCAAAAACTTTCCCTCCTAGAATAAGACACGAGAGCCAAGGAAAACCCACAGTTAGCCGATAACATCCACACTAAGATTCCGGGTTCGGTCGGTAAAAATTTACCCAGAATTATCAAAGAAATGCAAAACCATCAGTCCTATCAAAATACACAGCACGCACTTCGCCCACAGTACACATAATGATTACCCGTTGTAAAAAGTTTTTAAAAAATTCCAAAAAGAAGCACAACAAAATTTACAACACATCATGATAATGATACTCAAAAACAAGTAAAAATGTAAATTCACACTCGACAATCAACAACAAGAGTGACGATCTGCCTGAAGTCAGCAGACTGAATGAAATTATACAAATTTTTCAAAACCATAACCTGCAATACCGACCGGTCGGCAACGGACGAGATACCATCGACTTAAAGGTCTATACTGAAAGTTGAACTAGCCTGTAAGGCCAACACCTTACATTTATTCAAAGGACAACATACCCTCACCCCAGTAGTCTTATCTACGTATACTCCTTCAAATTTGTCTCACTCTCTCTCACACATTATAGCTCAATAACGTCACGGAGCTAGTTTATCCAATTTCCCGTACAGCTGTAAGAAGAAGTAAGTAGACTGCCACTGAACGGTATCTAACGTCAGCTATTTGAGGCTCATTAACTCGAATACCTTTACCGGTAATTAAGCCAGAGGCAATATACCTAACGAGACTACAAGCACGTTGGACAATGCATCTTAAATACCGTATACAGTGAGTTTCGTAATTTACGAGAAAGAAAAATTATATTTAGTACATATCATAATAATTTCCGTAAACCTTCAAGAAAGACAAAAAACCGTTACAACGGAATTTCCATAATACCGGAAGTTATATTTTCAAGTGTCATTAACGTACCCTCGACCCACGTTACTCGACCAGGAATCATTGTGGGCGTCATTCAAGTCTACCTAGTCATGCATACGCATATGCCATACACTTCCTTCATGAATCATTACGCTATTGGGAAAGCTGAGTGCGCTAAATAAAACTCGATATTACGCAAGCTGTTATATGACACAAAAGAAATGCAAAATTAAAAAAAATTACACCAATTTTTAAAATAATTTTCTAAGACATTTTCCATTCACAATTTTTTTCACGTGCAATTTTTCCAACTCATGCATCAAGTATACGTAAAATGCATGTCAATAATAATCTTAACTATTTAAATGTAACGAGCAATGATCGTTACGTCAGAATTATTTTTAATCCATTTCCAAGATCAATGTTGATCGATCTTTAATCAAATAAATACCTGCATATATGAGTATATTAATGTATGTAAGGTTATATATATATATTGCAATAGCCACGCATACCTATTGTATATCTAAGAAGGAAGCCTATATTGAGATCTGGTTCTTTACCACAACTTCCGCGAATATTAATTCAATATTTGAATAGAGCCAAGGACGGTACTGATCAAAGCAATCGTTCACGCACGGCTTGACATCTGTACATATATATTATACAGACATATATATATATATATATATACATACATACAAACTGCATATATCCAAAGCAACGTAGACCCAGCGAAACAATAACGTCGACATCTGATCTTTATAGTAAATAATTGTCAAACTCGATAAAAAATCATTAAAAGACTTCAAGGAGTCTCGGGATTTTTATATTAATGATCGCAGTTGATTTTTCAAAAACGAACCGAATCGCTCTACATTTATAGATATATATATACACATATATACCTGTAACTCTATTTCGTATCCCCCTTTGTCTCCGGGACAAGTAAAATATTACGTGGACATTATAAAAGTTGGAGAAAGTTTCTTCATGATTTTGGTAGCGAAAATATATATATATATATATTCCTGAAGATACATACACAAAATAATTTTTCGGACGAAAACGTGCATAAGCACTACGTAATGATTGTTTTTGAATCAATGTAAAAAAAAAATTGCATTTTTTTCATACTGACAGATGAGAAATTCATCAATTAATCGATTATCATTAGCGTCAATCAACTCGTGGTAATTTTAATTGTACAATCGAAAAACGACTAATCGACGAGCAACGATAGTTTGGTCATCATTTGCGATTTTCAAGACTTCATTAATGACTATTCCTCGGTTCCGTTCTCCACGCAAGTAAATTATCGAATGCGTTCCTTGCCACTTTAGTCAGCGAGTATTTTTATACATTTCAATGGCAGAGTACGAGTGTCGACCGATTCGTGCTCATCTTGCGTATAAGTAACGACATTCATTTTTCGATTGGTTGGATTATTCGCCATCAAATGAATGACGAAAAACTTACTATTAAGTCATCCATGTTGATTGATCAACGTAATACCTGTATAGGGTGTATCATATATGTATATATATATTACGTATTAGGTGAGAAATACAAAACGACCCATCAATCTCCCTCATACTAATTCCCCATTACCAAGTGGGATCGATGATCGCTTCAAGAATGTAGCCTGAATGTAGTATACGAATGATGATTGGTTGGCATTGGAAGCAATGACTTTCAATGACTTTACGGTAAGTCATTAATGCGAATATGATATCTCGTGTTTTTGAAAAAATAATGATGGATACAACGTATGTCTTGATGACTTTTTTTATTAAAAAAAAATCATTGCATTTTATTGTTTGTATATGTGGAGAATGACTAACGAATGACTCGTACGCACTGCTAATAACGTGTAATGATTATTAGGTATGTAAATGAACTGCGTGGAAAATCATTGGACCGAAAAGTAACTAGAGTCATTGCATGCATAGTTTGTTAGGTTAGGTATGGATGCTAATTATGATGAGTGTATCTACTAATTGGACGGCTGTTGGTATAGCTATGGGTATAGTGTAATGACTGTACCTTATCTAGTGTCATTTTATTAATGGATAATGACAATGATCTCGCGAACTATAATTGTCAAATTGATATTCGCGTCAGTAATGATGAAATGGCTCCCTCTATTATTGATCGGTGAAAGGTCCGATCGACGATTGATTTTTTGACCTACGGTGAACACAGTCGGTAAGTACGGCATTGATTTAATGTAGGTACAGTGAGTCATCGGATTACTTCTTGGAGCGTCAGAGGGAAATGCTAAAATTTTTTTTATTCCATCGTACAATGAGGTGTGTAGTTCAAAATTGTAGAGAAATGAAAAAGGTAAATTATATTTTTTTTTAAATGTGTAATTTGTTACTCTTAGGTATAATCGTATCGTGAGAAATAATTGCTGCAGAGGAAAAAAAAGGTCCGTGTATAAACTCGTAGCTTTATTATAATTCGACAACGGGTATGGTCATTATCATAATTCCAGCTTCCAGTTTTCGCTCCTGTCAAGTACCGCGTGTTCGCTAATCCCGCGCGTTAATAATCTCCGGTAGGCGCACGAGTCATGAATTTAGCCAGATATAATTTAGCAGAAACCGAACGTACGTATTTGTCATGATATTTCGCAAGTAAATATTTCGCGAGAAATAAGAAAAGCAAACAAAAATTACGAGTGTAATGAAAACAAAAAAAAAATGAAAAACCTTAAGTTAACCGAAGCCATGCTATACGAAGTGTTTTGTTTGCTTTGCAGATCCTGCTCAGATGCGTGAAGTGCGTAACAAGGAAAATGACTAAAATTGTCAGTTAAATCGACCAGTTGGTACTTTTATGATCTACTTCACGGCTTCGTAGCCGTTTTACAGTCTCCGCAAAAGTTTAATACTCAAAGTGCAAAGTAATCAGCACACACGGCGAAGCCACCAGGATGCAACCCGGATTTCGCAAGATATTTTATTAGTTTAGTCCGAGGGTCGTTTGCGTAAAATAGCATTGACTACAAAGGCAGAAAACTCGAAGGTAAAAATATCTACTAGCGGCTGGACACCCAGCGCTCCGTAAAAGGGTGAGCAAAATGGGTACTAAACTGTTACCATGGCATAGGGACCCTTCGCCACGTAGAATACAGAAGAATATGAATAAGCAAAATCCTTGGAGATTGAGACACCTTGAATGTTGAAGATCAGGAAAGTGAGACATCGCGAAATGTCACGTCATCAGCTCCAAAGTCACCGAACGACAGTAACGTCCCTGCACTCTTAACATTTACCATCCTGTGATGATCGGCCGGGGCCGGGATGCCAGCAAACGAGTGTCTCGTTTCGTGGCGCCTTGACTTTCTCATTTTGAAAATTGGATTAGCTCGAAATCGTAACATCTCTCTATCAATATCCTTACCAAAGAGACTGAACCGCCATTGCCAGGTTGATCCCACGACTAAGCAAGACAACAGACTCGGGTATGGAAATTCAGTATAAATTCAAGGATGACAGAGCGAGTGACTTTAGCCAAGAGCAATAAAAGTTTTCACAACACCCTCTCTTTTTTTTTTTTTTTTAATAACCCGCGCTTACGGTACATGAGTTATGACATATCTGGACAGGTGTATTAGCATACGCCATAGATGGCCAGTGAAATTAAGAGTTTCACGCTAGCTGTTAACGCCCAGTAACACCTGGTTGGTCCAAGCAGTTAAGTCAAGATGTTCGTGACAGATTCAAAATGATCTGGTAGCATCTTAATGGCATCATACAACGAAACTGACCTCAGAAAAACTTCCATACCACGCAGTCCCTCTACTAGGAACGAATAAAAAGTCAAAGATAAAAATATTTCAAAAAATCTAAATTAAAACAAAAATCTAACGGGGTTTACAGTCACCGATGCACAATGATCGTCAAGTCAAATGAAAGGCGTGGAGTCTAGCATGCTGTGAACTTTACTTTCTCAGGTTCCCCGACAGCCTCTGACTAACAGACTAGTCAGCCGCTAGGTATTCTTATCCGAAGCGACATTTATTAAACGTATTTCTGTCTCCTGCCACGTAGCTAATAGGTCAAGAGGTTACAGTCTCAATGCCACTGTGCCGGCTGACCTTACGGTCAGTCCTGCCGAGATCCCATGGCGTCCACAGTCTATCTCACATTTATACGATCCATGCCTATAAGTAAGTAGACACAAACCTAACATGGACTTCCAGACTATATACATATATATAAGCATAAACACAGTCCGGGTTGGCGAAGATGCCACTCGAGATACATAGGTCATGGGTACAGTAACGAAATGCCACGTATATCTATAGTCAAGGTACATTGGCAGATACCGAGTCTAAGGGTTGGCCACCCAGTATAAAAAGCAAATTAAAATAGATGCCTATAAACAGTGCATAAAATTACCAAATCGGCTTGACTATTTCAAATAATAATTATCCAAGTCGAGAAGCTTGGCAAAGTGTTTACGGGTCCCACAGATTTGAATGGGACTTATAGAAGTACAAAAACAATAAAAAATTTCTCGAAATATCTTTACTCGTTATTGTCCCGTGTTGATGGCCCGTTAAGTATTCGCATACCAGAAGGTCAGGAGTTCAGCGATAAATCATTGGGACATAGGCGCGCCTACCCATGGCGCACCATTAATTCGAGTAGCCAATGTAACAACTCACGTGTTTCATAGGGAATTTGTTATTAGCCAGGCTGTTAGCTATGCATATGGATCAGTTAGCAGTGCTGCCACTTCGTTGGGATTAAAAGAATATTGAGTGCAGCAAGTATGGAGGTAGAAAGTGCATTATTGCATTATATCCTAGATGGTCGTATATTCTTCATAACATATATATATATATATATGCTGAGAAGAAACTGTATCCTCTGACTAGTGACTCAACCTGCGTATAAGCGCACTACAGGTATACCTATTACGATTACGTTTGTATCTGTAGTACAAAGACGAGATAGGAAAAAGGAGAGCGCGCCTGGGCCATTCTCCTGTCAACTATTAACCTTACGAGTCCTTTGTCTCGAGGGAAGGTGTCTTGTAAAAAGTATACGCTCCTGTGATTCAATCGGGGGACCTTGATGCTCGAGGTACGTGACTGGAATTTTCTTGGGTCAATGTCTTTTTTTCCTCTCTGCGTGTCTCTCTCTTTCACTGTATCTCAATTCTCCCCCGGGTAGACACCGAAGTGCCTGAGGACATATCGGCGAGTGATCTTTCCCACGGGGAGGACGATTGACTATTGGAAAATTGTTATTGTAAATTTTCATGCAATTTTCAGGACTACTCACAGGAATCTGTACGAAGGTCCCGTTGTTAAGCTGAGGATAGGAATAGAGCGGTACCACCGGTACCGAACCATTTTTCAAAAATATTGGTCCCTGGATCGGCGTCACGTGAGCGTTACTGGGAAAGTCTTGATCCTCGTCGTCGTAATAGTCATCGAAATCGTCATCGTAATCTAGGACAGCGTGGACCGAGGTTTTGGCATCGGGTCCTGGATACGCTTCGCTGTTGACTCTTGTGTACCTTGGGGACAAAAAATGAGAACGATAATGAAAGTGACATTAAAAAATTATTTAATTGACTGTATTGTATGCATGACACGTATTTTTCATGCTCGTAAAAATCATACTGACTTTCCATTTTGTTCCGTAAGATCGCAAGCGTCGTGGGTCCAACGGAACAAAAGGACCCAGTGACGATCATCGAATCGGTGAAGAAACACGTGTTTAGAATACAGACAGAACAGTTTAGTTATTTTGATTTACCCATTGGGCCTGTCCGGGTAGTTTTCACTGGGTTGTTCTCTGGCTTGAGACGGTAGAGCCTCCTGAGAATGATGAGGGTGGATCCTCTGCTGTTGTTCTTGAGGAACGGGCAGAGGAGCTTGAGGGGGCGGTGGTGGTCTCGTTTGTTGTTGTTGCTGCTGTCTGGGCTGGGTCCTCCTAAAGTCCTGATTGTAATTAGCGTATCGTGCATCCTGAGTAGACAGGGAGGCTGCACCATGTCCTGGATGCTGTTGTAAAATCTGATGTTGCTCCCGGCTCCTTTGTTGGGCATGTTGACGATGACGTTCTTGTTGCTGTTGCTGTTGTTGTTGATGACGTTGCTCATACTGTGGAGGTGGTATGTATGGCTCATTTTGAAAAGGCTCCTCGTCGTTGTAACTGGGTGCTGGTGGCGGCGGTAGTACAGCGTTTAATCGAAGATTATTGACAGTCGAATGTCCTCCCGCACCATTGAACAAAAATGGGGACGGCGAAGCCGTTTGATACGGTAGGGTAAAGTTCACTAGTGACATCTTTTTTAAAACTCTACAACCCCTTAGAAACAGACACGTTCCTTCGATGCACCGTAAAAGTCAAAATCACTTTGTATAAATATATGAAAAGTTGAAAAAAAATTATTATCTTACGTCCTAAGGTTCACTCTATCTCTCTCTCTCTCTCTCTCTCTCTCTCTCTCTCTCTCTCTCTCTCTCTGTTTCCCTCGGGAGAAAGGAAAAAATGCTGATAAAAAAAAATCCGCAGACTCAGAGCATCCTCTATACACAAGGAAGATGATCTCACTTCATAGCGACGCGCCACTTCGTAATCTTTCACGCTGGTTAATCGCGTCCTCGCTCTACAGATCGATGGCCACCTTCAAAAAGTTGCCCAGCGATCTCAAAATGGTCCCCAGCACGGTAATGATCTTGAATCAGCAGACTGGCCGACTCGGCATACGTCGATAGGAATGACGAAGACGGTCATAATGACGGCCACGTGGCTGGTCCGAAGCAAAGGTGTATATCCAAAGTGAGCGTTGCTTTTTAAATAACTAGCTGGTGAATGGCACCCAGCAGCAACAGCAACAACCAGAAAAGTAACTCCGTAACGCCTTACTACAAGATTGCAAATCTTGACGATCGTCAGATTATCGTGGTCTCAAACTTGTCTCCTTGTTCCTTCTGGTGCCACATGACTGGACAGACCTTCGATCCAAACTCCAGACTACAACCGCCGTACGATCTTGGCCGTTGAGACTCTTCTGTTTACAACACTCTATGATCCGTTACAGCCATATACAGGGATACGTTACGGATTCCGTAAGATGCTGACCCCACAGCGAAAGAACCTACAAAAAAAAAATAGCAAAATGACAAAAATTTTGGAAAAATTTTTTTTACCAAATTTGCACTTTTTCTCCATTTTTTTCAAATTCCCAAATTAATCCTATTTCCGAGCATCCCGATGTGACGCAACATATCGGGGCACGTAATTACCTTTGGCGGGTAATATCTTGGCATTTGAGGCTCTCCTAGGATCGACCACGTATAAACACGAGCCACGTAGGTGTTTGACTTGGCGCGCTCTCACTCTCCTTAGGTGTTAGTACTCGCGTACTCGCTCGTGACGGCCTTACCCAGATATATGCAAAGGAGACGCGACGCGCAACCCAAGGGAACTTTCTTTCGCGTTTGACGTTTGACGTTACCCGCTGGAATAGTCAAGAAGGAAAAATCGGCAACGCCACCGGCATATACAGGGTTATTCAAACCGAACGTACCACCTGAAGTTAGTCTATCCATTTGACTTGTACGTTACAACCGACTACAGGTGGTACGTTTTCTATTGAGTAGCCCCGTATTGGTGTATAGGAAGTCACGCAGAGACTCACGTATACGATTGCTCACTCGCTTCATTGCTTACTCACTTCAGGGACATCTTTGTGCGGGATGCGTCGCGGCGTTGGTAAACGTACGGAATTTAAAAAAAAATAAGGCAGCAAAGAAAAATTCTCGCAGTTTCACAAAATTAAAAGGATAATCGAAAGCCAAAAAAAAGATTACGTCGTCTCCATCACTAGAGGCCAAAAGACGTCTCGTAGCCTAGCAGTCAAATTTCTCGCTTTCGTCAGGTAGAAAGTCCGACTTAAACTGTAATACGTGACGGCAGATACGTAACAAGACACGAGACGTATGAAGCATGCTTCGATAATGAAAAAAAAAATCGAATAGCTCAAAAAATCAAACAATTATGACGGTAGTAAAAATTATATCGATGACCTGATATACTGATATCATATATCAATGAAAAAAATCATCCATAAGAAATAATAAACGCCATATACCTTGACACTGATCTGGATCTAATCCGTATATGTTCCTTCAGTATGTAAAAAGATTGTTAACGATCATTTGTATAATTAAAAATTATATATATATATATATATATATATTATAACTCCCGCCACAGTGTCCACCAAGAACTATACTCAAACTGACGATATATAGGTACAAGCCGGGCAAAACGATTTGCGCAACTTTCACTTTCCGGCGAACTATTTTCGGGAGGATCGACGCGCGCTACGTACGTTACCAGTATACACGTATATATGTATTTCGATCGGCTGGAAGCACAGCAGCTCAGTTAACCACAACTCGGATAACGTGAGGATAAATTTGATAAACAATTGTAATTTTAGTTAATCGTACAGTACGATACTTTAATAAGTGGCTGCACGAGTATCTCATATGGTATCTAGGAACCCACGTTATACCGCGTGCTCTTCGGGCACATGTAGAGTACGGTCGGTAAGGTAGTCGCGTAACCGTAACGCTTGGATGGCGAACGTCAACTGAGACTTCTGAGCAAGCTGGATGGGGATAAGACGTCTTTCAAGACTCGAGTTTGATCATAAAGAGTATAACATTCGTATATTCTCTTTCTCCTGTTCACTCTCCCTCTTTGGTAGGTATCTCCCCACCTTGTCATACAATCAGAACCACCTCCTTTGGTGTCTCTACCATTTGCCGGTGCCACACTGGTGTTCTAGTACTTGGCGTTATCTCCGCTATATCTATATACATATACAGAGAGATACAGGCATATGCATTGTCCTTCTGTAAACTGTTCTTTCTCTTGGAACCAATCTCAGAACTAATCGGCAGTCACTTTTGTCGCTCCCTCGCAATCTGGTGAATGCAACAGTCATTTAATTGTACGGACACTAATTAATAACCAGACAGTAGGAATTTTAACGTTCATATACATATGTATGTATGGAAAAATGAATTTTATTTTCGAAATTATGACTCGAAGGATGTTCTGAATTTTTCGTAAAAAATCGATTAGAGTTCAATTAAATTTTTTGATTATTTAACTTGTACTTTCACAAAAAAATATTTTTTATTGCTCCCACTCGACCTTATGAGGATTACGTAACGGTGTAATCGATTAGCTCGTTAATATCTCGTTGAGATAATATCTACAGTAATATGTAGTATAATGCATCCTAGTTACAATATGCAGTTACTACGTATCTCCCTCTCGTCTAGTACTGTCATAGTTAATCTGAGAGAGGGGAAGTTCTTCTCCTTTTCAATTTTTTTTTATCTCTTGCCTCACGTTACCTTTCATTTCAGTACCAGAACGAATGCTGGAGCAATTGGAACGCTTCTCGTCTGATCTCCATAGTAACCATCTAATATACATATACGTACCTTTGAAATACGTAAATATACCCAGTTGGCTTTACACACGATGCTACCGGCAGCCACACCTAGTCACGATAAATCTGAGGCCGCTTATTTGTCACTGAAAAAACACCACTTTGGCCATACCAAAAACTTACACTGTTAAAATGTAAAAAAAAATTTCATAACCCCATTTCATCCTAGCTAAATATAAATTCGCAATGGCTTTTTAATGCAGCTTAGCAAATGCTGAAAACTAGTTTTGATAAGTGCAAAGATAAGCCACCGTGAATGGACCAGTTTTCAATTGGTTTAAGGTACAGTGACAGATACCAACAAAACCAGATACTAAATATGGTCCTTGCACGACCGGACCAGGAAGCCAAGGCACGAGCGAGGTCTGACATTGAGATATGCATTGGAGCCATAATAATTTGGTACTGTCGCTGTTTTACCGGTAGCGCGTGCTAAAAATATCAAGCAATTATCTGATTCTCGTTATCGACGGTCAATCAGGGACTAATTATCAACAGTGATTGGACCACATTGTAAAAACATTTAATTCGTATTTACACAGAGATGCCTGGAATAAAACTGAACACTCCCGAGATAAACAAGTAATAAGCTGTCAAATCATCCGAGAAATGAGAAATGACTATATCGTGCTGTCATTTGGCGTTTCCTTGAGACTAATCGTAACCCGTGTTATGAGTCTAACGACGGAAGTCCATTCCGAAACGGAAGCCGAATGATCTTTCGATTTAACATACCTAAATTCAAGGCCAGTACATAATATAGCCATAGACCTCATACGTATCTACATTATTTTTCCATATTTGGATATACTGTGAGTATATCTGTATATATGACATACACTGTATATAATATCCTGGTGATCTTGTAATCTGCTGTCCTATTGGATACAGCGAGGATTCTCACGATCCTGAGTATTAATGGCTGATCGAGTTAAGGGTAGACCGTGTGCAATCCTAACTGCCCGTAATAAATATACTTTTACTTTATGACTCACGCAAAATAGGTTAAACGCTTCGCGACTGACTTCGACATCGTTCCCGTCGACCATATAGATATATATCCATATATAAACATATATAGATATATATATACACAATGGAAATGACAAAAATAAACGCCCACGCGTAACAATAAAATCTTTGCCTTTGATTAGTGGCTGAGCCTTACTTTAACGCTGTGTACGTATGTATATTTAAGACTATCAGGATGATACCGTGATGATGTACCGGGATGACTGGTATATACGATTGAAATGGATTTTCACTTAGAAATAGTGAACATTTACGTTCTGTAGTGATTCGCTGATGAATCTTAAGATTATGTCACTTTGGGGTTAATACAGGGTGATGGTGTCGTGATTCCCGGGTTTTTCACGTGTTGACGTATTATCATTTTTGAATGAAACTGTACACGGTGTCGAGTTTTTTAAAGGTGTAATAAGGTTGTAGCGATGTAATTTGACAAAAATTTCTCTTTTCCTAGAACAGTTGTAAACAAACAGTGTGAAACTATTAAGGACGATACTTGATGAAAATCTATTCATAATCGTGACAACTCTTGCACGGCTTATGTATGGTTGGATTTGTATGTTGATTAGGTAAGACAGTAAATAGAAATTAGAAATTTTGTAAAATAGGTAGTTAGCACACATCATCTGATATCCATAGGCAGTTACAGGGCTATCTGGTATAGAGATTAGGTTTGACTTATATAATAGGATTGATTTGATCGGTTGCCATTTTAAACAAAAATTATTATATAATGTTACGACAAAGATCCATGCTAATTAACAATGCGAAAAAAACTGTATTGATGAGATATTCAATCGGAGGTTTGTCGTTTGAGACAGATTTTTGGAGTTACCTATACCTGCCACGAGTGCGAGAGAGAGGCTCTTATGGGTAATTGCTTATGTAAGACAAGGACGGACATACTTTTCGTCCAATTTGTAGCTGAGTACTTTCAAATGATTTTTAATTTATTAATGATACTGGTATTTTTCATTGGTCGTTTACGGGTTCAAAAATTTTTATAAAACTCAAAATTTGTTAAACGTCATACCGAACTTTGAGTAAATAAAAAATTTGTTTACTCAAAATTGTATCCCTTGGAAAATAAAAGCTATGAAATGTAATTGAATTTTTTTTAAATAAATAATCCTATAGATATTCATGACGATACAGTCGCACGTTCACTGTAACGATATACTTAATATTGTAAATATGATTTACTAAAAAAAATTTTCTAATTAATTTACCACAGGTATATTGCAGACAAAGATCTACATATAATCCGTGATCCTTGATCTTAAAAGCGTTCGGGCTGATTAAGTTAGTGAGGTGAGCAGGCTTCCCGTTGGTTAAATTCATAAATTCCTCGACAAAGTTACAAGTTGTTTTAGAGACAAAAAATTCGTCTTTGACCACGAAGTATGCAACGTACTGAGATACGTGTGAGTGTACGTAAATATAAACGGACTAAGTGATAATTCACTCTGGGTATAAAGTCCTGGGACAGACGTTAAAAAACGGGTATTTCCCAGTCACGTAAAAACTGTAGATATCACAGAGATATCAGTCTTCATATTGTTTATCAAAAATTTGATTTCGCTGTTGTCATTTTTTTTTTTTTCTTATCGACGAATAAAAACAATGTGATAAACGCAATTTGCATTCACCTACTCACCGGGTTGAATTAATCGAACGGCCATGACGTCATTGGTGCACGGTCGATCATCGTTCGCGCTGTGAATTCTCCTTTCGATGTTTCCGCGAAAATTCGAAAGATTTCTGAAAATAGAAAAAAAAGAAATTTTTAAAAAAGAAAAGAAATTAACAAAATTAAATAGAAGAACAGTCGTACCTACGTTTCGCGTGGGGTCTCCCCTTTGAAATGACGGGCCCTTTGGCGCGCGGGTTTCCTTTAACAGGCCCCACAATGAAAAACAGCGCGATCTGTCTGACGATCCTGCGAACCTGAATCTCATATCCGCCAAATCTCCGTTGGGCCTTACATGTCCAGTGTATCTAGACCGTAAATCAGCAAGAGTGTGCCCCACTATTGCTCAGCTGTTCCCCCTTCGGTTGGGACTCAAAAACATACCAACGGTCCCTTGGAACTGGGTCTCAAACATACCCGCAGTCCCCCCCGGCAAAAAATTCAGGACAATACTGAATAATTAAGAATAGGGGCCCGGGGGGCAGGGGACTAAAAATCAACACCCGTGGGCCCAGAATGTTATCATATCACAACAATAAAAGACAAGAAATAAACTGACACAAGAACAAGATTCAGACCCACCCTACACATTGTCGCGTTCATAAATTCGATCTTATCGTCCAGGAAGCGTCGAGCAGTAATAATTGATAGATCGATCCTGGTTCATGGATCACACCTAATCGAGGCCATAAAGCACAATACCGGTTTCCGGTCCGCCGTCGATAATACATAACCTCTAGAAGTAGCCTATGAATCTTCTTAGTACATATGCATCAACTTAGAGGTACCAAAAATCATATTTCTCTTTGCTTATCATTTGTACGATATCACTATATCACTAAACAGATATCCATTCGGCTTAAATCTACACAACAAGAATTAGCGTCTATTATTCGATAAGGAATAGAAACTATCGCATTTCACTCCACCCACTATATCAACAGGAAACAAGGTCTATCAAAGCCCGGGGCGACCAACAAACCTATAGCCGTAAAAGCCTAATGTGCAAGTTACGTATCAGCTTATAGTATAGTTACACACATATAGATCATGATCCTGGCCTATTGGCCTGTAGCATATTCATCTATTAAATCGGTACCGACTCCCCATCGATACGGGCTGCCTGAATTCAACAAGATCCGTCGACAGACCACCAACAAATTCGATAGACATATGTACGTATACACAATATTACACATGACTTGCATGTATATTGGCATCTGATCCAGAAGTAACAAAAGTGACGGACAGCGGATAGACATGCCAACTTATAAGATATGGAGATATCGTGTACGTCGACATTCTTTAACATCTATTTCTGGCACACGCTCAGGCACCAACCCACCCACCCAACCCCCAATTCTGACTCTGGGAAATACCTCGATTCCCACCTACGCTTACAAAAATTACCAAACTAACACTTGTCTGATACGCACAACTATCAGCACAGACTGAAGCCATATTGAGTTATAGAAGCAATGAAAATTTCGTTTGCGATAATTATTGCTCAAGGTGTACGCTCGTGTGTGCTTTTACACAATCCTTATGTGTTAAGAGAATTCTCCAGGTACTGAATAGCAGAATGTATTATGACTATATGATAGTAAGGGTTGCGCAAGATGGTTGCCCTCCTAGGAAACGGGTTTAATAACTATCCCCATGAAAAATCCAAGATCAGCATTGGGCAAGCTGGGTTACTGAGGCAGCTGGTGGTAGAGTCAGGGCCTCGTTGATTATTCTGCAGAGACAAGTTGTGTGAGCCAGCTTGTAAGTTGGTTTCTTCATCCAGTTGTTGGTAAGACCTGCTGAGCAAGAAAGTCATTTTAAAAAGTATATCAGTCGGTAGAGAGGCGTCGTGACAATAGTTAATCTAGGTATTGTTCACAATGACCATGATAAGCGTACACGGCTGATACGTATAGCCCTGTATAGTCCATGAGAAAAATATTCGCATATGTATCACGCGTATTGTATCCTATGTATCCTAAGAATCTAGGTATTCTTTATAAAGCCATGATAAGTGCACACAGTTGATACATACAGCCCTATACAGCCCATAAGAAAATATTCGCATATTTATCATACACCTATGTATCCTACGAATCTAGGTATTTTTTATAAAGACCATGATAGGTGCACACAGCTGATAAATACAACCCTGTATAGTCCATGAGAAAAATATTCGCATATGTATCACGCGTATTGTATCCTATGTATCCTAAGAATCTAGGTATTCTTTATAAAGCCATGATAAGTGCACACAGTTGATACATACAGCCCTATACAGCCCATAAGAAAATATTCGGATATTTATCATACACCTATGTATCCTACGAATCTAGGTATTTTTTATAAAGACCATGATAGGTGCACACAGCTGATAAATACAGCCCTGTATAGTCAATGAGAAAACTATTCGCATATTTATCACATATATTGTATTCTGTGTATCCTACAAAATTTAAGTGTTGTTTATAAAGACCATGATAGGTGCACACAGCTGATAAATACAGCCCTGTATAGTCAATGAGAAAACTATTCGCATATTTATCACATATATTGTATTCTGTGTATCCTACAAAATTTAAGTGTTGTTTATAAAGACCATGATAGGTGCACACAGCTGATAAATACAGCCCTGTATAGTCCATGAGAAAAATATTCGCATATGTATCACGCGTATTGTATCCTGTGTATCCTAAGAATCTAGATATTCTTTATAAAGCCATGATAAGTGCACACAGTTGATACATACAGCCCTATACAGCCCATAAGAAAATATTCGGATATTTATCATACACCTATGTATCCTACGAATCTAGGTATTTTTTATAAAGACCATGATAGGTGCACACAGCTGATAAATACAGCCCTGTATAGTCAATGAGAAAACTATTCGCATATTTATCACATATATTGTATTCTGTGTATCCTACAAAATTTAAGTGTTGTTTATAAAGACCATGATAGGTGCACACAGCTGATAAATACAGCCCTGTATAGTCAATGAGAAAACTATTCGCATATTTATCACATATATTGTATTCTGTGTATCCTACAAAATTTAAGTGTTGTTTATAAAGACCATGATAGGTGCACACAGCTGATAAATACAGCCCTGTATAGTCAATGAGAAAACTATTCGCATATTTATCACATATATTGTATTCTGTGTATCCTACAAAATTTAAGTGTTGTTTATAAAGACCATGATAGGTGCACACAGCTGATAAATATAGCGCTGTATAGTCCATGAGAAAAATATTCACATATGTATCACACATATTGTATCCTATATACCTTCGCTGTATTAAATTGACTAAAGAATCTATTTCCAATATTATTAAATTCGGCTATTCGCCACGCTCCTAATATCAAAGTCCATATAAATCGGTCTGATAAAATCGAAATTCAAAAGGCACACGAGCCATACGTACCAGCTGTTATATAATCGATATATATTCTATCGGTTATATTGACAAAAGGCCTTAGACTGTTTTTATTAGTTCTTATACCTTTACACCCCAATAAGCAATGGTCGCCGTTCCCGAGAGTCCGGGTACGATTTTTATACTCCTTTACGCTATTAATTATCGTTGTTCTCCCGATGATAATTGATCACCTTGATAAAGAACGGCCGGATAGGGCGTGGTGCGTAGATCTGGCCACTGATCTTGCAAATTTATTATTATTATCGTCGCAGTCGATAAAATTATCATTCGCTCTCTCCTCGCCATTCGATTCTGTGTTCTTGTCTGTAAGGAAAAAAAAAAAAATACAAATTTTCCACCAAACACCCAGTTCGAGTAACAGCAATAGACTTTTGCACCGCGATGCATGAACGTCGTGTGTGTTCCGAACACGTTGTACAGCATGCTCGTAAAACCTGAAGGAGACTCACAATCGGCGCGAACTAGATGCCTCGTGTGCACGAGTCCGTGATATAGTCGCTCCGGTTTGGTTCCTTATCCAGGGAACAATGCAAGTCCTTTGCAATACCAATGGTAAGCTATATTCTGCAATCAGGCCTTTCCTTACCCTTGATGGAATATTATTACACTTGCGAAATACCTGGTAGCACCTGAAACTAGTCACTATATATTGATAAATAATTTTGCAATAGTTGCCAACTTCACGAATATTTGATTATTCATTTTTACTTATGGGTATTAAAGAAAAAAACTCGTAGTTAGGTATGTACTTAGCTACCTACTTCTGTATCTGCCTACCTAACAGCCTACTCAGGTCATCATTCAGGGATCCACTTGTCATTCATGAGTATATATATATATATATATATATATATATATATATGCTCTTCTGATGAATCATCATGAAGTCCGTTATATATATATATATATTTTACTAGTATATATATATATATATATATATATATATATATATATATATATATACGATCATCTCTTTAAAAACCAAAGAAATTAGTCCGTGTCGATCAGACACAATAATGTCAGAGGCAATGACAGTGGGAGATAAAAAAAATGGCATTACGCGGCCGGGAAATACGGCGAGGATATTTATAACGTGGGATTTTGCATTAAGGACAATAGGCTACAGAGATGTGACGACGATGATTCGCCAGTTTGAGATCCGTTATTAGAAAAGAAGTTGGTCCTCGGTCAATGATAAGGCGGGGGGTTTTCCTGAAGGAGCAATTCGGGGATTTCAGTAATGACTGGTAATTGGAAAAATCATGAGTCATCGCTAACGTATAGGAAATTGATCCAAGACTGTATAATGACTTTCATTAATTCAACGACGACGAAAGATCCCGAGTTTAAATATTTAGCCTATTTCAGGTACAGAACGTATCGGTAGAGTCTGGTTCAAGTCTGACTGAAGTCGCTCGACCTGGGCCTTTTTCATTTTTTTCCTAGACTTCTCCTATAATTCTACAGCATTATACAAAGTCTAGCCTCAGTGTCACACAAGTATGACACATATCTGGATCAATTATAAAAGAGATCTGCATAACGAAGTAAGGTAATTCACAGAAGTGTTCAACTAAATTAGGCCTATGCTGAAGTAAAATGATTATTGTACAAATTTATGCCAGTTAGACTTGTTCTGGGAATGACAAGTGTCTTTGATCTGTGCGAGACTTCGAAGAAAAACTCTTATAACTTAAACCAAACCTGCAATACTTATTCTAGACGTATCCTATACACTTGCCAGAGCAACCGTTTTGACTCGGGGAGATAAACATTTGACTGTGTCATTCTGTTCTGTGAAATCGACAGCAATCGGTCGGTCAGTGATCACGTCGCTGCCAACGAGCACTGTCAAACCTGTTTGCCGTTTTGATAATTAGTAATACCCGTAAGATCAGCGATAATGACCGCAAGGCTGGCACCTTAGCTCCACTTTCTTGTACAAGACACACAATTTCTAGGATAATTTATTATCACTAGAATTCACGGGAACTATAGACTTACCCGTAAATTGAGCAATGTATGACGTACTAGGGATATAATAATAATCATAACGACACCAGTGAACGGAAGGGTTTATCACCCTGACAAACTTATACAGCTTTTTAAATATTCATTTATGCATACTAATCGTAGTATTTTTTTCTATCAATGTTCACCCAATCATTCCAATCAGCCTTCTCTCGGTTCATTCAGATTAGCATGAGACGCGTACAATGAGTTATCAGCAATTTATATCAAACGCCAGTTCAGTTCGGCATAAGCAGATTGGATGGTAAAATCCACCCCCGTATATCTAGCTCGCTAAAAATCTTTGAGACAAAGTGAAAAAAAATTAAAACGTAAAAACCATACAAATTATGGCCGTTTTTTTACACCTCTCAGAACGACTCGCTACCGCGAATCAGGACGGTAATAAAACGAGACTTCCTGAAAGTATTAAAAAAAAAAAAATTAATCTTAGATATTAGTCGCGATTAACGTCCTGAGATCATGCAGGGAAAACCAGTTGACTACACATTACAATTGTCAATTGAACTAGCTGCGTTTCAAATGCAATAGGGATATATATTATCTTAGACAAATATATGCAACCGGAACGCTTTGAACGGCCTTAAACGAATCTTACACATAATTATACATTGTAAATACATATGCGTAATATACTCTGAATCTGAGTACAGACAAGAACTTATTTCATACCACGTAATTCTACATAGTCGTAAACGACAATTCGTGATTCACGCATTGGTATGCGCAAGAAACGCTACAGGAGAGTTACATAAATTACTACATAAATTATTGGGACTCGCATGTCTGTCGCAGTAAAATTTTTACATAGCATAAACGTCTATTCGACAATTACATGTCAAAGAAACGTGATAAATTAATATTAGCAGTCCCATCTTGTCCGTTCACTATGAAATCCAGAGTTAACAAAGAATGCGACCGCTCCCTTACCCTAAAAGTACAGTATGGGTTCTCATTGTCTATCCTCATACATTATTGGTAAACCTGGTATCAGTATACAATCTCAACCACTTGGGTATTCATTTTTAATATAATTTAGCGTCCCGTCCAGGGAGAACGACTGGTCTGTCAATACGGAATCCTTGTTCGGTCTTTAACATACGACCATGATATGCATAAAGTGCTAGTAAACAAATGAATTCCGATACGAGACTACCAAATGTATAGCTACGCCTACGCGAGATCGAATATTTAAGAGAAATTCCATAGGAATGTATCCTTAATGTCGAATCTTCGCAAGAAGATATTTATGTTCACCCGCTTTATACACGAGTATGATTTTCAATACCAGGACGAAATATAACGTTAATTGAAGAAAAATTCCTTAATATATATACGTTGACTAGAAAGATTGTATTTGCGCATGTATAACTTTATATAGTGTACTTCTATCAGATTCAAAAGGACCTATGTGACCATGAGGACCACGCCCGCAATTCCGGAATACCCTTGTAAAATTATTTCTCCGTGACACGAGCCGTGTGCGTGCACGTTCTCTTACAGATATGTCTGTATACATAGATACGCTCAGAACCTGTGAACGTATTGTCACGCTAAGGACATAAGCATAAAGGTATAGCGTGACGGACGGGGTACAATTTAACGCGCACGCAAGGAGACAGACATATTTTAATGAGAGACAACAGTCAGCGTTCGCCGCTCTGAACTCTAAGGAGACAGAAACAGAATGTCGACCACGCCCTGGACTCACTGGCTGAAACTACCTGAAACCAGCCTGACCATCAGAAATGGTCCTAGAAATTGTACCATTAGACGCACGTACTATGACAGAACGTATGAGCTGATATATAAATTGAATTTTTCTAATAACACAGTGCAAAGCATAAACGCTGGTTTCGCTAACGGCGATAAGAGTCAAAAATGAAGAACTTAGTTCTAATATTATCTTATAAAATTTAAAACCTCTCACAGACGTTTTGTGTGGTAAAAGACAAATGGCATTTACGATCGTTCGATTATTGAACCAGAAAAGGGCCTTGCCTCCTGGTAAGTGACATTATGGACCGATTAAATGATGACGATAAGAACGTTCGTGCGACCTGTTCTTTAACCTGACATTATACCATTTCGTGACAGTCGGTAACTTCACTTGGTTACATTAGAGACATTGCAAATTATTATAATTAAATAGAGTTCGTTTATATCCACCGGAAATACCAGGTTCTCGCCACCGACAATATCTCTTTCGCAACGAGCTGTAATCTCGCGTTTGGCAATTATAAAATTCACATTACGACTACGTGAGACGGATGATTTTGCAATCATCGTTGACACCTGCGAGAAAGTGTGCCGATTTAGAGCGGCTACTGTGATGAATTGGCGCACGCACGAAAATAAGAAAAAAAGAGCCTCCAGTTCTTCATAGTGTCGCATTCGGTTTTTCCTCGTGATTAATTTCACTAGTTCTGATAATAAAAGAAAAATACGATTCTACCAAGAACCATTAGATTCCCTATTTTCCCTTGCGGTATTTATAGATATCTGGGCTTGAAAGATTCATTAGATTTTAACGAGTTGCCACACTGCCAGGATACACGCTGTTATTATTTTCTAATGCTGTAGCCACTAGGAGTAGGAATGTATGTAACAGACTCAGTTACGAGACTTAGGTCCCAGGAGCAGATCATTGTAATACCGGAGTGATAGCAGTTGGCCTTCGCTAGCGGGGGAGTGATCGCGTTATACCAACTACCAACTATCCACACAGTTGGTACAGCGTTACATACTATAAAGTACTCTCTTGAAAAAGCAAAGTAACGTAGGACAATGCGTACAATCTGGTCCAATAGTCTGTTAAACATTAATTATCATTGGCGTCAGCCATGCTATAATGACTATGAAAGAATTCTTTCCTGACTTAAAATAACTGATATTAATAATAATTAAAAATAAAATCTTGTCTCTTCGGCTATTGCGCAGATCTTCTCACGTCTGATTTCGTCTATTTATTTTGGATGCATCTATCAAGGATTGCACAAGGCACTTGGGAGTGGACCTGGGAAGACAAATAAAAGATCATTAAATGTATGATTAATGGCATCAGATTGAATAGAGATGTAAATATTAAAAAGTATTAGAAATACAGAAAAGGAAACATATAGGAAATTGATAAACGAAAAAAAAAAAAGTGATTGTCACGTTACCTGACAAAAAGCTTGATTTCCTCGAAATTCAGTAATGATGACTGACGTTATAAATCATAAATTAATATACGTCTTAATTTCGTACCAGAAGCCGGAACCAGGAAACGTGAACGACGAGATAAGACGCTTGTAATTATGGCGGCATAACACAGATACACCCAGTTCGTATCCTTTGCTTAAGAGACATGTTCCAGGAGATGGCTTACGTAGAGAATTGTCCATGGCACGCCTTCCGGCACCTGCGACAGTTTACCTGCGTTCACTGTGGGCTATTATGATTAAGTATTTATATATAGATTAATACATCGCACGTATACTTACGCTTACGATCGCGTCAAAAGAATCGCCATCAGACAATCTACAGAAAATCAGGAGACAGGAATCATTAATAATCGCGCGACATTGTCAATATATCTTGGACAGTCGTCGATTACGCTGATAATGAGTTAAGGGAAATTCATAAAGTTAAAGTAACGTGGATGAAAGGGACGAGGCCAAAAAAAGGAGAGGCCTAGATCAATTCTTGGGATCGGTAGATCCCAAGAATCTCGAAGGCAATCGAGAGAAGCCGGATGTAGATGATAGCCTGGAAAAAGGTACGTAACTTAATAGTTCAAAAAAAAAAAAAAGGATACATAAAAAGAGATCCTACTTCCGATATGATACATAATAATAAATGTAACGTGTTAAAGAAGACAACTTTTTTTTTATTCCATCGCCATCTCTTCGGGTCGTTACAGTTTTTGTCCCTTATTTTTTTCAAATTTTCTTCGTTTACAAAATATAAATATACATGTACTTTCGATAGATTTCTGCGGATGCACTTTTTTTTTTCGTTTTCTCTTAGCCGTGCTCACTCTTTTTCTTTTCGTTCTTTTGCTACGAGCTAAGAATATTAAATGCTTTCTGTATTTCTCTCTCTCTCGCTCTCGCTCTTTTGTCCCCTTTCCCCCTTCTTTGGGCTCGTCCTTCGCTCCTGCACGTAGATATTACCACTTCTAGTTTAGTCATTAGTTTTATCTAGCTGCAAATTAGGACTTTTCCATTATTGTTCATTAACGTTCTTTGTTTTTTTCGCATTTTTTTTTTTTGCTTTTTTTCTCCAAAAATTGTCACCAATCGTCACGATCCTTCAAGGATTCTATATTTTGTTTTCCTCCTCCACTCCTTTTATTCTACTCTCCTAATTGTAACACCGTCTCCCTGTGCATTCATTTACGTCACACGTTATTATTATTATAAGCAGACCCGTCAGCTACGACCAGTACGAATTCAAAATTGACAAATGCACAATACAGATTTCCTAAATCTATCGACTGAAACGTTCTGCGTGTTCCTAAAAAGAGCAAAACATATTGGAATTTTTCACAATTCTATACCGGACCCGTGAAAGGTTTTAAAAGTAAAACTAAAGAATAACGAAAAAAAAAAAAGAAATATATACAGAAAATATTTATACGTATACACTTTTCTACCAATTAAAGTTTCTAATAACAATAGCGAAATTCTAAGGAAAGGATTCACTAACGGCTAGTAGAGGCTATCGTATATTATTTGTATGTACAATATATATATATACATATATGTATCTATATTTTAGTAATCAATTAATAAAACGACTTTGAGACACATCATCTATTACTTGTACGATCCTTGTTATCACAATATTACTAAGGATTTTCTAAACACGCCTCTCTATTATACAGTATTAATTTATTATCCTCGATTCATCATTCTTCGACACGAACGGGTTTTGCGATATCAATATAGTAACAGGTAACAACGTTCTCCCAAGTACAATTATAAGTAGAGCTCGATCGGTAAGTATCAATAGTAACAGTGAGCGTAAAGTGATAGTGTAGGCGAAGTTAATGATAAGCAAAAACAATCCATAACTCCATCAGACTATTAATAATGTAATGACGCGTTACCCTACAATGATTAATTTGAACTTTCTATATTAATCCGGGCACTTGAGTTTTTTTGAATTTTGAGTATTCCTATTCCCAATGGGATTAACGTCACTGAAGGTTGTTTCAAATTATATCCTAAGAAAGAACAAGAAAATAAATAGATGTAAAATAACGATGGAATATCGTTTTTGTAAATGCTGGTTTTATGGAAAAGAAAAAAATAAAGGTTAATAAAATTAGAGTAATGGGACTTGCCATTGCTCCAAAACAGTTGAGATTGGAAGATATTTTTTAAGAGTCATCATTGTCACTCTCTTGTTCCTCCCGAGATTCTTCCTCCTTAGGAACCGGTTCAGGATTTCTATCAGAATTCTGGGGCATCCAGGGCGATAGCCATTTATTGACAAACCACCAATGGACGGAGACCCTACCATGCTGACAATCAGCTTTCTCACAACGTCCCAGGAACTGATAAACACCGGCCGAGTTTCCGGTTGGGTTCCTGATACAGGAATCGTCACAAGTATGCTGACGTTCTGCTGATCGATTTACAGGACACACGGAGGCGTTTGAAGTGGAAGGATTGCCGGAAGTACTGGCTATAGAACGGCTGGTTCCGGAAGTGCACGGATCGCCATTAGAATTGGACGTACTCGGATTCAAAGTAGACGCGCTTGAATCCGTTGAATTACTTCCGGCTGCTAAATTGTTTAATCCTGCTACACAGGACCTTTCGATCCTACCTACATATATAGTGGGATTTGCATATAAAGGATTATTCACAGTCTGAGCAATAGCCGCACGATCAATCCTGCCTATGTAGATTGCTGGATTTGAAGAGGAAAGAAATCGATTTCTGCAGGTGCAGTTTGCAGAATTTCTGCAATGACAATCTCTTCTGAACGATTCAGAGAGTCTGGCTGAGTTTATAGGAAACCTCGCATACGGCGATTCGCCACGGCAAAAGGCGCACCTGCAATTTCGCGACACTTGGTATATGTAGTGTCTGGAATTGCCAATAGTTCCTGTGTTCCCGGCATCCTGATACCGCAGTCTATCGTGCATAGTGTGACAATAGTGGCATATATATCTTGCGTCAAGGTGCCTGCAAAACTGGCACATACAATTATGTCCAAGTTGGTAAATATATCTTCTGTTGGATGTGGAGGCGATGTTCTCCGTCGAGAAGCAATTCCTACCAAGTCGACCAAGACGGCTGAGACACTGTTGACTAGAGATACCCCTGGATGCATCCAGGTAGACGTTCCTAGGTTGATCGTACTGACCGAAGTTCCTGGAGTCCAAGTCATGAAGCGCACTAGGTCCCGGTACATGGGGATTATGAGAATTATTGTTGCGGGAATTATTAATACCACCCCTGTACCAGAATCTGTTGTCAATCCTTTCGTAAGTATGATTATCCTCGCTGCGGCAATTGGCAAAGTTATTAGGGAGATTACGCTCACTGACAACAACCTCGTCGTCGTCGTCATCCAGTCTTTCATAGATATTCTCCTCGGGTTCCTGCTGAAGCTGACGATCACGGTTGTAGTTACGTATCAGATCCACAGGGTTTTGATAATTTGGATTGAGGTTAGGATGATTTTGTCCCAGTGGACGATTCTGATAAAGTCTATGCACCCGTCCTGTATTCTGATATCCTTCGTCACCTCTGTCCTGATTCGACGCATTCCTGTTCTGATTCATAACAACCACTGCCAATTCACCGTTCTCGTACCTTTGACAGAGACATCGTGGACCCTCACAATCATGACTACCACGATATTGCTGAGGAACATTCTGGTCGACGTTCTGGAGCTGTACACCGCTGGGCCCAACTACCCGTAGTGGCTCTGATGGCTCAACATCCGGGTCGTTGCTTTGCTCCGTTACATGCCCAGCGGTTTGCAGCCCTCACATTGTCATAGCTGCTGTCAATGGCTTCTCGATGATAGCGACACCAGCATAACTACGTCCGATTCCCATACAAGTTGGCAGCGTCGCCCAGGTATCCGTCCTGGGTGAGTAAACTTCGACGGAGGCAAGATTCGAGGAACCATCATCCCCACCAACGACGTATAGAAGTCCGTTCAATGCCACTACACCTGTAAGCGAGAATTTGAAAAAAAAAATAGAAACAAGAACTATAAAACTGAGTAATCTCATGAGTATCTAAATTAAAAATAAAACATGAGTCCAGGATATCTACCGGCATTTCTACGGCACAGAGCCATATCGCTGACCGGAGTCCATTGTGTGGTTTCTGGATTAAAGGCCTCAACGCTTTTCCTAACAAGGGGTCCGTCGTGACCTCCGACTGCGTATAAAATTCCATCCAAAACGCCTACGCCAGCGCCGCTCCTACGTGCTGACATTTCCGGAACTGGTTTCCACTGATCCGTTTCCGGATTGTAACATTCAACACTGGATAGACACTGCCTAGACGCACCATCATAGCCGCCGACCTGCATGACAAATAAATATCATGCATGATTTCTTGCCTAGTTTGCTATTACTTGCACTGTTGCCAATCCTATACGTACAGCGTACAATAATCCTTTCACTACGCCAACGCCAACACTACTGCGACGTGTAGACATTGGTGCAATCATTCTCCATTCGTGAGTTCTAGGATCGTAGACTTCAGCTGTATTAAGACCCGTAGAACCGTCGAAGCCACCGACCTGTACAATTATTTAATACCGTTTAGAAAAAAATTCGATACAAATGACACATGAATCACGTGTCCGTGTTGCAATCGACAATGACGAGTTTGCCTTCACGAAAAGAAAAATGAAATGAAAATTTTATAAGCAAAACCATACGGCGTAAATGCAATTGCCAAGTGCCGCGACGCCCAGCGTCGATCGTCTCGCCTCCATTCCTGGACAGGCCGACCACTGGTCGGCAGAGGCATCGTATACGTCGACCGTTCGCACTCTCAGAGATCCATTGAAACCTCCCACCGCGTATACGCGACCGCCAAGGACGGACAGTCCTGCGAAAATAGATGCCAGGTCGAGATACTTAATGCAGGTCTCAGGTAAACATTATCCTGCAGGTTATTATTTTTAATATTAGGTATTATATTCACCAGCTCTGCAACGACGCGTTGGCAACTCTGAGACCTGGTACCATCTTTCTTCCTTGAAGTCATAACACTCTACACTTCTGATAGCCTTCGGTGCTTGTCCACCCACTACCAGGAGAAGCTTGGGCAGTCCACGAGGTTGTCTTGGTTTTGTTCTTGGTGTTTTGAACAAGGATTTCTGCTCTCCCTTGAGCAAGTGATACTTCAGAGCTTCTATTAAATAGTCTTTACCTAAAGATGAAAATATTTTTCTTACCATGCTGTATGCGTGTGTAGTTAGCAGATCAACTTCCAGCAGATCAAAAATAAATGAGAATTCTTTTTGCATGCAACTGAGTTACACAGTTCCTAATATATTTTAGTAATAGTTCTTACGATTTTACCCAAAAAGCCAAGATTGAAAAAATGATCTGCTAACTTCCCGTGCAGATCATTATTTTCAAAAATCTTCGGATTTTATAGATTTCGACGAGATTTAGAGTTCTAAATAGTCAACATGAATAGTTGTGCTCTTAAAATTGCACACAGAAATATTTTCATCAACTTACTTCGAATATGTACAAAAATGATCTGCTAACTTCCCATAGCAAATCATTCTTTTCAATCTTGCTTTTTTTTTTGGGTAAAATCGCGAGAACTATTACTAAAATGTATCAGGAACTCAGTTGCATGCGAAAAGAACTCCCATTTATTTGTGATCTGCTGGAAGTTGATCTTGCTAACTTAGCACATATCCATGCTGTCTCTCCAGAAACTGTTGACGTCATACAACGCACCGTTAGGTTAAATTTGTACTCACATTGTAAATTTGCTTTCAAGAGAGGCTCGTCCTCTACTCTTTGCACCAGATACTCCTGGGAAAGTAATGGTAGACGGACATGTTCCATTAATTGAGCGAGATAATCCTGCCGCTTTTCTAGGTCATGGTGCACCCAGGAGATAACGCATTCAAAGACCTTCTCCTCGGATGGTACAGTGAGACGATCACTACATATTAGCTTCGCTACTTGTTGTGACGCCAGTGTCAGAAACTCCTCTCCTTCGACGACCTCTCTGGAAAGAGTGATATGTTATAAGCTTTATAAGAATCCTGTAATTCCTAGGGGATGATGATCGTCCTTACGAGAAGTGCTGTTCGATGTAACTGTCCGCGTGACCAAGAAGTTCTAAGCATCCATGTAGATCAGCGAATGCACGAATTCCTAGACAGTTTGTAGGATGGAGCTGAGCTTGCAGAAAATCACAACAAGCATCCCGGACATCTGTTAGCTGGAGAAGATTTGCTGCTGGCAATAGAACCTGAACATTGTCTTCGGTTACATGGACTTCAGCTGAATAGACATACTCGACAAGCAGCTCTAAGGCAGCATAATCTACTCCTTGTAAGGTGATACGTTCTTGGTCCCGCTCTTCGAAGCTCGTGAACATGGCATAGAAATAGGGACTGCATGCTGCCAAGACCATTTTGTGGGCTGGTACTTCCAAACCGCCATCAGCCACCAATATTACGTCGCAAAGTAAATTTTGTCTATGAAATTAAATCATTGACATGAACTCCTAACACTTATATTCTAATCTAGACATTTGAGAGTTAAGGGACTCTGACTATTTTTCCCTTTTTCCCAGATACAATTACATTATTACAAATTAAAACATGGTATACATCAAACTAGTTGAAATCACAAAGCCTGTGGCTATCTTGAATAACGTATAAAAAAAACTGTGATTAACAAAGGTCATCACAAAAGATCAACTATTACATCCAACTGATTAATGTAAAAATGATTAATAGATCAGCCAGAGAAGAAATAAAGATTACTAACTTATAGTCACGTAGTTATTTCAAAAATACTGTTATAATAGTTACAAAGAAATTACATACTTTCGCATTGCATTGATAACATCAAATGCTCTATTGGTATGATGATGACTCCTGTACGGTGGTTTATCCTTTCCATTCTCTCTAGGTACATGCTTCTGCGAGCTTTCATCCAAGGAATTCTGACTGGCATATCGGAGTAACAGACAGCTGAAAATGAAAAGTCATAGTGTCAAACATCAAACATATGTCTGTCAATAAAATTCAAAGGACTACAGTATTAGTACTAATAGTTCACAAACTGGTACCAGCGATGACTGAAAAAAATAGAGACAGCCAAACAATAACATAGAACTCTAAAAAAATATCATAGTTTCACATTCACTATAGATAAAGGATAAAATTCATCAAGTACACATTTATGCTTTTCGAGTTGCAATGCTCACCTGCCCTTGTTTTCATTGCCATCCTCACTGCCGTTGTTGGCGTTCTGATTTTGACTCTGACCCGTCGAGTCCATTTGTGGGTCGTTTTCTAAAGAGGACCACCGTTTCGGAAGTCACCCAATCAGGAACAAAAATCCTTGTCCACGTCTCCTTTTTTACGCCAATATTTGATCCACAACAGTACAGCCGTCACCGTTGGACTCTCACCGTAAAATGCAGGAAAAGAGCGCTTGAGTGTCGGACTTTCATGATGATGGCACGTACTAAGCGGAATTTCCGTATTACCCAGTAATTACCACGAGCAACGCATGGATCAGTTCTTTCTATATCTCGAGCACTCTGCCAATCGCAAGCAGGATTACGGCTGAGAAACTGACAGTACGTCCAAGTTGCTGCAATTCGATACGTAAACAGGAGGACAGCGAGACAAACTTCACCCAAGAATAATGTTTCATTCAGACGATGCTCTCTTTGATTTTCTTAAAGAAACAAAGCGATACCACTGCCACCTAGTATTGTTATTAAGTATCTAATTATATCAACAAGTTTAATAACTCTAGTTGCTTCACTGCAGGTAATTGATACCGACTGTATCTCAAAGCTATTGTAAAAAGTAATAACTTTAATAAGCTAGGCACGTACACTACTTATCACGTCTATTTTGAATATATAAATAGCAAGAAAAAGAGAGAAGTGGCAAGGACACGCGGTGTTCCCAAGCGGTCACCCATCCAAGTACTGACCGCGCCCAACGTTGCTTAACTTCAGTGATCGGACGAGAACTGGTGTATTCAACGTGGTATGGACCTTGCTGAAAACATTGAGTCATACTATTGTTCCTGAATAAGATAAAACACTGGCCAGTATTATAGTCTATACCAGTCAAATCGATATACAAATTGCTTACAACGCATAAGCGTCCTACGTAGATACTCATATACAAATTTTAAGCGTGAATATTAGAATTCTTACATGTACGTTAAACCCTTACACACAAAATAACGTAACGACGTAGCGTAAGGAAACCAACCAATCAGAATCTAGTACTGTCCCCTTGAGTGTAAGGTCTTTAATTTACATACTGCAACCTGCAACCAAAGCATTCGACTGTTGTGCCATCTAGCAAATTATTTAAGAACATATGTATGTATGTACATACATCCAAATTAACGAATAGGTTTTATTTTCAATTTCATAATAAACCGTGAAAATTAAACATGAGCAGCTGAACTGCTGAACATCTGTCAGAATTATATTGATCACCTCTGTTCTATGGGGTTCACAGCGCCAATACAACCTTATGTTCCTCCAGCGAACTATTCCAGGTGCATCCATGCATTAATTGCGTCGCGCGTGGTATGCCATGACGCTTCTAGACGCTATAGTTGTAACGGGTCCTGAATTGGACGTTCCATAACAAGATATTCAGAACTGTGCACTAATTTAAGTTAGTCTATAAACTTTTAGGGTAAAATTGAGTTGAGTAAGTGCAATGTTCTTAAATAGCCCTGTACAATACAATGCACGAAAGTATAGAATTAATGAAATGCACTTTTAGAAATCCAAAACTCTATACTATGTGAATATGATTTGTGTTTATTCAATATACGCAGTACGTAATAGTCTAGGGGTTAGAAAGGAAATAGCATAGTAATAGTGAACTGAATGCACATTCTACGATGAAATAGTATTGGGGCCCTGAAAAGGACCATTTTGTTTAATTGATATTGACTGTCTACGCCTTCTTTTCTGTTTTCTTCGGTAACAGAACTGCTTGGATGTTGGGAAGCACGCCACCCTGAGCAATGGTTACTCCGGAAAGCAATTTGTTCAGCTCCTCGTCATTACGGATGGCCAGTTGCAAGTGACGAGGGATGATCCTGGTCTTCTTATTGTCACGAGCAGCATTTCCCGCCAATTCCAATACTTCAGCAGCTAAGTATTCCATGACAGCTGCCAAGTAAACGGGAGCCCCAGCGCCAACACGTTCAGCGTAGTTGCCTTTACGGAGAAGTCGATGAATACGACCAACCGGAAACTGCAGGCCAGCCCTGCTGGAGCGAGACTTTGCCTTTCCCTTAACTTTTCCACCTTTGCCACGTCCAGACATTTCGATTTGAGAATATTACTTGAATATGCGCAATATGTTTCTCGTTCGACGACGAATTCAACTAAACCCTGAGCACACGTTCGAGCGGTTATAAAGCAAAGCGTAGCTACTCTTGCTCCAATCCGATTGCGCCTCTCTGAAGGCGTCGTGCACGCTGCGCCCTGATTGGTTCGCCCGGAGACTCATGTACTCATAAAAAGGGAGCTCAGCCGCCCGACCAGCACATTCGTTGAACCATTCGTACGAGGTACTTCTCTGTGAATCAACATCCCCCAGCATCGTCATGCCACCCAAGGCAAGTGGTAAAGCTGTGAAGAAGGCAGGAAAAGCCCAGAAGAACATTAGCAAGAACGACAAGAAGAAGAAGCGCAAGAGGAAGGAAAGCTACGCTATCTACATCTACAAGGTGCTGAAGCAAGTTCATCCAGATACTGGAGTTTCCAGTAAAGCTATGAGCATCATGAACAGCTTCGTCAACGACATCTTTGAACGCATCGCTGCCGAGGCTTCTCGACTGGCTCATTATAACAAGCGCTCCACCATCACGTCGCGTGAGGTGCAAACTGCTGTTAGGCTGCTTTTACCTGGTGAACTGGCTAAGCACGCTGTCAGTGAAGGTACTAAGGCCGTCACCAAATACACCAGCTCCAAGTAAAGCTACTTGGCTTAATCATCAACATTTTACAAAATCGGTCCTTTTCAGGACCAACAAATTTTCATTACGTTAGATTCAACTTTTGTGACACTATTTAACGTATTTTGAATTTTTGCTAACAGAGCTCTCTATTATTTCACATTGAAGGTATTTTCTTTACTGAAAGCGTATGTAGCTAAAAAAGTTTTAAGGTTTCAATAGTCTAATTGGAACGAAGCGGATAAACAAAACAGCCTGAAACATATGTATAGCATTCTAATCTTGAACATGAAAACAATATTTTTGTGTTACCAGTCACGTAACATAAATTCATTGCTGTTAAGAAAAAAATATATACATAATTAAAAATTTTCGTTTCCGAAACAATTCCAATTCCATATGAACAAAAAAAGATATGTACACTCATTTACAATTCTAAAATCCAATTACTTTTTGTGGCATTAATGATTTAGCATAATCTTGATTTTTTTAATAAATAATTCCGGTATATGTCAGAATAAGAATTGCGTCAGACAAATTAAAGGAAACGTTAAATCTTCAATAAGACTTAAAAAGAGGTTAACACTAGTCGATGAACGTGAAATATAAAAACTCCTAGTAAGTACTTTGAAAACATTGAATTTGATCATATGACATGTGTCGTCACCTATAATTGTTTCTACGATGTGATGTCCGGAAACAAGTTTCAAATTGTTTTCACAATAAATATCTTCTTCAGACTCTGGTATTTCGATTTATATATTAACTAATCAATAATAAATTATTATAAACGAAATAGAAGCCAAAAATAGAGTAGTGTTTTTATATACTCTCCGTTGACCGTCGAACGCCCAGACAAGTGGCCCAACTAGAATTAATACACCTATATACATATGCAGTACATCTTATTAAATATTAATCCGAGAATGGTCTAGCAATTTTGTTCCCTGTTTGAAAAGCATTGACTTGGGATATCCCACCCACCTATTCCCGGGGTTAAAAGGGTAAACCACTTAAATGTGTCTCGTGCAGCATATCCTTCGAAATAATGATTGTTGGTCCTGAAAAGGACCGATTTTTTAAACGCCAGTCAACAGATAGTGCGTTGATATTTACGCACGTTCTCCGCGAATGCGGCGAGCTAGTTGAATGTCTTTTGGCATGATGGTAACGCGCTTAGCGTGAATGGCGCATAAGTTGGTATCTTCAAATAGGCCAACGAGGTAAGCCTCGCTGGCTTCCTGGAGTGCCATAACCGCTGAGCTCTGGAATCGGAGGTCCGTCTTGAAGTCTTGAGCAATTTCACGAACTAGTCGTTGGAAAGGCAGCTTACGAATAAGCAGCTCAGTGCTCTTCTGATAACGACGAATTTCACGCAGAGCAACAGTTCCAGGCCTGTAACGATGAGGCTTCTTCACTCCTCCGGTTGCAGGTGCACTTTTGCGCGCTGCCTTCGTCGCCAACTGCTTACGAGGAGCCTTTCCTCCAGTGGACTTGCGGGCAGTTTGCTTCGTACGAGCCATATTCAAAGATTATCTCCTTAATGTGAATACAGAAATGAACGATACAAAATCTATACGCAATATGAGAGTGTTCCCTTTTGCCGCTCTCTTATAGGATCATCCTACCGTCGAAGTCGATGTTCATTGGTCGGTTGGTGAGTGGTGGGGATAGTGGCGGCAGCGGGGATAAATACCGTCCAAACCGTACTATGCGCATCAGTTTCGTTCAATACTTTGCTGAGTAAACTACGATTGATTAAAAATGACTGGTCGTGGTAAGGGAGGAAAGGGTTTGGGAAAGGGAGGAGCAAAGCGTCACAGGAAAGTTCTTCGTGACAACATCCAGGGAATTACGAAGCCGGCAATCCGACGATTGGCTCGCAGAGGCGGTGTTAAGCGCATCTCTGGCTTAATTTACGAAGAGACTCGTGGTGTCTTGAAAGTCTTTCTTGAAAACGTCATCCGTGATGCCGTTACCTACACTGAACACGCAAAGAGGAAGACTGTTACTGCCATGGATGTCGTCTATGCTTTGAAGAGGCAGGGCCGCACTCTGTATGGCTTTGGCGGTTAATAAGTTTTACCTATCATCACGAACACAAAATGGCCCTTTTCAGGGCCGCAAAATAAATCCAAACGTAATTGGAGCATATCGTTTCATCATAATATAATAATAATATACTCGTTACCTTTGATACCTTTTGTACAAGTGATAAATAAACTGACTGGGTATGTAAAAAAGGCAAATTCAATATTTCAATTAGAGCTAGATTTTAAATAGTATGAGCCAATTAATTCATTGAATGTTAATCCCTGACACCCACACCGATCTTCAAGCGTTCAACCTAAAATTAAGACGGAATAAGGACCAGAAAAAACAGATCCTATAATCGATTTTCGTCCCCACTATAGTTTTAGACCTTTCAAAGAAGGGAGAGCTGACAGCGTCAGTTATTCAATGATATTGATGCTATAAACGTACTGCGTAGAAATCACCTGGACATCGTGTATCCCAGGTGCCCTTATCGGCATACCAAAAGTTATTTTTTAAAAATATTTAATTATTGTATTGCGGTGAAGCTTGAATACAGTAAGTGCATTTAAAAAAAATTTAATTTTAAAGGTTTAATATTTAGTTATAAGTTATGATGAAAAAGTATTAAAGTAATAATTAGTTTTTTTGAAAAATATGAATGACTAATGAAATTTTTGCAGTAATTACTGAAATTTATAGACAGCTATTCGATCTCGAAACTTTGGATGATGACGTTACTAACACAAAATATTGCGAACAAATTTTAAAAAATTCATTGCGCACGCCGTAAACCTATCAACACCTCCTGTTGACTACGAGGAAATAATTTACAAAGATATCAGAATGAGATGTAGCTATTATCGTCATATTTTACAGGACAAAAATAAAAAAGCTATGGCCCAAGAAGCAAGTGCACAGAAGCCCTCTATGCACTCTATGTGCAAAAGAATAAATATGTAATTTGATTTGATTATATTATATAATTATATTTTTATAATAAAATATAAAGAACACGTATTTTATTCTATAAAAATCCTCCCGAAGTAACGTTATTCACGTTATAGACAACATTGTTCAAGATAATGCTTGCTCTTTCCACAACTTTAGAATTTTAAATAATTATGATTTTAACAAAGTATTTGAATATCAAAACTTATTTTACCGGCAAGGTCCATACCACGTTGAATACACCAGTTCTCGTCCGATCACTGAAGTGTTAAGCAACGTTGGGCGCGGTCAGTACTTGGATGGGTGACCGCTTGGGAACACCGCGTGTCCTTGCCACTTCCACCTTTTAAAAATTTTTTTGTTTAATCATACTCAAAAATAAGCTCTTTGAACGTCTATGAATTCAAATAAATAACAAAATATAAAGAATTTCATCAATTACATGATTATTACGAAATGCTATTGAGTAACAGCTCTATCTGTCCTTCACAGATATGGCAACTAGAAATACGTTATAAGTTTTAAACTATCAAATATAGATATTTCTTTAATTCTCATTATGTTAAGTAAAAATGTAAAAATTCTAAACCGTGTAACAAAGTATTTGAATATTAAAATTTATTTTACCGGCAAGGTCCATACCACGTTGAATACACCAGTTCTCGTCCGATCACTGAAGTGTTAAGCAACGTTGGGCGCGGTCAGTACTTGGATGGGTGACCGCTTGGGAACACCGCGTGTCCTTGCCCACTTCCTTTTAATCTTTTAAATTTTTTTCTACTCATAGTCAAAAATAAGCTTTTTAAGCGTCTAAGAATTCGTATAAATAACAGAATATAAAGAATTCTTCAATTATATAATTATTGGGCGCCTGCGTAACGCATAGTAGGACTCTAATTAAATAATAGATTTAACAAAACCTGTAATGTAGTATTGATTCTTGTGAATGCAATTTTTAACTGTTTAAAGCTGGTTTAATGCTTAGACCATATATTACTGGATTACGCATTAAAGATGGAGGCAGTTGCCGAGTCAAGGGATAACAGATTAGCGATGTATATGTATATAGTAATCCATACTTCGTTTGTGCTAACCATGGTTAACGCTCAAAGTTACGTTAAGGTATAGGGTCGAAGATCGGATCTTGTGCCGAATTTAGTTTGAACCAAGTATCAGTAAAATAGCAACGCTTGACGAAAATACGATCGTTAGTGGCTATACCTCGTCTATTTGTATAATAGATGTGGCAACGTTTACTCCAGTCAGAGTGGAGGTTTCCTTGTTATACACATTGCGAAGCACCGTCTATTCCTTATTCATAACTCGGCAACAAGGGAAAGATAGGGAATGCGCGGTCCAGTAGTATATGGTCTAAGGTTTTAATGATACCAAAACTGTATGGCGCCACTTGTATCCCAGTTTAAAAATAACGTCCTAAAGCGATGAAATCTTAGAACAGAACCAATAAAGGATAAAGAAGATATGTTATCAAAAGATGGTACATAACCAGTGTCTATCGATAAAATAAGATGTCAGTAGCGGCAGGAAAAATTGTCGAGGTTTCCTAGGAACCTTGTCACCGAATATGTGTCTAATCCTGAGAATGTGTTGATCTAGGATTATCGGAAAATTGCAAACTTCAAATAAAAATTGAAACTTGCAAAGCTACCCCGTAATGCTAAGGTTGGTGAGTAAATTATGGATGACCAATTTCTAATTCCGAAGTTACGAGTAGAAATCAACCGAATCGCAATTTCAAGGAAATAACGAGAATTGTATCAAGTCAAACAAATGATTCTTTGAACAGAAGGATGATAATCTATTTATAAATGTGGTAAAACATGTGTAAACATCTGTTGTTCTATTTTAGCAGACACTTCTAAGTTTTTCACAAAGAGTGGACAAAAAATAATGAATTAAATAAGTAATGAAACGAGTGTGATTCTGAATCATCAGCAATGTATGTGAACAAGTGTACTGTGGTGTTTATTTATTATTATTTCCTAAATGCAAGTAGTATATTATATTATAGCTAAATTGAGGATTTTACAATACTACATTATTTCTTTTTTCTATGTAAAATACGTTAATACTATTTCTATGCTATCATTCAGTGTATGAACCAACTAGACAAGATAATATACAAATTTACACAGATGATATTCAGCAGATAGTATATTACCATTTATAATAAATTTTGAAAGTTATCTTTCTTATTTTGTCATATCACTTGTATAATATGTCTAGGTATTAAAGATCATAAAAAATTTTTTTGTTTATTAATATTTTTTCGTGACATTACATTGATAATGAAAAAAATATTTATATAAAATAACATGGACGAACAAATATTCAATTTATATGTATATATATTTTTTATTTTATCCTTGCTTTCCAGCTTTGAATTTACAATAATTTTTTCATAATTTTAAAATAATAAAATTGAGTAAAACTCAATATTTTGCGCATAAAGTGTTTTTTTCTAATATGTCGTCCCACTAACAATGTTTTAAACATCTAGGACAATCCTTCTTCGGAACGCAGATAGACGATTTACTGGATGCTTTGACAAACCCATCTCTACATTGGCAGCCAATCACACATTGCTAAAGTATGAAATTTTTATTATAAGAGATTTTAACGGTTATTTTATAGTACAATTAATTGAATTAATTGTGATACTTACTCTAGTACAAACGCGACATGGATCGGAATCGCATGCTTCAGGACACGCTGTTCCACAAGTAGTAAATACGTGGTCTGGAAAACATTTTGGTTTGGCTTCCTGCTGTTGCGAATCTATTAGAAAAATGTAGTGAAATTATCTTCGTCAATAAATAATAGAGATAACTAAATTGATAACGAGAATTGGTATAAACAAGTACTCACAGACAACAAAGGCAACGAGAACAGTAACGACTACAAGTAAATTCCTCATGATGCCAGTCGTTTCTAATTCCGTAAGATTAACTACGCAGGTCTCCACTCTGCCATCGGCTTTTATATGAAATCATACATATTATAAACAGGTAAAAACAATAAATAAGAAATACGTAATATTTAGTCACCTGCATTATGCACTCAATGTCATATTCAATTTTTCAGTTGGCACGTAGTATAAATTATGCCTGGCTGGCAAGACTTATGTATCGCGTGGGAAGGTAAAAAAGAATACAATCATTAATTACATTAAGAAAAAAATTTGTATTCTTGTCAACGGTACAGCCGATCTTTGTGTGTGTTAATTGTTAGAAAAATTAATAAGCATGTGAATCAATATGTTAAGGACAATCTTTTCTCAGAACACAAATAACCGAATTTCCATGTAACAAAACGTATCCAAACGAGCATACACAACGGGGTTCGCAAATCTAAAAATAAAGATTTACATTTTTTTTTAAATTCAAATCAAAATATAACAATACTTACAGCACCGCAAGGTTGCAGTCTTGGATGATCGCACCACGAGGGACACGATCCACAGTCTATACTTTTATTGGCCCCGCAAGATTGGCCATCGGCTAGTTTCCAATGAATACTCCAAATAATTCGATTTCAATTAGAAATAAAATTTAAAACACTTACAAACGGCTAAGTACGTTAGAATTGCTAACATAACCTCCTTCATTTTCTTGATACGTGACCTACGGTGCTACTGCGCTGGATTAATTTCTACCGAGGTCTTTATTATATAGGAATATTCTCAGACAAGCTAACAAGAAGAATAAAAAAAATACAGACTGTTTATTTTTTCATTTGCGTTCTTGTGAAAACATCGTCTTTATTTTATACTGGACGGAGTACAGGATAGCTCATAGAGGAATAAGTACGAAATGTAACATAGCCTTAATACATTTTTATGGAAGTATATGTTTATTTACGATATATCATAGCACTATTAATTCTTTTCGATCCTAATACTTCTTGACATGGATATCCTACAAGGAATATCCCAGTTTTGGACAAGGAGTTAATATATCGTTATTTTTTACATATAATTACAAAATATATTTAACATGAATTGTGATAGGGGCATTTCGGACAATCTTTCTCGGGGATACAGTACTTCGATTTTTTCGATACCAATACGTATCCCTTGCCACAGAAGCAGCCCTTTTTACAAACCTAAAAGAAGAAAAGACAATAATCAAATTTATATTATGCATTGTTCGCGAGAGAGTCTGCATATCAAGTTAATATGCTCACAGCAGGACAAGCATGATGTTTGGATGAATCGCATGCTCGAGGACACGCAGTTCCACAAGTCTTATAAACCTGATGTGGTCCGCACTTTGGTTTGCTGGTCTGTTCGGAATCTAAATTATGGATTTATCGAATGAAATTAAAAATGGGGATAATAAGAATAAAATGCAATTGAGAAACTAAGTGTGTTCAAGCATAGAAAATACTTACAGACGACCAAGCAGACTAAAAGTGTAGCTACGATGAAAATAGTCCTCATTTTAGCGACGGTAGACGTTACTTTCAAAAAGTGAGACTAAAGCGCAGTTGTCATCATCTTCGTCTTTTATACGCAACAATGAGGCTACAAATAAGAAATACAAAGAGAATGGCGCAGCTGAATATATGATCACCTGCATTAAGCCTATCGTACATTGTTATTCCGTTATTCGTCTTGTGACGCAGAACAGCAATTGCACGGAAGTGTAGTATTTTCTTAATAAGTTGCTGATAAGACTCAACGAATATCATGTCATAGTTATTTGGGATACAGAACTTCAAAGAATATCTGTTTTAAAAGCATTCAGTGTTTTGGTGATACGAATAATCATGGATGTGGAAAAATTATATGGTAAAGAATGAATTTTTAGAAAAAAGGTAGTAACGTTATACGATAGTTTAATACAGATTAGACATTATTTAATAATAATACTATGTTCAGATTTATTATCCGATATTATCTTTCTAGATTAATTACTTCGAACTATGGTTTCTGAGCGGTCATGTTTTACATCTTATACTGGACTTAGTATGGGATATTTCAAAGGGGAAGTAATATGGAATTCAAAATAGCTTTAATACATTATCATAGCAATATATATTTATATAGATACGATCGATACAATTGTTTTAATGTATTATCGACCATTCTATCTCATTAATGAGAATGGCCTTTACATGTATTAGGATAGGGACATTTCGGACAATCTTTCTCTCGAATGCAGTACGTTGAGTTTCTGGATATCAATATGTATCCCTCTTTACAGAAACAGCCCTTTACACAAACCTGAAAGTAAAGAAAAATAATTTAATTTATATTATGAATTATTCGCGAGAGAGTCTATACATAGATAAAATACGAATACTCACTGCAAGACAATTTTGACGTTCCGGAACATCACATGCATCAGGACACGCAGTTCCACATTTTTTATAAACCTGATTATCTCTACAGATAGGGATTTCTTCCTGTATGGAATCTAAATTGTGAAATTGTTGAGATAAAGTTAAAAAAAGGTAAGTTATAATACTTAATTAGAATTCTAGTAGGTGTCCAAACATGGAAAATACTCACGAACGGCTAAACAGACTAAAATACTGATTACGATGAAAACGGTCCTCATCTTTGCGACGGCAGATACTTCGATCGAAAACGGAAACTAAAGCGAAGCGATTATCACCACCGTCTTTTATACGTAACAATCCGAAAGAAAATAGTGTAGCAGATATTTTATCACCTGCATTATGCTATCCGTTACCATATTTGTATTTTTTTATTTGTCTTAAGGAGTTATAAGACGTAACACAAAGCAAGTAATAATGTGGGATTCTACTATTTTCATAATACGTTGTCGATAAGACTAACAATATCATGTGGTAATTAATGGGGTAATTGATCTAAACAGACCGTCGAATAATCATCTGGTATTTTATTGATACGAATGATCGTCCAATGATACCATTAATAAAGACTAGACATCGATTAATGATACCATGATCATAGTTTATTATAGGACATCATCTTTTCAGATTAATTATTTTGAAGCACAGCTTTTGTGCGGCCATGTTATTTATTGTAAAATGAGCGCTATTATCGCATAATGATAATTTTTGTTCAATAATCAAGTATATTTTTATTATCGGTAACTATTATTAATTTTCAATGGAAGTGATCTGATTATTGTTAGCTCCCCTTTAAAATATATTAGATATAATTATACACTTGGTATGAACAATATTGTGGAAAGAACATTTAATCATGGAAGGTATGTGCCCTAGAAAGTTATTTCACGTTTGAAAACGTTGTTATTCCCAGAAATGGATTAACGACACTGATTTCCATGAATTGTTATGTCTGGATGGAGGCTTATAAAAAACTTATGGGTGGGTAACTCAAGCTTGGGTAACCAACCAATCCTATGGGTTTTAACCCCCACTATGTAAGCCTAGAACAGGAGGTGGTGACTAGTGCAAGAAGTGGAGGAAACACTGGCAACCATCATGTCTGTTTAGTTTGTCAAAAAGCAGATATCGAGACGTAACGTTAGTTGTCGAAACGTTTTTCGTGGATATGAAAGCTGTTAAAATTAACGCTATGAAAGATAGTTTAAATGGTTCAATTTCGCCCGCAGAAAGTGTTGATCGCTCGGATCATATAACGGTACGTTTATTAGATCTGGTGAAAAATTCTGGATATGATATGATCCAGGAGAATGGCCAACGTCGAATGAGAGCACCGGAACTCTTTCGGGAGACCCAGTGGGAAAGAGCGAAAGGGGCGGAGATTTTCTTGGGTCGTTTACCAAGAGATTGTTTCGAAGATGAACTATTGCCATTGCTCGAACGAGTAGGTCGTGTTTTTGAACTTCGTTTGATGCTTGACTTTTCTGGTTCCACGCGAGGCTACGCTTTTGCACTTTATGAAAATTCGCGAATTGCACGACGTGCTTGTGAGATTCTAGATGGTTTAGAAATACGGCCGGGTCGCCGTATTGGCGTTGTCAAGTCCATTGACAATTGTAGATTATTTTTTGGTGGTGTGCCCAAGGATAAAAATAAAGAAGAGTTTTTGGAGGAACTCAGTAAGATCGTCGATGGCATTACGGACGTCTATGTTTATCCAAGCTCGCAAAATCGTAAGCTCAATCGTGGATTCATCTTCGTTGAGTTCAAAGATCATAAATCTGCAGCTATGGCTAGACGGCAATTGGTTCCTGGCAGAGTTGTTTTGTGGGATCATGAAGTCGCCGTCGATTGGGCCGATCCGGAGCCTGGAGACTTGGTTGATACTGAAATTATGGATACGGTAATTACTATTTTAATTCATCCAGATATTCATATTTAAATTAAACAGTGTAAATATATTGGGTGATAGTGTTGAGATCTGTGTAAGGGAGTTAAAGAAATGTCGAAGGGATCAAGCATCTTAGGGTGCTGAGTGTGTGTGTTTGATACAGTGGACTGTATAAGCAAAATGAAAATATGTATTCATATTCTAAACTTAAGGGGGGCAAGTCGTATGCAATATGCGATTTTCTCGTTATAAGCGGAGTCCTAATAACTGACCTCTATTGTATTTATATAATAATATTTTCAGACGGTTCTGACATTTTACAAATTATGAAGTTTATTGAAATTTATTTTCTGTTTATGCCGTAAAAGTGTTTTAGTGAAATACTTACAATCGTTAGTAATAATTGCTAAAATTATTGTGTTGACTCAGGTGACTACACTCTTCGTGAGAAATCTCTGTTTGGAGACGCCACAACAAGTTGTCCGTGAAATATTCCAACAAAGTACCGGGATTCCTGTGATGAAGATAAAGAAGATTAATCATTTTGCATTCTTGCATTATGAAAATCGCGAACAGGCTCGTCGTGCTTTGGAAATGATGAATAGTAAATTGAATTGTACTTTTGTACTTGCTACGATTTCCTTTGAATTAAAGTTAATGTACAATTGGTTTAATCAACAGAATCGGGCAGCGTGGCTGAGAAATCTAATTGGGAAGTACGATGGGCAAAACCGATCAGCTCAGTAAAAGCGCAAGAACGGCAGCGTTGCATTAATGACGCCATTGCGACTTCTGCTCGTAGAAAACAAAAATCACTTGCGAAACGTGTTTCTCGTCGTTCACGCAACTCTACTAGTGAAACCAAAATTGCCGTCAAGAATGAATTAGTGGATATTCTAGATTATAAGAAGATTCTCGAAAATTATACAAGAAATAAATTTTCGGGTGAATGCAGATTTCAGTGTTATCAATGTCCTTATACTTTCGGCTGTAGATGTGAGGTGCGTTATTTGCAATTTCTTAAATTATTTTTTATGTTAAATTTAAGTGTATCACACGAATCATTCTCAATCGGATTATTGCCAGTATTCTTATTAATTTGCAGAAACTGTTTAAAAGGACAATTTTGTTTATGTTTACAGATTACATTATGCCGAGATAATAAACTATTCTTCCAACTTCAGGGATCTTCTTTTTCTACGCCCGATGAAGCTATTGCACGTACTTCGCGTCTGGCTTATGAAAAACTTCGCAATATGACAAGCAATTCAGGTTCGAATTTTTACTGATATTAATTTAATAGTTTTTATTTCAATTACTATATATGCACATAGCCAATGCAACTGGCTTATTGTATATTTTATTAGTATCTGACCGCGTCTCTCTCAAGTCAGTTAGACAGTTATCCAATTATGCATGGTGAGATTAAGTTAAACCAAAATTTATCTTTTACAATTACAGGTATCAAAGAAGCTGTGTAATTTCGTCTTCACTTTCGATTTATTTTTAGTACTCGCAAAACCTTAGCATACATCTGTCGAAAAAATAAATGTAAGAAGCGACATAAAATTGCGATTAAATTAACTTACGACATTGAAAATGTAAAATTATGCTCGAGGAGTAATATTAGCTTACCTAATACAATATTTAAGGTCAAGTCAAATTAACAATTGGTATAATTATTTATGCAAAGTAATCAACACTGTCAAATGCGTATATCCATTTCGCAATAAGATCTAACATGAATATCATGAAATACATCCACGCGTTTTGTCTTTTGGTTTGTTAATGGCTCGATGCCAAAAGTAAAATTAACTGATTTTTTTTATCTATAAATCATTTTTAATTAAAAGATATTCAGCATCAGCAGATATGTTTCCATGTGAAAGTTCAAAATTTCCGTTTATTCTTTCTGCATTGTCCGTTATTATCAGACTGATTGTTAGCGGCCCGAATAACACGACGAACAACAGCGCTATCATTTGTATTAAGTCGTTTTAAATAGTTTATGTACAATTCTATGGTAATTTGTTATATCATTATTTCATTTGAGACTGTTCGCAATTTATATTGTCGCCTAAAATCTCTCTAGTAGAAGATTCATTTGGTAACGTTTCTGTTTTTATATCGTTATAGTCTCCTTCTTCGTTTGAATGCAAATTCTTTATATTTATATCACCACTTGTTTGTTGGTCGTCTGCTAGATGACAATGAAAAATATTTGTTTTATAAATAAATAATACGACTAGAGAGATATTTTCATTCACAATCGACCTCATTTAAAATTATTATATTTACTGTAATTTTCAGATTTTAATTGCGCAACATTTAATGTCAGTGGATCCAGAATATTTATTATGACTTTATTCGTGACACATAGATTGGATAGAATACTTAAAAATGATTTAAAATAATTCATTAATAATATTTGTTCAATCTACAAGTGCGTTCTTTACATTAGAAAAATACATTAAAAATTAGACACGTCATTACATTACATACATTAGAAAAATACTGGTATACATACATACATACATTTCAACCTTTATTTCGTTACGGTGAAAACGTAGCCATAGATGTATTTTAGCAGTTACACATAAGTATAGACTGCCTAACAGACACGAATTCTCCATCTAGTATGATTATAACTTTCAAAAGTAGAAATTGATTTAGATCTTTCAAAATTATTGTATATCACACATTTCAATTATTTGAAGTCTCATCAAATCTTTACACCGAAATAACCCATGCACTTCCTCCTGGAAACTGACGGCTAGTTGCTAGGTTAATTTCTTCACTCGCCAAAGGCCACCTTGTTGCGTATATTCAGCAAAGACTCACGCGCTTGGCTATACTGGCAATAATAATAGGCGGAGCTAAAACCAAGAGTTCCATGTTAGAGAAAAGCCATTGTCGAGAGCTATCATACTATTGGTTAAAGAGTTACACGCAAGCTCTGATCCCCCACTGTCTACCGTTAGTTCTATTCCGATATATATTATTGAGCGTTTGGACGACTAAACGGTTAATAAGAACATACCTATTATACAAAGAAAGATAAGAATAAAATGAGTTATCGTATTAAATATGTGAACACAACATGAGATGTAATAGAAAAAAGCATGAACCTGAATTAAGCCAGACTCGTCTAGATAACTTGCAGAATATTTGATTGACATTTACAATTACAAACTGCGCGAAGCGTTTGATTAGTTGCATAACATCTGTAACGTGTTCGCCAAGTACTTATTACCGTTTGCTTGTAAAACATCGTCAACGGATCTTTCGTATAACATCTAATTACTGTCTTCGTGACATCAGTCGTATATCACCAACAGGTAATTATCTTAAAGACAGTGTCAGCTGTATAATGTCCCGGCCGGAAATTCTATTCGATAAAATGTTTGTCTCTTTGGCTTATAGACAATTCAGGTACACGTTCTGCAACTCACTTTTTCAATTTGCAAAGTACATTTTCAACAGAGGGCATTGGGATCATTGTTCCATAAAATCCTCCAACTTCTTTACCGACTAATGATACATATAACTCTGTATCTTATACTTTATCTTTAATTTGCAGCATAGGAACTTCTTGTTCATTATTATACATTACTTTCAAGTTTTTATTAACGAATTAGTTGCTTTTGTTTTCATCGACCTGGAACTCAATTCCTGGATTATTTATGGTTTTATAATAACGCTGCTTCTTCCTCAGACTATAAGCAGCTGCCATCGTTGGAGTTAATTGCCAATCGACCCTCGGACCTCCTCCTTGCTTAATAACTTACGTGAAGCACTCTCCGACTACTGTTGGTGCAGTCTTGTAGTAGAAAACAAGAGCTGCGCAATTCAAATCTACGAGAATGGACTACGAGTACAATCCTGAAGAAGCTTTTGCTATAAATTTCGGATTTCTTCGAGTGGATGGTGCATGGCCAACTGGGATAACGAATCCAATACTAAGGTTCATTATCAATGAAGTATCTTTTATCGTTGTCAAAAGTGTAATCTGTCAGAATAATTATACAGTTTCTGTAATGAATTGTTGTAGATTTTTGTACAGAATTTATGGATTTTGTGTTCTATCCATCTTCACAGTGTTATACTTTTCAACTGAAATTATTTTGATGACAGTGATATGGGGTGATGTCCAGGCGATGGTTGATTGCTCCTTTCTGTTTCTCACGCATCTCAGCCATTCGGTGAAGCTAACGAATTTCTTACTCCGTCAAAAACGTCTAGACAGGATGATTTTTCAATTGAGGGAGCCAATGTTTGTACCGAAAAGACCTGAACATATCGCTATCATGAAGGCAGCAGTGCTCAATGCTGAACGGGAGACCAAGATGTTCTTAACAATTACATTCGGCACGATCATCTGTTGGTCCATATTACCGTTGCTTAGTCAGAAAGAGGTAAAATAAGGAGATTATTTCTGGCAAGTGTATGACAGATAAAAATATAATCAAAAATTCACGTTTTGTCTATCTACTAATGATTTTATATTTTTGCAATCAGGTTAAAGAACTTCCTTTGATGGGATGGTTCCCGTTTGATACAACTCAAAGCCCGGCGTATGGTTTTACGTATACTTATCAAGTGATATCGGTCCTTTTAAATGCTTGCGTAAACGCAATGATGGACACGATGACTTCTGGTCTGCTCATTCTCATGGGTGCTCAATTGGACATGTTGAAAGAAAATTTACAATCTCTGACCGATGACGCTTCAACTATGTCACAAGCTGAAATGAAGTACATTCAAGCTGTCAAAATGAAACCAAGGGGTACTATGTTTATTGACATAAGACAAATTCAATACGATGGTAAAACTGATGGATCTGTGGAGAAAATAGTGAAGTCCAAACATGAATATGGGAAACTTGATTTAAACAGAAATTTTGATACTGATAATCAATTCGAGAACGTGATGAGATATGAAGATATTCTACATATTCGAGTTGTAACGTGCGCTGAACATTTTAAAGCACTAGTCAAGTATGTCATTCAAGTGAACCCTTATTTGTGTTTTCTGAGTAATTTGTAATATATTTATTGAAAGTTATATTCATTAACTCTTTTCAGGTATATTTATAACGTGAGAGATGTATTTCAAATTGGTATCATGGCTCAGTTTTTAGCCAGTAGTATTATTATATGTCTGACGTGTTTTAAGTTGAGCTTGGCAAGTTATATCCTATTTTCTAATGAACCTCCCTAGAAGTTAATTTCCAACAAACATAATATTACACATAACACATACGTTAGTTTCAATGGTTCCTCATTTACAGTTACATCATTGACGTTACGTAAATGTATGCCACATTATGATTCGCGTATTTATCAGATGTAATATTCTATTTGTAAAGTTCTCACACAGTATAAATTTTCCAAAAACGTTGGAACATCTGTAGAAGCTCACTGGATAGTAGGCACGAAGTTGTGAATTTTATTTTGTTGCATGTACTCTCGCTCATTTATAAGACGTAATAATATCTTAAAACTGGCGCCCCTGACCTTTTTTGAATCATCATTTATAATATCTTTCCAGGTATCACCAGCATCTGTAGAGTTTGCCTCCATGTTGCAGTATATGGCATGCATGCTGTTTCAAATATTCTGCTACTGTTGGCATGGAAATGAAATTATAGAAAAGGTATGACTAACAGTACTAGTGTAAATTCAATTGCTTCTAAGCATATGCCTTTAACTGTATACCGTTATTATAGATGTAATATTATATACATATAATATTATTAGATAGACGTCCCACAAATTTCCTTTCGCTTTATAACTGTAGTCACGAGGTGAATTAATTAAATTAGGTAATCAATTATACTGCTCGGTATTGGTATATTTTATTATCTCGCATTTGTTATCGTTAATCTCGATGTTGGAACAATCAGTAATAAGCTTATATGGGGGGTGGGTTCAAGAATTTCGAATTTCCATTTTTTTTTATTTTTCAGTTGACTTTGTGGATTTTTCATGCATGTGCAGAAAAGAAAATTGTGCAAAACTCATGCTGTACGTAAATGCAAGACCCGTGAATTAGAGAATAAAGAATTCGCTGCATGCATGACTATATAAATATGAATAATTCGAAAAAACATATGTAAACAAATGGCTAAATTAAGATATTATTTCAGTCCTCCGAACTCCTATCTGCACCATACGGAAGTCAGTGGGTATCAGGTTCGAAGAAGATTAAACAGTCAATTCAAATAATGATGTTGCAAATGAAGACCCCTTTGAAATTAGTTGTTGGAGGATTTTTTACGCTTTCCATTGATACGTTTTTCGCAGTGAGTATTAGATATAATTCATGTATAACTTCCAACTACATTTGTAACATATTTATAAGATTTGTAATTAGCGAATATGGTACAGGAAAAATGTTAATATTGAGAACAAATTTTATAATTTCGATGTTACTAAGAGGAATTCTTACACGTTAAATGTACAAGCAGATATGGGAGTTTCAAACTAGATCCCCACCCCCACTAAGAATGGAATGCTAAAGGAATTTCCATCTCGGCCACTTGGCTATTACTAATGTAGTATTTTATAATTTGACCATGTTTCATTCCAGATTATAAAATCAGCCTACTCCTTTTACCTGGTTCTGAAGCAGATGAACGAATGACTAATCGCAAAAACATTATTGCTGCACTTGGAAGTTCATCTGTAGTCGACTTGTTATATTGTAATTAGAAGTTACGTTGAATGGTGATTATTCATCATGTGTTGTACTTTCAATTAGTTACGAAAATTTTGAAATTAAAAATACCAATTCATTGTCATTCAGCTGACTAATATATGATACCATCTTCATTTTTTATATACCCACATGGAATATTTTTTCATATACTGATCAACTGAACGTGCCATAATTATTTAAGTTCTTTTGCAATTTTTACCTTTTTTTTCTTCCTTTTATTTATATACTACATGAATTAGTTACTGTCATAAAGAGTGGCTTGTAGTTCCGGTATCCTGCTCATCAGTTGTTGGAAAATAAATTCAGCAATCTGATTGTAATAATATGACCGGAATATCATTGTATAAGCGTAATTTATAGCAGCAGTTGGTTAACTAAAACTTGAAATTTCTTTTTAGTATTATTCAAATTCTTCATTAACGTTCATTAACAATGTTATGTATTGCAGGAATCGTTGATTGAAGTTTTGTCAGTTGCAAATGCCGAAACAATACATACATATGTCCAGAAGTCATATTTTTAAGATTCCTTAAGGTAGTACAACCGGTACAGTCTCATCACGTGTGAGTAAAAATTAAAAAAAGTTATATTTGAGAAAAAGCGAAGTGCTTCTAACATAAAAAGAAATAATATTTTTATAATTATTAACAGTGAAGCAACAAAGGCGTAGTTTCTTAGAGGTCATATCTTATATCATTTTTCTCAAGAAAAATCTACATTACTTGTCCGATTTCAATGTACTATAGCTGATTTTATTCGTTAAAAGATTCTTTAGAGATTTGTCGAAATACATTTTTTCTAAAAATGTAGCATTTCACAATATAGCTATTTGTTTATACTATGATGCAATAAACAATTTCTTTGGCAACAATTCCTGAAAAAATGCCAATCGAGAAATCTAATCTAGTGGATTTCTAAAGAATCGTTTAACGAGTAAAATAAACTATGGTACATTGAAATCGGACAAGTGATTTGGATTTTTCTTGAGAAAAATGGTGTAAGGTATAACCTCTAAGCAACTACGTTTTTGTTGCTTCGCTCTGTTAATAATTTTGAAACTATTATTTCTTTTTATGTTAGAGGCACTTTACTCCTTCTCAAACCTAGCCGTCTGAGTGTCAAATTCATGCTTTACATTTGTTTAAAATTTTTTTTCATATTCATTTAAAATGCATTGAAGGCACGTTACAGAGAGTTTACAATAAAATAAAGGGTATGTTTCGAAATTTGCGACCAGTAATACCAGTATCGTCGTGTCCCTGTTTACCTGTATGCATTAGTGTGAGACACAACGATGCTGGCAATACTGACAATGAATTTTGAAACGTACTCAGGATCTATGTAAAAATTATGCTATATAGAGTTTTCATTAACATTTTACTCGCACGATAATATGCGTTCGGCAGTATTTTAAATTTTGAAAATTTAAATGTTAATAGTGTAGATTAATGGTAATATTGGAAGTAGAAAGCCATATTATAATAATTTACATTACAGCATGAAGAATTAATAGTCGTACGATATTTAAAGAGTAATTATGCGATTGGGGTCGAAACATTTGTATATTATAAAAATTAAAAATATCTATTTTTCTAAATTATCATTTTCAGTCTGCATAAATAAATAATGATAGTGTAATATGAGCAGCAGAATTGATCATGGGCCTGGGAACGCCGCGAGCGACCCCCGGTGGCTGCTAAACTCGACGGGTTTGCCTCGGTCCACCGCTAGGTGGCAAGCTGTTCCCGCAGTTAAATGTAAGTAGTATATAGAATAAATAGTGCTTGTTTCAACGAGTTAGTTATCGCTTCTCGGCCTTTTGGCTAAGATCAAAGTGTAGTATCTGTTCTTATCAGCTTAATATCTGATACGTTTCCCATTGGGAAACCAGAATATTAAACTGATTTTTGGAACTTGGCGGAGTGACTGGGGCTTGCTCCGACTCTGCCGCGGGTTGGCCTAGTATTGCAGTACATCTAGGAACGGCCCACACATAATTAATAAAGCATAATAAGACTGTTATTAATATTTACGTAATAATAGGATATAACTACTTGTGCGCGGTTAAATTGAGTACATACATTTTGATCTGCGATGGACGGTGGGTGGATGATGCGTGAGTCGCGCGAGAGAGAGATACTACACCTTCTTGAGCCAGAGAACCACGTCTAGTAATACAAAATCATGGAAGAGGAGGGGTTAGATATGAATAAACCACATTTGCATTTGTGTTTGTATATTTGCCTAAAATATATATTTGATATATATCACATATGGAGTGATTCTAAGTTGCGCATTTATAACATTAATGAATACTTCCACTTTATTAACGCAACACCACAACGTACAATCACGCACTATTACTGCACGTGCGAATGGTTCATCATATTTTCTCCTACCGTCTTTTGGATCACTCACATCTGTCCGTACAGGCACCTTCACACTTCATCCTGTGTATGTCTACACCTTGTTATACAATGGGAAAATGGAACTTACGGTTTATGGTTATCAGTTTGTCGGGTCTGCCGTTGCTTCCTAGGTTCAGGAATCTCTATGATGAAGCTTGTCTGGTGTCCTAAAACATATTAAATTTGTAAAAACAATCTAGAGATCACGCAGAAGAAATTAAATAATGGTGGACTAAGAGAAAAAGCAACACCATTGGCTCCACCATTAATATCAGTAAAACATTTTAAAAGCCTTGACCAGCCGATTTATTACAAATCACTTGCCACCACTTTGGAGGCTCCTGCAGCGCCGCGGTCGGGACAGTGTGGTGAACTTCGTTTGGGAGGGATAACCACAGCAATGAATGTTGGGAAAGTAGCGCTTGTATTCACCCAGGCGGTAACAGCAGGCATATCGTATATCCTTCCTACTCAACTTGCGATTGCAAATGGCCAGTCGCTGCGCGGGACCGCCCACGTCACAGTACATAGGCGGCAGGGGGAATCACGAGAGTTGGCAGACCTAATCGTAGAACCGCCCCTGTGACATAATCAGATAAGGTAATAGCATGAGACACGGAGTTTCCGTAGAACGAGCAGATGGGCTAACTTGGTTGTAACTGGTTCAGGCAGCCACACCCCATCCGACAGGCACGAGTCCGGATATAGAAGGCGTCCTACTATCTCTGTGGTGGTGGTTGTGGGTCCCATCAAGAATCAAAGCGCAATGGCGGCCAAAGGCAGAAAGCGATTGTGCCTGTGGACAGCTAATTCGATGCGATAACCAATTCAAAGTCAGTACAATCCCCACACAAGTTCTACACCTTCCACCAACAGAATTTCAAGTTTTTAGACTCATTGTTAGTTATTTCACACTAAGGTATGCAGTGTGGAACTTCTTCACTGAGGAAAAAATAAAATTAAATGGTTATACATCTTGCGAGTAATTGTAACAAATATAAATTATGACGTATATCGTCGGCGTAATTTACAAATAATCGGTGGCTGCTCGCAACGTGCTCAAATCTACAAAAGTCCGAAAACCTAAATGTTGCGTGCCAGGTGCAGCTTCCCCGCACCGCTGTCCCTCACCACGGCCGTTTTCTACATTTTCTGACGGTTCAGACTCAGCGCACTGAAAATGGTAGAGGGGGGAACATGGGGCAACGAGAGAGCATTTGGGAGCCGTAGGATAGGCGCACGAATTGACTTGTAAGCTTCGAGTAGGATATAGTCAAATAAACGGAGGATTTTACAATACAAATCATATCGCGTGTAATATGCCGTCTTCACACCATGCTACAAAGTATATTAAAATGTGAACAAAAATGACAAAAAAGTGGAAGTGGCAAGGACACGCGGTGTTCCCAAGCGGTCACCCATCCAAGTACTGACCGCGCCCAACGTTGCTTAACTTCAGTGATCGGACGAGAACTGGTGTATTCAACGTGGTATGGACCTTGCCGGTAGAATAAATTTTAATATTTAAATACTTTGTTACACGATTTAGAATTTTTATATTTTTACTTAACATAATGAGGATTAAAGAAATATCTATATTTGATAGTTTAAAACTTATAACGTATTTCTAGTTGCCATATCTGTGAAGGACAGATAGAGCTGTTACTCAATAGCATTTCGTAATAATCGTGTAATTGATGAAATTCTTTATATTTTGTTATTTATTTGAATTCATAGACAAAAAAATTTTAAAAAGGTGGAAGTGGCAAGGACACGCGGTGTTCCCAAGCGGTCACCCATCCAAGTACTGACCGCGCCCAACGTTGCTTAACTTCAGTGATCGGACGAGAACTGGTGTATTCAACGTGGTATGGACCTTGCCGGTAAAATAAATTTGCATATCTGTATTTCAATAAGTATAAATAACTACACATGACAGCACACATACAAGTACATTAACGAGTGCTTTGATCAGTTTATCATATGTTCATATTCAATATTTTTGTTTTACCTATACATATACAAGATGAAAATCATACTTTCTAAATAATGTATGGATATTCAATGTTAACGTGTTCTTATCCCAGATGCATCCAAAATGCGTTTGCCGTAGTGACTTGTCCAATGATGTACCAACGTCCACGCACAATTGCGCTGTACCACCATGTTTAACCACCGTATGTAATGTTCAATATTCTTAAATGTATAATGACTAACCTATATACAGTTTTGTGAAAGTACTGTTAAAGAGCAATTTTCCAAACCTTCCAAAAGAATCTTGACCGTGAGAAATTTCCACCAGCGCTTGAGCATATAACGACGCATGATACTTTTCAAAAACTAAGTTACGCCACTAAGTTACCATTCAATGCACTTTGGCCGTCCAAGGATATCGTCGATGCATGTGTGGGACTTTCGCTTTTCAAAGGAATTCCTGATGACAGTACGGAAAGTATTATTGGGTAATTATCAACTAATTATTAATCATACTAGCAAAAGTATATCAGTGATTACTTCTTTTTACAATACTGAAAGTCTACATTCATTTTACGTTCGGCTTAAATTTTATGACAGAAAAAGGATCATCCAATATGTCAGTCCAGCAGTTGATTTGTATAAAGTCGATGATTCTACAGTGCGTAAACGCCTGATAGAATACACATACACTACGACATCATTAGATGCTAGCAAAGATGTCTGGGGTAACTGGATGGAAACAACGAGGGCCTTTTCACCAGTAAATAGTTTTTAAGTAACATTAATATTAGAAGGTATTGAAGCACCGTGAAATTCACGTTAATATATTTTCAACATAATTTTTTACCTATTTTTCTTTGATAAATAAATTATACGTCAATATGATAAAATGAAGTTTCCAGTACTTCTGTATTTTAGGAAGCTAATAATTATTGTTTTTTGTATTATCTTCCCTGTATTATTACGAAATAATCAATTCCTAGAAGAAATGTCACTTCCATGCAACATCTTGCGATACAGTAGAGAATGAAGAATCAGTGCAGATGGAAAAGGAGTCTCGAAATATTTGCAATGAAAATGTGTCTCGCGAATTTTTACGTTGTACTGGTAGTAATGTCAAGTATGGATTGTATTAAAATATTTTACGATGTTATACATATTATTGTGTACTTTGTATATCGGTATATTTAATTACAGTCACGAAGGTAAATTGCAGAAACTAATAAGCACGGAGAACAAGGACACAATAAAAGATTTGATTGAAAAAAATAAATTGAGTCTAATATATGATAAGTTGCCTTTATCATATGGTGGTTATAGATCTGAACTTGGAATTGGAGTAAGATTGGAACGAAAACATATACCGGTGGGTCATCCTGATTTGACAGTGTCACAAGCTGTTGCCCGGTACGTACTTACAGGCTCTGATGAAATTAATGATAAAAAATATCATTTAATATTTGTATGATCCTTTTCAGACGATACGAAGATGACTCTTCACTTTAAAAAACTTTAAAGTAAACGAAATTAATAAATAGTCTTTATTGACAATTCCTGTATAAGACCATTTTTTATATTTGACACTTACAAATTTTGTGTAACATTTCAACAGTCACCGAATAAATTATATATATATATATTTATTTATTTATTATTAGATGTATATTCGGAAATATATAATAGTTCTTTATTATTATTATTTCATTAATAATATATATGCTAACGTTTATGGCATTATACTCGCTCAATTTGTATTCGTGTTAAATAGTCTATCCATAAATACTGATTGCAATAAGATTCGATGAGAACAATGATAATACCAATCATTCTTTTTTTGCCAGAATTTAATCGAATGAACTCTTCTGCAAAAATACACGAAGCTTGCACAATTGAATTCCTGATGAATACTTTTATAAGTAACTTTTAATTATAAGTGCCATTAACTTGTGCTACAGACATTGAATACCTTGAGTGCAGTCAATCCATTTCTTATAACGTCTATACTCAATGCCTTCTTATTGAAAAAATAAAATAAAATTTGCTCAAAATATTTGATTCTAGAAATTAATCTAGATCAATATCTCACTACCCTGTATATTCATATATATTATATAGAACTTAATAACAGTAATAAAGATTAAACATCATATGATATAGGAGCAATTATATACTGTTCCCAATAAGCGATTCACTCATTAATTTCGGAACGAATTTACAGTTTGGTAAAATTGAACGTGTCCACGGTACACAATTCTATGATGAGTAGTGTTTTAGAATTAAAATATATGCCAGTATGACTATATGCTATCATCAATCATGATTATAGATATTTTTGGTATGGAATTTTGGTTTCGATCTTACAAATACAGCTCTATAATTTATTAATACCGTGAACATATAAATGCTTCAGAAAATATAATTTACAAATCTACTCTTTTCTCAATCACTTCACATTAGTCAGTATTACTCTCCAATGCCGCATATTATTCTACAAGTCTTGTGCACTTGTTTCCTAATATTACCGTACAGTTGAGAATAATAAATTGAAAAGTAAAAAGATCATCTTAAAACAATTTCATTAATATTAAACTCCTCCACCAAGCCTCAACTAATTTCATTTCATGTACAGAGTAAAGTATTCCTCTCACGAGTGTAAAAGCCAACTAATTCGCGACAGGATGTAATTGATTTTCATGAAATTAAAAAGCAACTGACAGCTTTGTGTCTTCCAACACAGAGGTCACGTAATAAAATCTACTTTTGCATATTCATAACTTGTATCATTCACTGCAGATAATTACGATATTATTGTTGCGTGAAGCATAATGAAAGCGCTCGAGCAGCACGAGATCTGATATTACATTCCTTATCACGCAACAGTTGTAATAATCGTTGAATGTCTTCTGGTCTTGGTTGTCCGAATAATCCCAAAATCGAGGCGGATGTGGCTCTAACGGTGTAATTTTCTGATCTTACGTATCCTCTGCTCACCGCATTTCTGAAACAAATATTCAGTAGAGATTAAGATATTAAAAAATAACCGCAAAGAAATGAACAAATTATATAAATTACTGTTGGCATAATTCATGCAGATGTCCTTGAAGAATTATTTGTTCTTATATTAAACAAATAAATCTCTTTACTAGAATCAGTATGTGAAATATTAACCTGAGTTCTTCAGCCCTCTGGGGTAATTCTTCCTGCAGACAGTGAATTAATTGACGTAAAAACTCCTCTGTTGCATTGCCTGTATTATTCTTCGATTCATAATATCCATTTATCAACACAGCCAGGGGTTCGCACTGTAAGAGTTTAGCTGAATGATAAAGAGTCTCTCGTACTGCCTGCGAAGGAATAAAACAAATACATTATAACATATTACCAAATAAAATTTATATAAAATAGGATTGGTTGAAAAGGAACTAAAATTTTACATAATAACAAGAGCAGTAAGATTAGTATACATATAAATTGAAGAAAAATTACTTGAAATACTGCAGGATTTGGATCTTCCAGTTTGATAATGAGGCAAGGCAAACAACCAAGCAAATGATCTGATATATCATCATTAGGAGTAGAAACGGATATTGACCATCCGCGGGCAATGGCGCCCAAGGAGTTTATAGCAGCCAATCTCACTTCCGCATTCTCCTTCTCGACAAAAGGCTTCAGGGCGAGGACAATACGCGGACTCACTGGAATTTCTCGCTGAAGTGATAACAAACCTGCAAGCCCGCGCAACGATTCGAGAGCAACTTCGCTTCCTCCTTCTCCGTTTGCTGGCTCTTCTAAGCCATCTAAAAGAGCAGCTACACAGTTCTCGAAGTATTCGTCTATCTGGAGAAAATACCGCAAAAAGAAGCTATAAAAGTCACGCGAGAAAACGATATCAGTTCTTGTCATAACTTAGGATGATTATTACTTGTTCCGGTTGTAGACAAGATATTCTGCTCAATCCAATGGTCGCTAATTTTCGCACTAATGGTGACGAATCAGACTTTGCTTCATGTAAAGTGTTCACTATTGCATCCAACCAAATGGCGCCGCAGTCCACTCTGCCGATCAGTTCTGCATAAAATGCAGCAGAAACTGCTCTTTGTGCAGGAAGTGTGCTTGCTGATAATTTTCCCACGGAATGTGCCAAATTTGATAATACTTCACTCCTATTTCCCAAGCATCGCACTGCTGCACGTACAGTCATTACTAAACTTTCTTCAGCTTCAGAGTTCGACTCGAATATCTGGAATGAAATATATTTTATTAATATAACGATAGCGTGTGACGGGTGTTGTAATTAATAGAAAGATTGTACATAAATTCTGTCACATACCGATTCATTTGGTAGACTTGAGGCTAAGTCTGAATCCACAACGGTTAAGATATTTGTAAGTATACAGTAGACTTCTCGGTGTGGATTTATTTTGCAAGATTCTCGATTGGGTATAAAACCAAATTTTGTGACAGAAGAAAGCGTTGGAGTTTCAGCATGCAGCCAACCTGCTAGATATGTCAGGAGAATTGACAGTAATTCTGACAACTTCTTCTCTATTAAAACCTCAGAATTGGGACATTGCAAAAGGTGCCCAGTAGCTACGACTGCCGCCAATGATGAAAAGGTCACAGTGTTATGTTTTCCAGTATGCGTACCGGGTGGAACGTCTGCATAGAGATTACTGTTTTCCATTCGAGACAATAATAGCTCTAGAGCCTAAAGTAAATCATTGTAGTTTTGTACTGCGTGTGTATATATTATAAAATATCAATGCATTTATATTAAATGAACTTACTTGCAGTCCTGACTCTTGATCATTTCCGAGTTCCTTCCAGCATTCTTCAGTTCCCCGATCTAATGGTAAAGGTTGCCGTATTAACTGTTCGATCACTTCCTGTGGATGATGTTTCATTAATGATCTGACAGCAGTGGCAGCTCCACGTCTACAGCTGGTATTCTCCATATGTCGCATTTGCGCGACAATATTATCTATAATTTTAATAAGTTGCACTTGCAATGCAATAATTATCTAAATTTATTACAAAAAATGTTAACATAAATTGAATGAGTACCAATCAAGTATACGTCTGCCCGTGGAATGTCGGCACCTCTCGTATTGAAATGTTGAGTCAGAGCAATTCCGGCAGCCAACCCTCCTTCCCCACGACATAGCAGACTTTCTATTAAACCTTCCGCCAAACCAACGACTTCTCCACTAGCCACCCTTTCACTTACTGCCATGGCCAAGTTCTAAAATGAAAAATAAAATTTTACTTATTACGAGCCATATATCTCTTATATACATATAAAATATTAATATACACTTCGTAGCACAAACCTTAATCCCTTTATAAAGAGCACTTGAATCCTCACTGACAATGATTCTCTTCGACTCGCTTAAATCGTGATCCAAATTATTATCTGGCAATGTAGACCGATGCCTCGCTCCGATACTTAACGACAACGCTACACAATCAACAACTATTGGTCTTAATGTAGATTCTGGATCGGCACACCATGCAAGTATTCTCCCTAAGAGTTTGCCAGGTTCTAGTTTGCCACTGGGGTAAGTGTACTTCAATGAATCGTGGTACGATCTGTTAATACAAAGATCACTGCATCATTAGAAACGTAAATTCTTCTGCATAACAATGAATTAAGGTATAATCGTGAATATGCACATGAACTACTAATGTGTTATTTATTGAAGTTTCTGAAGAAAAAGTACCTTAGAGTAGATCGTAATGTTAATAAGGTCGTTCTACGTTCTGTCGACGATTTAGATTGCATCCAAGGCATTACTATCTCCACAAGTTCCGCCAACGCATCTGCAGAGTCAGCAACAACCTCACTGCAAACCATACCCAAACCATCTACCACTTGTTGCATAACGTCTGGCAACATCAACAAACCAATCTGTCAGAAATCAATAGCGTTAAGGAAGAAATAAAACGAAACGTAACCTTTTCATGCATTCAATTAAATACCTCTGCACTGGCCGCTATCACTTTGTCCACTACAGTGCCGAGTAGAATAGCCCTCTCGTCGGAACTCAATGCAGGTGGAATTCGTCTGATGATGTGTTAAGAAAGATTTATCATTATAACGTGACTTATTAATATGTGATCTACTTTTTAGAATAAGTTTTGCTGCATCTGTGAATATTAGTTTTTGATTGATTGATACTGTATACTACAAATATATATGTACTTTAAAGGATACGATAGAGAAACTGTGGCCCGCAGGATTAATGGATATAGTTGTAATGGTCTATGTCCTGAATGCCCTTGTAATAGACTCAAAAGTGTTGTAAGGGTTGGACCTCTTGCTCGTAATCCAGTTGACCCAGCTAATCTGTTAGGATGCACAGCCCCTCCAATCTATATAATTATAATTATTTATCAATATATTGATCGTCCTCATTTAATGCAACAGATCAGAATCTGTCATATTGTTACGTTGATAACTGTGTAAAATCGTTATTTCACCTGCTCCAAAGCCAGCAAACCACTCTCCTTCGTGGTTAATTCTTTACATTCAGTCAGTTGTCGTACAGTCCAGGGTAGAATATGTTTCTCTATGGCAGGAAAGAATTCAACCGCACTAGTCCTGTGGGCCATTTCGGCGTAACATCTCATGAGACCAGCCTTAGCTGCCTCAGCGGTTGCAGCTGCTTTAGTATCTTTGACTAATCCCAACAATTTGACTGGTATTTTTCTATGATCCTCCATAAAACAGGAATCTTCCATCAATTTTAATATGACGCTCAAATGACGTTTAGCTGCTATTGCTACAGCTCGTGCAAACTCGCCGTTTGTACTGTGTGTACGTGCAAGCTCGATAAGAAGTGTAAAGTGAGTAGCATTACTTGAAACAGCACCTAGAAGTGGTGCCATTCCAGGTGCACTTGCTTTTAATGCTAACTCGTCTGCAACGTCGTGAGCCCATGTTTCTCCTTCTTGTATGACGCTTTCTTCTAGCAATTCGACGATCCTTTCCTCCCACATCAGTGCCCTACTTGTTATGGATATATATAAAAAATATATCGTTTTAGAACTATCATTTCTGTTATAAAATTAATACACAAAAAGAAAACGATAAGGAACAATTTTTAATAAAATTATTTTTTTAAAATCTAATGAAAGGGTTTACTTTATGTGAATGCCGCTTACCTTTGTGGGACATTTAGAGAATTGTTATCTTGTTCGGCTTCCAAGAGATTGGTAACTTCTAGAAGACGTTTGTCCCAAAGCTCTTTTAATTGAGTACCCAGAAGAGGAGCCGCGCATCGTAACAATGCAACTACAGAAATGCGATTCTTTTCTTCGCCTAATAACTCAAAGCATCGAACCATGACTTTGGCACGTGGGAAATTATTCTCTATTTCAGTTGTTTCTCGTTTTCTTATCAATTTTGTAGCCAATGGCGAAAGAGCACGCACCACTGAAATTGCCTATATAAAAATATAATACCCACTATAATATATTTTATCATATTACGCCAGCATTGCATTGCAAGTATTATTCTGCTACTTACCCATTAAGAACTAAAAAGGCAACTAAAAAGATATTGGATACGAAATTTCAAATGTATTCTTACCGATGTGGAATAATTCGGATCTAGAAGTGCACTCAGCAACAGTGGCCATAACCAGTCCTCAACACCTTCCACAGTAGTTGCCAATAAATGCAAAGCCTCTTCGCAGGCTTCTGCTTCAATGGATTTAGAACCACAATGAGCTACCTGTATAATTTAATAAAGCTTCCTTTAAGCTCTTAAAACCTAATTAGACATATATTTAATTGAATTCTCTATGATGATAGACAAAACACGAACCAAGAATCGGATAAAGGTTGCTCGTTGGGAGGATAAAAGAGGCAAACTGGTTCTTGCGGCAAGAGCAACAATAGCTCCAACCATTTGTCTTGCGCTAGCTTCTCCAAGAGATTCTTGAAGAGTTAATGCTATTCTCTGTAGTACTGCATCATTCTGCGAATGATAATGATTTTCATAAATATGATCATTAAGTATAAGGTAACGTACAAACCTGTGGTGGAAGTGTATTTATAAGATGTCTCAGCACTACCAATGCACGAGAGCGGTGTATAACAGCCGGTGATTTTATCTGTTGTAAAATTCTGCAAATTTGTAAATTATTTTGAAATTTATGATGTAGTTATTTCTTTAGAAATTTATCGTATGGAATAAACAAACTATTACAGATTTTCTTTGCAATATTTACTTACCGATCGAGTCCTTCATCAGGGTAGGAAATAACAATTGCACGGAAACACTGTAATGTCTCGTAATGTGTTAAAAGTGCTTCGCGAGATACATCAAAAGGATTAACGCTGACGAACTCTGATAAAGTGTGGTGTAACGATTCCAAGAATTGTTTAATGACCTCTTTTTCTTCTTCAATAATATTGTTCAGCAACATAGCTAAGACTCTAAAAAATAATTAAAATCAGAAAATCATAACCATTTACTTCATATGTCTATTTTATTTAATGATAATCAAATCACTATAGAAATACGAAATTTACTTGAGTATGACCTAGATTTTGTAAATGTATACATTGTACTGAATAACTTAAAAAAAATACCTTGTAGCAGCCAAACGAACATGAGATCTTTTACAAATGGTCAATAGCATCGGTATTAGTTTCACAGTTTGTCGTTTCTCAGCTTCTTTGGGCAAAAGCGGTAACATGGGTCCAATCGACGTCAACACACTTTCAATCACATTTCCGTCTCGACTAGACCGTATCCAATTATGCGTTAAAACATCATAAACTGAAGATATTTCAGAATTGAAAGAATCATTTGTAATTCCAGGATCAGGAGCTTCATTTATGTTGTTTAAATAATCATTAATTGCCTCCGCAAATCTGCCAAAAGCTAAATTAGAATTTTTTAATTATATTAATTTATTATTGTAACATTTTCAGTGGAAATTGCGAAGATATATAAATAGTCATAAAACATTTATTTATGAACTTACCATAACAGAACGCTTGCTTTAGACGATCGTCACGAACTTGGTACATCATTGGTATCATAATGCTCATTGCAAGTTTAATAAACGGCACTGTACCAAAAGTGTTGCCCATTGCTAACTTTCCCATTGCTTCAACAATTGCATAATGTGGCAGGGTTCCTGGATCAAACCTAAAAATTGAGTGAAATCAGGCATTACTATTCAATAAATTAATTTTTTTCTATATTTAATTTGATGTATAATTATTAAGACTATTTTATATTAAAGTAACAATTTTCTCACTTGGATAATAAAATACCAATGGTTTGAGCATTGTGAAATCTACTAAGTGCAACTAATAGTTCACAAGCTTCTTTATTAGCATCACCAATTAATTCGTCGATAGCCAAATTTGCTACAGATGATGCCAGATCTTCTTGCAGAGAAAACGACTGATCTCTACAAGTCTCAACCAATATTTTCATCATGGAAATCACATGTTCGGAAGATATCTTGGGAAGAAGAATAAAATATTTGATTAATATAAAACATGGTATATCAATTTAAATTGATGTATTTACAGAATACAATTTTTCAACTTAAATAAATTGAAAAAGTATAAATCTGTTACCTTGCGATGGAGCTCACGAAAATATACTGCAGTATTAATAACAGATACAGGATTTTGCTTTGCAATCCTTTTGATAGATTGTATTATTTCTTGTTTAACATTTTCATCTTTATCATCTAAAGCATCGAATAATGCTCCAATCACAGCTATAAAAAATTTTGATAAATATAATTCTTTCCTTTCGTAGCTCCAGAAATATTAATTTTAATAAATGAAAAAGTAAACGCAAGTTTCTTACCTGGTAACTCAGGGACAACATTTGATTCGACTTCTTCGTTCATAATGAATTGATGTATTTGAACTTAATAACTCTTTAAAATGCAATATAAATCTCAATTCATTTGCACTACAGGATTAGACAGTTGTTTCAACAAACAATCACCATTTTTCATAATCACGATATACGCATAGATCTACAAAAGTACGATATTAAATTTAACATATATTTACTATACAATTTAATATCAGTTATATGATTGTACGTAAACATAACAAAGATAGAATTATTTATATTATTCGTCAAAAGATAATTAGTATTTAAAAAACAAGGTGTAGAGGTTAAGTAAACTAATGAAATTCCAATACTTATGAATTATCTTGAATAATATCATGAATTTACTTCTTGAATTGCGTATTACAGTAAATCTGTTCCAAAAGGCACAATAATTAAAAGTCACAAATTCAGGAATCGCAGTACTTACACGCCTGTCTCTCGGGAAGCGTACTATATTATTGCGACGTAACCCGATATTTTGATATAAATTTGCAAACAAGTTACTTACTCCTTTTCATCAGGCTTTGATTATAAGGCAATCTTACGCAATAAAAAATTGGTAAAACTACATCCGACTGTACAGCTGGATTTTAAATACCTATTATATTCTAAACAAATCATAAAATAGGCAAACCAGATTTTAAATAGTAAAAGCAAAAAAATAGTGTGATAAGGTAAAAAAAATTTGTATACGTTCAACAATATTAATTATATGAAAAATTAATAAACTACGTTCGGTCACTATTTTATACCAGTAATTTAGGTGTACTCTTCATTTAATAGTCAACGAATTTCAATTTTGAGAGTATATCTTTTATTGCCATCATTATATCTTTCAGTTAGATCAACAGTATTTCAAAACTACAAACAAATTGCAGAAGAATCATAAGTTACGTATAATGTGCAATAATATTAACGTATGTTTTAATGGATATAAACAATATGTGACAGAATAATTTCCTATATATAATATTTCATGAAAGTAAAAAGGTTACAAATATGTTTATAATAGTATTACTCATTTTTTTTTATTTACAGAAGATTAATGTCCTGAACCTTAATGTAACAATGACATTTGCCTTACAAATTTATGGGTTAGGTATAGTAATTGAAAGTTTATTCTATATAATGTAAATAGGAGGAGATAACAAATATGTAATATTAAACACATGTATTATAATCCCCACCTATTTATACTAGGCATTTCATCAATATTCAATACATTTGAGAAGAATTTTACGGTGTTACAGGAGGCATCAAGTCCATGCCATTACATTCAAGAGCAATTTTAACTCCTAAGGCGAAAATTCCAATGCTTTTTACAAGTGACCTGCAACATAATATTTCTTCATTTAAACACAATTAAATAATAATTATGAAGTGGATAATACAATAAATTTCACTGATTAAAGAGGAGTCAAAAACAGACAAAACACATGAGTTAAATAGTAATATCATACACTTTAAATCATGATAGCCGGTATCGAAGTATTAATAAAAACAAGGAGGTTATGATATTATATATCATTCCCAAACAAAAACCTCACGTTATCATAACTTACCATTTATAGGGATCGTAGTAGATGCTTCTAATTAAATTTGTAATATTTCCCATTATGGTGAAATTTATAATGTGCTTATTTTATGAGAAATTTTCAATGATTTGTTCCGAAACGTTTCAACAATGTCGATGTCGCTTGTGTGCTTGTGCGCAATATGCACTACCTAGCGTTACCTCAAAAGCGGTCTACGATACTATTAAAAGAGACGCAAGTCGATCGTCTTTATATTTGTCCAATTTTAAGATCAGATGTGAGAAAAAGAAATAATATCTAATTAATATGAAGTGGTAAAACATTCACTGGTAAAATAGCGCATTATATGTATTATTTACATAAAAATGTAATAGAATGAAAAGTCAATTTGGTATTTCAAAATATTTGGCACAGATCTCAAATCCAAATATGTGATTATCCTACGTGAATTACGACAATGTATTTAAATCCAATTATGTATAGCTCTATCATGTACGAATACTCGTTTTGTGGAACTATGTTTTGCTATTGACGTCTTAAGAAATATAGTAGAATTAATGCAAGAGAAGAAAACTGTTTAAGTAGTTTTACTTCATTTGTTAATGTACAATTTTTGTCAGTTTAAAAAAGTGTTAGCTCAAAGTCACAAATGATGTTACATGTGTTACGATAATTAGCAGGATTTAAAGAGCAATAATTTTCTAATAAGTATAATAATTTAAATTAGATTATGCAGGTGCGCGCGATGTAACTTAGGAGATGTGGAAAATTGTAAACGCGCGTGCTCATGTGCTACGTGAGACGGTAGTTGCCATGTGTAAGTAAATTTATCAGCTTCGGTGGAATGAGTGTAGTTGCTTCCAGTGATCCTTTGTACGTGATACGCTTTGCTGGAATAGTTTATTTTCGCGACGACTGGCAGAATCACTGTTTTACTCATAATTTTACGATAATAGTAGATTAACAAGTGCATTTACTAATTTATAAGTCGAGTTTTGAACGATAATGGGTGCAGGCAAAAGTCAATTCACAGAAGATGAATTACAAGATTATCAAGTAAACATCACTTTATTTATTGTTGTATTTAAATGGCAAGTTTATTATCATTTTTTTATTTTCTAAGCTAAACTACATTCTTCTTTTTTAGGATCTCACGTATTTCACGAAAAAGGAAGTGCTGTAGTAAGTACATCGTTAAATGTTGGATAAGCCATTTTGTTTTTTCCCCCCTTGAAATTCCCGGATAATAGTTATTAAAACTGATACTTTTTAAAAATTTATCTGTGGAATGCATTCTTTTGTAATTGACGTAACGCGAATTGAGAAGATACGATTATGAACTATGCAAGGTACGGTATGAAATCTAAATATAGATTTTATCTAAATTTATATTGTGATTGTATATTATGATTGGATTTGATATAAATATTTCGTTTTAAAAAATGTTCCAGATGGCAAATTTTTGTACAAGTTATTAGTTTTAAATTTTCCTTTTTTTTCACTTAAAATAAATCACAATAATGTATGAAAAAAATATTTTAATATCATTTGATATAATAATATTCATTTTCTAATTGGAATATTATTGTGCTCCAAACCCACTATAATTCAATAACCCGTATTCAGAAATCGCTTTTAGTACTAATAGCGCGTTCTTAAGTTTTTTCTTAGTGACTTTTAACTAAAAGCGACTCTCTTAGTGACTTTAAGAGCGAGTTCTGAATAAGGGCTAATATATCTAAGTTACTGTACTCATATTTATGGTATAGTTAAAACTTCCCTGAAACTTTATATTTTTCAATATTGTTTCAGTGCTCATCAAAAATTCAAGGCTCTTGCTCCTGAGAAAGTAGGACATAATAGGAATGCAAAACTACCTATGTCAAAGGTTTTACAATATCCAGAACTTCGAGTAAATCCTTTTGGAGATAGAATCTGTAAAGTGTTTAGTTCTAGCCAGGATGGGGATTGTACATTTGAAGATTTCTTGGATATGATGTCTGTATTTAGTGATGCAGCTCCAAAAGCTGTAAAGGCTGAACATGCCTTTCGAATTTTTGGTAATAGCATTAAATTTATGTAAATATACTTCTACTAAATATACATTTATATATTGCATGTCATTTTATCTTCTTTAACATTCATTTTGTAATATAAAAATAAAATTCATATATTTAGATTTTGATGGCGATGACATGCTTGGTATTGGTGATTTGAGACAAGTAGTTGATAGATTGACAGCTCCACAAAGATTAAATGAAACGGACATGCAACAGCTTCTACAATATTTATTGGATGAAGCAGATTTGGATGACGATGGAGCCTTGAGCTTTGCAGAATTTGAACACATTATTGAAAAAAGCAGTGATTTCTCTAAGTATGGAAAAATTGTTTTCTATATTACATATATACTTATTGATATTTCTTAAATATAGCATATTGATTAAGTTTTAATTTTTATATTTTCACAGGACTTTTCGCATACGCTTATAAAATATAGGAAAACAAATAATAACACCGAATAGTCAAAACAAGACTGAACAGGTTAGTGACGATGGATGACAGATCTGCATTTAGACAAAAAACGGCCTAAGATATCCAAGGTGCATTCTAATTGGAATACCAAAAAATACCAACCAACGCTCTAATCGAAGCTAAGGTCTAAATCTCATCCTGAGTTCATTTATATTTATATATAATTGATTTGATTGAGCATTTTATATGCCTAGATATCAGATTCCTTTAATATAGAGAATTATTAAATTCAGCCATACTCAGAAAATTGAGTTTCGGGACAGCATGGATCATTTTCTTGCTAGGCAGTTGTTATTGTAATATTTATATGCAGTGCTGTCTAGAATTTCATAAGTAATATATTCTTACATAATTTAATAACTATGAACAATCCCGATCATGAACAGACTTGAATTTTGTAATGTCATCTGATAGATAGAGTAAATGATATTCAATTCATAACTAGAACTTTGATAAAACTTATATGTAAAACTCAAAACAGTCAGATATCCAAAGCGTTAAACAGTTTAAGTACAGTCTTAGATTACTAGTGCAATAGAATCGAAAGATTAAATTTTTCTTTTTGTTTATATAAGGTATCTTACATTTATAGTCAACTATTTGATAATATGAGGGAGACTAAAGGGACCCACATATATATATTTTTTTCCATCTAGTTTATAATAAAATGTGTTGCATTTCTATGACGTAGATATTTATATTTTAATGAGTGCAGAAAAGTCATTATATTCCTGCTTTCTCAAGTCAACGAATCTCTAATGATGTTATATATACTCATTTAATTACAATAGTTCAGATTTTTGTTCTACGCGACATGCCTAATTTTTTCATTAATAGAGATAAATTTTATACACCATGACTCACATTTTTGTTACTGTATGTGTTTGAAGATTATAATTATTCATCTAATTTATTAAGTAATTGTTTCATAGGAAATATACAATTAAACAATTTTATATAAACAGAATGTGTTCCATTGCAAAACTCGCTTTTATTCTTTGTCCTTATCCATGATAAAATAAGACACAAAGTAAAATTCATATTTGTACTCATTATGGTGTCATCTATGACTGAATATATCCTCTGCAACAAAAAACAATATTACTGTACGTTTGATTATGTTATATAGTACTTGAATTTTATACAAAACTGATTCTATTGTAAATTCATGTACAATATTAGTACTGTCGTGATAGAAGAGATAATTTTTGGATATACTGTATTCACTAGCAAACCAAAAAATGTGAGAAGCACTATACATCGAAATAATCAACTTTCTTTGTTGATTAATTGTATTTAACTGTGAGACTTACGGTAATTTCATGCGCATAAATATCCAACATGTAATGAAGGAGACTAGAATGCTGATAAATCCAACACATATCAAAAGAATTCTGTTGAGTTTTGGTGTTGATGGACTGTGAGTTTGATCAAGTACCACAAAACCTAGTCCACCAAGAGTAAACAGAAAACTAGATGCCAGGCCCTCCATAATATATTGTCCATTGATACGGTAAGGCATAAATGCCACCTATATCAGCAACAAAAATTCATAACATGAAAGTTATATTCATACACAGTAAATTTATCTTAGAATCAATTACATGGTATTGCCTTGTAATTATTGTTAGAAAATAATGTAAAATATGATATAAATACTATTATGAAATATAGACTCCAGTCATAAGTACGTATAATAACAGAGTTTTTGATACAATCGAAACATATGTTGAGGAAACAATTATACTATTAAAGTAAATAAGTGTAAATATTAATAGTTTTATACGTACAGGCCGTGTATGGCCATGTTCATCGGTTGTAGATCCTACACTTGGTGGTTCAACGATTACATCATATATTACACCTGCAAAGAAAATTATATGAATCTTACATGACATTTATCACTTTAAAAAAATACAGACGTGGCACGTCTAATAGTGATAAACAAACGAAGTCCATAAAATATTTACATGAACGTGATTTTCATAAAATTGACAAAAATTATTGTTGACCTAGTAAGTCATTACGTTAAAAAATTAAAGAAAAGAATGTTATAAGATATACGACGGACTAACCTCCTGTCACTAAAAAATATGATAGTAGCACCAAAGAAAAAATAATCATTGCACTGGGTTGGACGAACCAGGATGGTCTTTTGATTCTTAAATTAGGAACTTCTAAAACGAAAAATGGTAGTCTATAAATGTAGTCCATTTTGCTGTATATGTAAACAAGCTAATTTGCTACAATATAAATTGCCGGCTGACACTTCACGTTACTGTATCTACTTCAATCTACTTCGGCCGACTCGGCGAATACGATTTGATGACGTGTGCATAGATGAATTCGTTGTAAATACATGAATGATGCTGTTTTCATGTAAGGAAAGATTTGATATGCGGTATGTGATATCCAATAAAAACGCTATACTCCTAGAGAAAAGAGATTTTTGAAAATATTCCCTAGATATCTTTTATCTCATTGGTCCACAAATATCAAATGTCGAGTCACATGTAGAGCTCAGTTCACTCTGGTTAACTTGTGCTTAAACATATGTGACTGGGCCATTCATTCAAGGGACTCATATAAATTGTTTCTCACAAAGAATTGGCCCTTCATAGGTCACAGTGAATTAAAGTGGCGAAGGGCTGCGAGGCTTAAACAGAAACAGAAATAGTACAACAACCATGCATATTTATTTTTTGAGAATATGAAATAAACAAACCAAACATAAGTTAAGATTAGCCGGCTAATTATATAATAGGTTTTGAAGAATTCAGACGCATTTATAAAGTGAAATATACTTTATACTTTGAAAGTTATATCCGTGAGAAGTAACAGAAGATTTGATATAACATCTTATTAATGCCTTGTAGATGACAGTTGATTGAAAATATTAAATATATCGAATTTATTATTATGTTAAAATATTGTAATCTTAAACGTGAAGAATTGAACTCTTGATGTTATTGAAACTATGAAAACTGCAGACTTTTTGCAAGTTTAAACATTTTTTTTAACGTCTGCCTATCAGCTACATTGTAGATTAGCTAGCGATAAACATTCGAATTTTTAATGCGATATAATTTTGCTCGAATTGAACAACCGGCTTCAACGCTCGGTTTACACGGAGAAATTATATCATCAAATTGTCCTTATCATCTGTATTTCGTATAATTTTCAATATAATAATAGTTTTCGTTTGGGATACTGCAATAAAGTACTTGTTTAATATTACATAACATTGTTATTTATACCATTTTTTTCGGAAACATTATTCAGTATCGACTTAAGGGTTATATGAGAGATGACACATTTTTCTATGTAAACGGGCTTGAAAAGTAGTATTTATGTTCACTATTCATTGGGGATTAGATCAATATTAATCATATCTTCAAATGTAACAATGATATGAATTCGATTCACGCAAGAAAATTGTAATAGAATTCAATGACACGGTTTTTAATTTTAAAAAATTGAGCAGGTTTTTTTGTTGTTTCTTCTAGGGATTTTTTGATTTGCAATATTCCTTGCTGCGGGGAATAAATACGTAAATACAATATGGCCGATGGCAGCAAAACGTCGCGAGTTTTTCTGCTGGAATTCTGCCTGTGATTTAAGATAAAATTGCGAATTTTTAATATCTCGTGGAAGCTTTCAACAAGTCGAACCTCCCGCGAAGTTCGTTGCACGAGAAATGTCAAAAGTTTAACCTTATATTGGCCAAAGTTGCCGAGTGATTGCCGATGAAGATGTTTTCATTTTTTGAATCGGAGTTGACATTCACCAATTTTAGCAGCTTATAAGGTGCATGTAAAATGCAACAGGCTAACTGAAGCCTATACGGCGTTCGATGTAGCGGATCAGGACGATTCGCATAAATTGTGTGGCTTTCGCACGGCGATGGCGTAGGGGTGCCAGTACTATCATGGATACAGAAGTTGAGCTTGTCAAAGGCGAAGGGACCAGTGAAACTGGTTCAGGTTGTTCCGGCTATTCCAGCATGGTACATAGCAAGAAGGTCATCAAGCACGCGTTGCGCCAACAAGCCAAGAGACGGCGGAAAAACACAACCATAGCTGCTGGAAATTCACGTACCCTGCCACGCATTGTTGTCAAGCCATTGCCACCACCACCACCAGACGATTCACCTACTCTTGTAAACAATATCCAACACCCTAACACTGGTAATTCTGTAGTATTTATCCTGATTGTTTTGCCTCCTCCCATTTAAATATTGACATTTTATTCAATGTCACTTTTGGACAAACACTTTTGGTGACCAGACAGAGAATGGTGGCTGCCGAGATTCTCTTTCAATCTCATATTCCATTTCTTTAATTTCGTCTGTATACCTCAAAGAATTGTGAAAATGGCCTTTCACAAATTAAAGGTTTGCTTGAACTATTGCTTTTTCAGTTTATCTCAGATGATTCCTTGCTCTGACTGTGCCATGAATTTTTTGTAATAAATCATCCAATTGTACGTGTATAGTTATCTTTAGAGCACACGTATAATACAAAGTGAACTACTAATAATGTATTATGCTAAAACATAAACTATTTTATTTACAATATAGCAGCAGAGGAACCGGCAGCTACTATGAGAGAAGTCTTGGCCAGTTTACCAGGTTTTAGTTTAAAATCAGGCCGTAGACGATCAACCAAAAGGTTGTCAGCAGCTGCACAATTAGAAGCAGGTCTGGTGGATTTGGAATCACCAGCCAGTATTCTTGCAAGTACGAGTTTGCGAGCTCTACTTAATAGGCATACCTTTCAAGGCCTTCCACCATTGTATCAAAGAAAACTTGCCCAACTTTTGCCAGCTGTTGATAGACAAGTATGTTTCATTATCTTATGCATTTATGCCATAGTGCATAAAGTACCTTCATTATACGCGTAAAACGATAATGCGAAGTTATTTACACCATTAGTACAGACCATCACTGTCGTTTAATAACCATTTTCATTTCCAACGTGACATTTAAAGCTCACAGTGTTCTACTAAACTAATTGTAAGTTAGTAGCAATAGTATATAACATTCAAAAAAATTATATTAATCTATTATTCATAGGATGCCGCAACATCAGGACTGAACAATGAATTTTTTGCGCGTGCTTGTTTGGAATGGCGAAAACGTCTAACGGAAGGGGAGTTCACACCGGAAAATCAGCAAAGGCTTAAAATGGAAGCTGAGAGAGACAAACACAAATTAGACCCTTGGAAATTAAAGCACTTTGAACCTATTTGGGGTGAAAAATTAGAGCCGAGGCTTACTTCAGGATCACATTGTATAACAGAACCTAGATCCAGCGGTGCTGTAACTCGATCGAGTATGCGTCTTCGTCATGAGTCACAAATGGAACATCCTGTATCGGAGTATGGAGCATGTACTGTCTCGACGGTGAAAGAAAAAATGAAAGAGGATGTTTCTTCAGCGGAAACGAATGTTATCAGTATTCCTGAAAGTTCCGAAAATACAGAAGAGATGCAACAGAATTCGTTACAGGAAGACGAAAAGGCAATACAAATTTTGGCAGTTGAAAATCATGTTGAGGAGTCTACAGATATGAATGAAATTGAGATAACAGTAAATGATCAACCCTATCAGGAAAGTTTTGCTGGGGAGCAGGTCGCGGAAGAGCTAGAAAGTCAAACTGCCGAAATTACAACAGATATAAATTCAATATGTCCACCAGAAAGAATAAAAGAAGCAAACGAAGAGCCAATGCCTCTAGCCACAAAGGAAAAGATTCTGCAAGTCATCGAAGAAGTACCAGTTTCAATAATAGAGAATAATATAGCGCAGCTACCAAATCTATCTATTCCACCAGCTGTCGAAGAAGAGATTGACTGTACCTCTCAGGTATCGGAGGAGTGTTTATCCAGAGTATCAGATGAACAAATCCTGCGAGTATCGGACGACTCGGTGTCTCATATGTCTGAGGATCAAGCTCCTCTGTTACCAGATGAACAAATCTCTCATATGTCCGATGAGAATAATCCAGTGAATGAGACTATGTCCTCGCACGAGGAAGTAAGAACGACGGAGTTGATAGGAACGACGGAGGAGCAGCAGCATGTAATTAATAACCAAGGAGAGAGTCGTGTTACGGCAGAAAATCCAACAGATGGGGAACCACAGATTCCAGAAGGAATGGAGATCGACAGCGAAACGTTGCAGCGTATTCATGAATTAGAAGTACGACTTAGTCAATATAAATTTGAAATATTGTTTAGTATACAAGTTCTTTTATGTGCACTTGTCTGTTTTCTAGGTACGTGGTGAAATGCGTGAAGCGTACGAGGAAATTTCAGGTTGTCCTGAGGAAATTATTTACCCGATTTTAGAAGGGATGGAAATGGATTCAAACGGGACGGAGGAAGCGGAGCCTCAGGTTGTACCGGGCCAGGGTGAGGATAGCGGGACTCAGCAGGACATGAATGGAGGAAATGAGGACGAAGCTCTTCGAGAGGCAAACAATTACGTCTGCTCAGAGATGCTTGAGTGCAGTTGGGCAGTTGATCAAAGTGTCAGCAACGTTAACAATATCAGTAGGGTAAGGTGCATATATATGGTTAATTAGAAGACGTTTCTCATGTGTAATAATCATGTTGCTGCATTACTGTTTAGAAAATCATTTTAACGACTTTTCCTCTTGTCGAAGATATAACTTGCGGCACAAGTAATTTACGTGTTTACCTTGCAGCGAGGTCCTCTATTGTTGCAAAGCTTTGACGGAGTGATAAGCTTATACTTTTTATAAAACAAGCTCGTCTATTGCGGAAGTCGTTCAAAGTAGAAGTATTGTAAATATCATCTAAAACGGGCTGATTCTTCGATCTTTTTTGGAAGTATGCACACAAATTTTCTAAAATAGAAATTCAATTGGCAAAAACGTAAGCCCAAATAGGTATACAACCCCTGAATCAAGATATGTATAATATGTTTGTATGTGTATGCGCACAAGCACGGCTGATTTGTAATACGTACATACACGCACACGTACGTATTTCGTTTCCATCCTACAGATGAAATCATTTAATGAGCAGCATACAATTAGTCAGAAGTCATTGATTTTCTTTTAACAATGAAATAAACAAAAATATTCCTCAAGACATTAAATTTAGTTTGATCAATCGGAAGCATAAAATCGATTCATTTCTGTTTTCAATTCTCCGTTATCATTATATTTTATTAATGTGTCTGCTCATCTGAATAATCAGTTGTCAGTCGATTAACGTAATTATAAATTAAGACACAGGAAGAGCTGCAGGTACCTTGGCCTCTGGTGGCAGCAGCTCTCGACGGTTCCGTCGCAGCCAATATCACAGTGACCACCCAGGATGAATGTAACGACACGACGACTACGACGGATACCGGAAGTGCCACCCAGAGACCCGTACCAGCCGATGCGAATACTGTGAAAGCAGAGACTGTCAACGGCATTCAGTTGGCTGGTACTCAGGCCGTGCCATTTCAATCGGATACCTTGTCAACGGAACCTCCTGTCACCAGTTGCCTGATGAAGAGTATGCAGTCGCAAAGTCCACCGATTATTGCGTTTCCTCAGCTGCAGTCAATCCGATTCGTGCAAACGAGCTTTCACGCGGGTCAGAATGCAGCAGCGCAGCCAATTACGAACAGCACTCCAGTCCCGGTGCAAATTCAAACTCAGCAGAATTCCTCGCAGCAAGTGAACGTCGCAAGGGGCCCGGAGGAAGTTGTACAACTTGGGGCACAGAATGTCGTAGTACGTAACAATACACAGAATAACATTCCCCGAGCTCAGGTTCAGGGAAATGCGTCGACTGTTTGCGTGCAGTCGCAGGTCAGCCGAGCACAAAATCCAATTGTTGTTCAGCACCAGACACCAATCCCGACGCATGCTAGGCAGGTTGTTAGCACTGTGCAACAACAGCCGCAACAGCAACAATATCCAGCTACAGTAACAGCGTCTTCGAGATCAGCTCGTTCTGCTGGACAAGGAGGACAGCGTGGCTCTAGGAGTAACAACAAGGAACAAAGCGGAGGAAGATCACGTAGCTCCACGAAAGAGCCACCTGGCGCTGTTAACCTTGAACGTAGCTATCAAATTTGCCAAGCGGTAAGGTTATACAGTTTTATAACGTTCATTATATAGCTCTCTTTTAAGAAAAGTTTAACATTCCTTTCATTATAGGTCATTCAAAGTTCCCCGAACAGAGATCAGCTGAAAGCCCATTTAAAACCACCGCCAAGTTTACTTGCTCGAGGCGACGGTGCCTTTACCACAAACAAGTCAGGTGGTCGTACAATCACAGCAGTGAAGACTCAAAAATCTCAACAACCAACGCAACACGGTAAACAAACACAAAACAAGGCACAGGCAGTCATGTTGAGGCACGTCTTTGCTACCGCACGTCAGACCATACCTGCAGAGGTGAGTCCTACAGAAACATTACGATTTCACATTCAAAATTTTCAATCTCCTGTGTGCATTCGTCATCACGTTCAGTGCTCCAGATTAAACCTAAAAGATGAATACTGACAATTTTTCCTTCAGGTTACAGAAAATAATGCGGTAGCACAGTTAGGCACCAACAATGCCGGTGGTCTCGGCCAGTATATACTTGTGCAAAGAACAGGCGTGGGTGACGGAGCTCCTAGAGCATCCTCAGCGCCACCATTACCACCGCAAATAGCAGGTATGGGTGTCGGTGTCCACCTGGTGCGCGGCAGGCCTGCGAGTGCTGGAGAAGGTTCGCATCAGGCGGTTACCCTAAAGGCAAGAGGTGCTTCGGATGGCAGAGGTGGCGGTGGTGCCGAACCAGGTGCACCAGGTGTCATAATGGGTGGCGATCCACCTCCTCCTTGCGAATGCAACATGCGTGGAGCTATGGTTATATGTCGTCAGTGCGGGGCATTCTGTCACGATGATTGCATCGGTCCTCAGCGTATTTGCGCAACTTGCCTCATACGCTAATCCTCTTCTCTTTTTTACTCGCACATCCCACCTTCTATGTATAAATACATTCTAAGAATTCGACGAAGTACGAGTGCTGATTGGCAGGCAAAATATTTTTTTAACACGATCATTATCTGCTTGGGACTCACAGAAAAGTTGGCTCGTGCATCACACGCGAACAGGCAGTCTTTCGTGTGCTCATGACTCCCTGACTAGAAAATATTTCTTAATTCGCAATTTACTCTTGTAAAAATTTTCTTCGTCTTACACAAGACAGTTTTACGATAAGGCATATGCGTTTCCCTCGTTTTAATTTGCTGCTCAGCACGTTCGCTTCTGCGACGTTCTTAGAGCTGAGAGTATCGGGGATATCGTTAGAAATTGAACTAAGTAGCAGACGTTATATTGTTCAATAAATAATTCTGGGCGCGACATACGAGATACGTTATTATATACATATATATATATATATATTCTTTTTCTCATACTCATTCGTACTTAGATTTATCCGATGGCAAAAGTTAATCGCTCAAACTTTTTAGCACAGTGACAGAATTAAGGTCACTTGTCTTTTAACGACATGACGCACCATGGTACATGATGTACAGTAGTGATACCTGTTAAAAAATTTATACAATCAATATTGTCGACCGAAATCGTATGGAGCGTCACGTCAGTGCGTGGCCGGCCTTAAAGTTCATATACGTGTATAAAACTAATATCCCCGAGACCCTCGGAATAGACTAACGACATATTGTAACTCTACGACAGTCTGACTCCGGTTTATCGTCTTCCACTGACATCACGCGCATAACTTTTGCGACTTCGTTATTTATTTATTCTCATATAAATCTCAGTTCTCTCATGTTAAAATGATGGACCTTACCGTTTGCGCCGAGTTGGATCTTCGTTAAATCTTTTCCTTCTAAAAATGGCCAAGCTTTTAATTTTCTTTGTCGCGAGATGCATTAGCCATCCGAACGTGTCAAAAAGTTCTTGTACGAAATAGCAGAGTATATTTATGATCATTGCTTGGAGTTGTATGTATTTAATGAGAAAACGGCGCTTGCGGCTAGGTCATTCGTAGGAGATGCACTTCACTATGGGTAGTGACGTATTTAGGTGTAAGTGACAAGCTTATTATTAGGAGATCAAGTATTTTAGGTAGTGTAGGGAGCGTCTCGTTGCTTTATTAGAACCAGTTAGTGAATGCGAGAGGTTTGCAGATTTAATTGCTACTTCTTTAAAACTGGTTAACGTGAATGAGGGACTATCGTAACACGTCATTACGCGCATATTGTATATAGAACACGTTCGTTCGTTCATTCGTTCAGTCATTCATTAATTCATTCATCGTTCATTCATTTATTCATTCAGTCATTAAGTCGTTTATCATTATGCCATTAGGTTCGCAGAGCAGGAGACTACATATTAGCGTATCAGGGACAAAAGTAACATCACGCAATTCTCGTTCATAGATTAATATTATATTAATGATACATAATCATTTATTTTTTATCATCTACAATAATAATTCGTATTATTGTAATTGCATAGCAAAAATACTGTGTACTCTTCGCTCAAATGTAAATAAAGTCATATTCGTTTAAACTTTAAACGATCCTTCTTTGCATCTGCCGTTATTTATTATGAGGTTATCAGAGCTTTCCTTGGATTGCTTTGGTAATTGTTTATTTTACTTTTCTCTAAATTTATATATTTTTTTTCTGTAAAGTTGCAAAAAGAAACGGTTATTCAGGACTCATGACGTAGATACAGGTGTTTCTGTATTGTAATGTAATATTGGTGCTTTTGTCTTTTTGAGACTAAATTGTATCTTTCAAATATTTAATATTAATTTGTAAGATCCGGTTTTCACGGGAGATTTAGTTTGATGATTGTCTGAGGTAACTTGAAGCTCTGATTTGTATGAAAAATGAATTTGTTAATCATTGCTGATTACATTGCTAATTTGATTGCAAAATACAACTGTTTGATCCGTTGAGTTTGAGTTCAATTTTTAATTATACAAAATATTTATTGTCAGTCAGTCCATCAGAAATAGTCGACTTATTCTGAGAATTTTACCGTCCAGCTATTAATCTGTGTATGTCTCTCTAATAGATTCATTGACAACTAAAGCTACAAATGGGAGAATATTTTCAATATTTGTTAATAAAAATATTTAAAGTAGCTTCACTTGAGTGAGCGTGTATGAGATAAATTTTATCTGTGTATATTTAAATCCGTATCGGATTTTAGAAAGATAAAATATGACATTCAAATTCAGCCTACCAAACGTTTTTTTTATAATGTAAGACAGCGACATTTTTATTGCCCACTTATTAGATACACAATAATATTGCCATCACTATATTTTATTTATTCATGTATATTATAGATTTTGTAATAAAATTTGTTACGCTGAAACCGATAATGTCGGTATAAACGTAATTAGAAGTACAAGAAATATAATGGATTGTTCATTATTGAAGGGGATTGATGCTTTGTTTTACAGTTTTTATTTTCTTTTCAGCATTATTAATATGATAATATAATAATAATCGGACTCTGGAATTATGATACATTACTTATGTCACGACTACTTTGAACACCTTTTATATTAGTCGCTAATTTACGAACATATTTTTGAAAATGTATCAGGCATCGCCTCAGTCTCGTGAATGTTGCGAAAAGTTCGCAAAAAACGGCACTGTTGGAAAAACAATAACCTTCTAACAAAAACTTCATAATACTCTACGCAAGACAATTCGCTTGCGACCACTGTTTTCTTTTTCTATTAGAATTCTGAGATAATCAGATTATTGCTCAAGCACTGCATGTAAAATGTGTTTGACTCAAATTTGCCAATATTCCATAAAGGAGAGTGAAATTTGACTCATCATTATACAAAAAGAACATACGAAGTATTTGTAAATTTCTTAGTCATTGCAAAATGACAGCAACAAATTATATATGATAACTTTAAACAAAGTATTCTTTTCACTTGCAGGTTTCGTCGTTTTCGAACACATACATGATTAAAAATATTGTGAATAGAATCAGTTTCGATAGTGACAATAAAAAGTAGTCAGATATTTAAATAATTTATCTCATAATTATCGTAGATTCGTTCTGATTCGATCAAAAATGCTTGCACTGAATTTTGTAAGGTGTATTATAATATTTTTATAAATTTCTGTTTCATTTATCTTATGGGAATGTAAACTGTAACGTAAAAGGGATATTTTTAAATCGCGTCAATATTCGGCGATTATCATAACGAAAAAATTATTTAGTATCCATTAAGACCAAGGTATAGAAAAGAGGACGAATATAGCTTTTTTTTTTACATCTGTGGTAACTGATCAATTGGCGTGGCGAATTTGAAATCTTCTGGAAAGAGTTTACCAGCGTGTGGATACATAAGCTTGTAAGATTGTCTGATAGTAACGTCAGCAACACCAGCGATATCGCCAATTTCTTTTTGGGACCTTTTGTCTTCTGAGGCCTTAAGATAGAACAACAATGTGATATTAGATATCTTGAATTAAAAAAGTATTTATTTTTTAGATTTTTACCTGTGATGCCATATAAATGGCCGCTGCTGCTACCGATATAGGTGATCTTCCTGGTACAATGTCGATCTCTACTGCCTTCCTGGCGATATGGGTGGCTGCACGTTGTACCATATTGGGAAGACCCAAATTTGAACAGAATCGCGACATGAAGTCACCTGTTGTGATAAGATCTACACTGGTTTCCAATGCCTTCAGGATCAACTTGAAACATCGGCCGATTTCTTTTTTACTGATCTTGCTCACTGCGCAAATTTCTTTAAATGTACGAGGCACTCCTTCTTGTCGACAAGCTATGTAAAGACATGCGGATGCAATGGCATCGTTTGCGCGACCCTTTAAATTCTTTCCATCATGAACCTGCTTGAAAAGGTTGTTTGCCCTGTCTACGATGGTCTTAGGGAGATTAATGCGATCAGCCATTCCATTGATTTCACGAAAGGCATTGATCAGAGCTCTGTCGGAACTACTCATCTAGAAAAAAATTGAGTTTAGAAGGCATTTCAAATTTAGTTATACAATTTAAAAAGGGAAAATAGGATTTTATCCAAGAAAAGTAATTCAGATAACTTACTGTACGCCGGTTTTGATATTTTGATGCTCCAAACGCATCGAACGAGGCTGCACCAGTACCTGGTCCAATCATTGTCGATAAATCTGATCCATTGAGCAATGGATTTTCTGGGCCACCAACACGAGAAGGATCTACTCCAGCCTTTTCGTTACTAAATGTTCTCCATTCCGATCCAACATCTATTACCCTACAAATAGATGATACAGGTTCAACATACAATTACTTGATAATATAGCATAATATTTTCAGATAATAACCTGTCGCCTACTACCAATCCACATTCTGAACAGATCTGATCTCCAGCTCGATAATCTTCAATCAGAACAGCATCAGGATGAGCATAGCAACATACTTTATTTGTCTCATGTCTGAAAAAAAAGGTACATGAATATACCTAACATGTTCTACAGTGTATACATAAGTCAGAATCAGAATCAGTAAATTACTGAGAAACAAGATATATCTATATTATAACATAAAATACGCTATAAGCACTTCAACTGCATGTCAAACGATGAAATTCGGAGGTTAGGTTTAGCAAAGAATGTGGAGGTTTATCCACTTTTTGAAAAGATAAGTTCTTTAATAACATCTTTCAATTACAAGGAACAGATGCATAATATTGCGTACATTGACAGCGTACTTTTGTTATACAATAGCACGCCAACCTTGGCGGTGAGGTTATCGATAAAGAAAATTTACAAGTTTCAGTAGCTCAAAAGAAACCTTGCTTTATACGTTCTATCACAACATAATAACCTCAACCTTTATTATTGTTCATGCACCTCTACCAATTATGTTCCCAATTAACACGAAAAAAAAAGTTTTAATTCACCTTGACGAACTTGCCATATTTTATGTATTGTGTCAATCGTGTGTATAAATAATTTATATCGAAACCAGTACGATCGGGTCTTTATCGATACGTGCGCAACTGTCTTCGCGCTGAATGCGTTTCTAACCAGGAGCGTATAACAAATGAAAGGTACCCATAGATTCAAAGGGTTATTTTATACCTAATAATGAATGAAATAACATCACCATTAAGAATATACTTTAAATTAAAAATTTACAGTTATATAGGTTAATATATACAGTTAGAGTATATAGTATAATATAAGAAACTTTCACAATACCGATCGTATAGAAATTTAATCTATAAAATACATTGAATACGACCCTCTATCCCCTTCATTTTCATTATCATCTAATCTTTAAATATTGATTATCATTATCAGTTTCGATCATGATACTGTTAATATCTGTACAACTTTTTTGTTATGCGATAATATTCGTAATTTTATGTTGACTAGGTCTACACGCACGTGCGTGACAAGACACAGAGGCCCCATAGCGCTGTAAACAAATTTAGTATCCCGCAGTATGTCTATTTAAACCCAACAAAATTATTATCTTAAAGTTAAAGTATTCCTCAATTAATTACTTTTGTCACGAATTAGTCAGTTAATTTCTAAGTATAATGAATATTTCATAATTACATCACATAACTTGTAAATTTTTTGTGGATAAAATTCTCCCTGTTAAAACGTATATCTATCTCTTTTTAATGGCAGCGACAGTTTTTAAAATGAATCAATTTATTTCAAAATTGAAATTAGTATCTATATTCACCAGTCTCTTAAATAATCAGCATTTCAGTTTCTTAAACGATGTATATTTTTATAAATCAAAAATCCGGTTTTGCAATAAATCAACATTTTTTTAAGCAGATCATCCAGTATCATATTCACTCAATTTATTTTAAGATTCATGATCATTTACGAACGCCACCAACATTTCCTTGAAGCAGTTACCTAATTTTTAAACTGCACATTCACATTCATTGGCTGACAACACCGATAACTATTCACAATTCGAATAAAGCGGTAATAATGTTACAATCGAATCTTCGATAAAACCGGACATAATTTTTTATTCTAAAGGAAGGAAAGGAAAGAAAAAAGGGAAAGATGATTCATATCCTGCAATGACAGTGTGAATCACATTTATTATTTTAATCTGCGAAAAATTATATGTCTAATTATTCATTTATTCTTATCAACTGCAAGAGTTTTAACTCTATTTTCATTTAAATATCCATATCTTGACTTTCATGCGCAATTCTGTTCACCTTCGATTTGCAAGAATAAATAAAGCCGGATCAGTAGAGAATTAATGTTTACGTATTAATGTGCTACAATTAATTAATTGAAGTTAAACAATGAGGATTGTTACGTTCCGAATTTGAGTACCTTGGTTCCCCATGAAGCATATTTTATTGGAAATGGAACGAAATTTTAATTTTAGCTTCTATATAAATTTGATGTATGTGTCAAAATTTAATTCAAAATTATATAAAATCAGTAGAAATATTAAGTTACTTTATACAATATTTATTATCTTAAATCACGTTAATTAATAAGAATTTGCTCTATGGGGAACCAGGGTGTTAAAATAAGGAACGGAACGATCCGGATTGGTTAACCTCTCACCATTCCGCCTTTCCGATTCCGTTTTCCAAGCAGTTCGACAGTTTCACACCGATCAGTTGATGAAACCGACGGAAAAGCAATAACAATGCGCTTCTATAATTCGAGAAAAATTCAAATGTATTTTTTAGGAGAGGAAAGAAAGAGAAGAGAGAAAAGAGAGGTAGTGCAAAATATTGTCTTCGTAAACATATTATTACGGCGACGTAGTCATTCAATTTGGATAACGCGACTTGAATTAATACACGTGCCGTACGCGTGCAAAACAACGATATATTTTTATATAGTTGGCATTTTTCAGCGATATGATTACGTATCCTCGACACGTAGTTCTGATCAGCTGTCATTTACATGACGAGCTTTTATATTGTTGTGCACTACAAGTTGATAACTCAAAGGCTTTCTGCAATCCAAATTGTAAAGAGCAATTGAAACGCAAAAAAAGTTGATTCATCGTTCAATAGCTGGTTTGATTAATTGTAATATGCAATTTCTAGCAATAATGTCGAACGTTTTCTCGCAGTGCATTGATTGTCATTTTGAAATTTATATAAAAATTATCAACTATATTGTTTTATAATCAATACAATTATTTCTGTTTCCGTGTCTCAACTTTCTACGAGACATTTAATAACAGAGTCAATTTGGCAATAATGTGATAGGGATGTTATATACATAGCTATTTACGAAATTACCGCAAGAATTTACGCAGCGAAATTAAATGTGATTGTAAGAACGCAATAGGAGTTTTTTCAATTAATTTCGCGAGCCAAGGTCTTATTTAAATTTATTTACTTTGTTGCGTCTTACAAGACTTTAGGGTAGAATAGAATGATGCAATTATACAAGTGGAGTGAAAACATTATACATTCAAAATTTAAAACAGCAATGAAGGGACACTGTAGGGGTATTTTGGCTGTTTAGAATGTTACAGTTTGTCTCTGACAGGCCAGTCAAAAACTGATTTTTAATTTCAAGAAATAATCACAAAATGAGAAATATGGAAAATTTTCTGGACGTTAGCTACGTCATCCTGAACATTTCACATATTTTATTACCTTGTGAATACTTGTTGGAATTTCAACCGTAGGTAGATTGCTATGCAGGACTAAAAGAATCACGCGTAACCCCATTTTTTGTAAATCCAGGGATATTGTCCTATCCTGCTAGTAAGGAAAATCTTTGCAGGATTCCTGAAATTGGCCAATAAATCGCTGAGGATAACAAGAGGCTCGCTATTCTGGCGTGGGTCGTGAAATCTTGGCAGTTTTACCAGGGTAATCCTTTTCAAGATCCAACATCATTTTGTTATCCCCAATAAAGAATAAACATCCTACAACATATTCTAATTCGACTAAACAATACAGTATCGATAATGTAATTTTGTTTTTTTGGATCCTTATCTGTCACTTTTTCCTACCTTTATCGATGCTTGATGTCGATATGTTTCATATGGCAACAAGGTTATTCGGAAGTATTGCACCACCTGAAGTGGGCTACGGTGGGCCACAATAGAGAAATCGAATGAACGGGCTAACTTCACGTTATTAAAATACTCCTGAATGATGCTATATGTATGCGTATGTCTATATATCTATATATGTTTTACTCGATGCTTCCAAAGCGAATCTGGAGGAGTTATTTGTGAAATTATAATTTTTAAGTCAATTTGATAAACAGAAGTGAACAAGCTCACAACTGGATATTATATAACTTAATTGTAACTCCCTAGAGATTATAATATATCGTTATAACACGATATTTGACCCCCGCAATCTTATTACGTGGAATTGATTAAACAATCATTCGCTGGGGGTCTTGAGTAATATAATTACTGAGAATGAGAAACACGAAATTTTGATAAGTAATTTTTTTTATTTTCGTAATATCGACAGTCAAGGGTTATATGTGTCAGAACGAGACATTTGATGATTCTCTTGAATGATACTTGGTTATGTGAAACGTGCGAAATTACACGATTCCTTGAATTGGGAATAATACGACAGCGAAATAGTTAGATTACAGAAATAGTTAATATACCCAGTAAACTTATAATAAAATAACAATTATATATCGGGTATGCTATAATTTTATACACAACAAATATTATAGTTACGTATATCCAGTATCTTCTCGCCAAACACGCTATTACATGTAACACGTGCATGTTAATTGTAATTTTGTACCCAAATACATAAAGTACATATAACAGCGCAACTGATTTATAACAATTACAACATTCAGTATGAAATTCAAGCACTGTTCATATACAATATCCATTATTTTGTATTTGTTTGGATTAAATTTTCTTGAGGAAAAAAATGTCTGCACATACACACACATACGTTTAGCTTGAATACCCGGTATAATTTTATTTGCAAGATATTGAGTTTGATTGTTCATGACTCTGAAAGCTCGAAATCCCAGTTTGTACTTTTCTCATTGCGCAGGATATTCTATTTAACAGCATCCAATTAGTGTATAAGAGATTTTCAAACTTATTAAAATAACGTGATATTTTTTTTAATTAATTTCTTTGCGTATTTTCCGAACATTCGTTATGGCGTGTCTATGTAGATATAACTTTGTAATGTACAAATTTAAAGAGTGATAAATAACGTGCCGAAAAATATCATTGCATGTATTGTAACTTGCGCAATTAGTTCGGATAAGAATAATCTTTCGAATTATCAGTAAGGTTGTCCCGTAATATTTATTACGAAATATCGATATTTAATTGCCATAATGAAATCGCAGTAATTATAACCCGACTAAAAGTAATGATAGTCTGTTGTTTTTTTATGTATAAAACCTGTCAAGTACTAATTGACATCAGTACATAATTTAATATTTATCCTAAACAAACGTGTAATGACATTCTTGATCCAAATCGTAATTACCAATTACGTATATTTGATTCAAGACTCTCGGACAACGTTAATAATATTAATCTCTCATTAACGTTGCACAATCCTAAGAAAGTTTTCCTGATAAAAGTAAACATTTTCGAAGTTCCTAAACAATCAAGACTCGTTAACACGTTGATTAGCGCGTCAAGCTGATTATGAAACGTGTGTACTAGCATTTAACAATAACAGTAAATTGTCACATAAAAACAGACTGAAAGTCAAAACACACACATATATATGTATATTTAATAAGGAAGCGTAGTTACAAATAAAAATTAAGGAAAAATGAGTAAATAACACATTACGTAAAATTGTTAGCCAAAGACGTGGTGCTTTCAGTAGGGGGTCTTAATAGGAATCTGGATAGATCAGGGTCAACAATTTTCTCTTTTTCAGATATCTAAAATGCGTCAAGAGTTTCTCGGGAGATCATAGAGTCTGTTTTTGTTGATTTAAATTATTAGTAAATTTTCAAGTTTCCATGAATAACGTCTTATCAGTTGATTGAGTAAGATGAATATGGAAGCAGTAGGTAACGGCACGTATATCCACTATGTGAAATGCATTACGTTACGTTACTGAATTATACGTATAGGTTGAATATTTATCTTTAGAAAAGACACTGCAAAGTACCGGTTGCAGTCCAAGGAATTGTCTGGATGTATCCAGATGGAAATAAAGGAATAAAAAAAATGTGAACCATGTGACGGGTGTGAACTATGAACTAGTGAGAACTGGTACTGGTACGATCGACTTCTCCATACAGAGTATAGATACCGATTAGTGTTATCAATAAGCCGTGTGCCCAAGTATCTGAACTTTGTATTTTCATTTATCGGGCGTAAATTAATAAGCTATTAATACGATTGTTTTTATTTTATATGAGGCTGAGTCTCGTATTTTACACCCCTCGCCCCTCGATTATACAAAACAATATTGAGAGGAAAGTCACGTGTAATTCTTAACGGCCATTTTTCAAATTTAAATTTGCATTTCAACGGTTAGTTTTCACATTAAGGTTAATCATTTGATAAATGTCTTTTATAGTCACCGTTGTGAACGCACGCTTAACTTTGTTCACGAGTTGTCCGAGTGGGGCGCGACGCGTGTGTATCCGCGAAGAGCATGAAGATTTTCTGCAGTAGTCACAGGTCAGATAAGTGTATCGTTTAGATAAGATATTTTTATACTTCTTTTTTACAAGAGCCTTTTTCTATTTGGGGCATTTCTAATTATCGATGAATATCGTAATAGACTACACACGGAAATCATGTAAGAAGTGGTGGGATTGATAAATAAATGTGTTGGTCGTATAGGACCAGAAGACATCATGTGTCATGGCACTCGCTTATGCCGACAGGATGGGGGATCAACGTGATTGCGATTCTTTCTTTTGAACTCGACTTTCTTTTTTTTTTTGACCAAGTAGTATCATCTATCGTCTGTTGGAGTTCGCCGGGTCAAGTCTAGAGGTGGGGGTTAAGCCACGTGGTCCTAACCGTCAAGATCCACTATATAAAGGAGCATCTTCCAAATTTTAACGGTTTCTTCTTACTTAACTCACACAAGCTAACGAGCTCATTAAAGGTTGTACCATACCATAAAGGCTGTACCATTGATTAATCAAGATTCAAGATATAAGACATCGGAGCATTATTTATTAACAGGATTCAAGTAAGTTTTTGTGTATATTTATACATGTTCCACGAGTAAAAGATTTTGCCTAGGGAATACATTTACTTTAAAAGTCATAAGAACATGGCCCTTCAAAAATGTATTTCACTTGTGGACAAGTACAATTTTAACGAGAACATTTAGTTTGTTTTTGTTTAACTCATAAAACTGCTTCACGTCATGAGTTTCATATTCGAGGGACTCTTGTACGTTGTAAACCGTAAGGGGTTGGCCTCTTGAATTCAAATTGATTTCCTGGCTTGAATGTATGCTTATTATAACGCGATGACGTACAGCCATCAAAGTACTAAGTCCGATCGTAGTTCAACATCGGTGCCTAATCAATTCCATGTTAACTTTTGGTGGTAGTTTCATACATGCAGGTACACATCATCGGAATACGATTAGAGACTGATTCCTATGGGATTATTTTAGGCTGCACGAATTTCTATTTAACGAAGTAATATTCTGCGTTTTCGTAATTGGATTAATTAGTCGGAGTTTATATGTATTAATCGAGATAAGTCTTGTCGTGTTATACCTGGACGTATGGATATGACGGGATAATGTGTGGATATGACTATAAATAACACGAGCGAGTTATATGTGAATCGTACGTTAGGGGAGAAATGAATTTTGAAAATTCATACGTCTGAAGTAATTTCACTGATAACGCGATAAGAAAAAAAAGTCAGTCTGACGCGTGCTGTCTTGACTCAACCACTTGTAACTGCTTTAATTACTATATAATTGAGACTTGTTGTTGTTTGATATCTTGAATAGTTGGTACGATGTTCATATGTGAATCGATAGTACGTGATGTAGACTGATGAACTTTGTCCTCGTTGCTGGGCGAGTTCGACGTGTCTGGAATGAATGAATGAACGAATCTGTTAGGTTAGCTTAGGCCAATGAGATTTTTCAAAGTTTCATCAGCTCTGTTAAAGCTTTTTAGTTTACTGAGACTCACACACTCGTTATTTTTCAGAATGAGTAAACTGGGATCGCTGGCAGACGGTTCGCTGTCCTTGATGAGCAGAAGGAATCACTCCAGGAAGACAAGTTCTCTGTATGTTATTCCTGAAGGAAAACTTTCCTTGATGAAGAATAACGACGCACTGGGAAAGAACATAGACTTTGGAAAGCCGGTTCTTTATAGAAACGGCATCCAACCTAATCCCATTGCGAGCCGTGACGACGGAAGGTAGAGAATAAATTTTATTCTTTTATTTCATATGGCGAATGAAGTAGGTCTCTTTCTTAGAAGGATTACTGAAACAGATAGAAATACAAGATGGCAAGTAAAGCTAGTTTTTCAAGGAAGATTATATAATAAGGCAAATTTTTATTCATAAAAAATAAAGGCACTTAAGGGGTGAGACAGACTCTGTGAACCACATATGAGTATTTATGGATTAATGCTAATTGTTGTTATTGTCTTTCATATATTTTTGGTATACAAACTCTGACAGATGGACATTATTTGAGGTTAGTCATAATAGATAGTGAACATTGCCATATATGCAGATGATTCATCGATAATTGTTCGATACGGGATACCGACTGGTATTTGAAGCAAGAGTCAAATGGACTCAGAACGATTCATTAATATTCATTTCAATGATAGTATCAGCATAGACTCAAGATTACCAAAATTAAATCACAAATCATAATAGATGAGTGTATTCTTAGCACAAGGTCTTATAGCTATCTGGTCAAAACTGATAAAATAAATTCCAAAATGAAATCACAGTACAAGGGTTATAGGAATTGTAGCATAAATTTGAACCGCTATATTGAAGTTCGAGAAAAATAAGTTGTTAATATTTCACCATCAACGTACAACGTTACGCATTAATTATTGATCCAATATTTGATACATGGAGTACAAATATTGAACCGGTGATAACATCTAACGAAATTTTTAATCTGTCAAAAGTATGTGTAAAATATCCTTTGTGTACTTTATAAACAAGGTAAACCAACGGTATACGGATAAAACGAGGTTTCAATTTAGGGCACAAAAAGTGCCAAATCTGTGTTTTGGCTTGATGTGTTATACTAGGTTGTTATGATAGACTATGGTATTTTACGACGTATAGCAAAACGTCATTTTTCTCAGTGTAGAGGAGTCGTATTTAGGTTGGTAAAAAAAATGACTAACTTGAAATAACATTGAATTGGATAAGCTGTAGATTCTGCTGGTTGATAATTCAATGCGATTGAAAGAGCATAATGATCCCCGCTCATTAATTCTGGAGGACGTTGGAGCAATCCTGCCACAGATCAAGGATAGAAGTTATTATCACCACAGTCTTGCTTAGCAATCTGTACAGTCGGATCTGCTGTTTATCGCCATGATATAGACGGATTGTACCAGGATAGGCGGTCTTTTTCTTTTCTTTATAGCTGGACAATGGATGATCTCGATGACATCTTTCCTATCTGAAATTAATTATAATTTTCCAATTGTTGTTTTCTGGATCACTTACAGTGAATAGGGTTAATCCATCCATCTGTCGTGACTAAATTTTCACTGACTTCTTACGCGTCTCTAGTCCTTATATATAATCAGGTGGTACGGTAGGTGTGGTGGAGGTAGCGTTAAGCTGTTGCGCCATCTTGCGGTGTCCAGCAGGACTTTTAAAGCAAATTCGTATTCAATTTAAATACGACATACGAATACGAAATTTCCTTCAATTTTGAATCTTTGTAGACATCGCTGTTAAGGAGCTTGATAAAGAAGTTAGGGCTAACCTCTAAGGAACGTTACAGTATATATTATTTAATCTATCATTACGTGACAAATTATTCGGATAGTGCAGCGAATCAAAGTGTAATAATAAAATTATGTATAATGTTTGGATGGAATTCCGACGTTGCCCGATGGATCTGCACGTTTCACTTTTGTACTTTGAGTCACGATATCTTATGCATGGTTCATCAAAAAGATACATAATTAGAGGTCATTGAGGCTGTCTTAACCTCGTTATATTTTAGACAAGAAAAAACATGCCGTCAGTGCTTATAAATATATTGTTGGTATACCTTGAAATGAAAAATGGTACACTTGATTTGATTATAAATTTGTTCGAGCAAAGTTTTCGTATAGAATGTATTTTTCAAAAATGTATAACGCGGGAGGGGGAAGTATCCTATGACGCATGATAATTATAAACTACGCGACAGCAAGTGAATAATTTGTAATTAATCTTGTTGAAGATTAAAGATTGGAATGAAGACAAAAATGCTATTTCTTAAAGAAGTAGATAATAAATAATCGTGTTTCATTGGAACGATGAATTTTAACTGTATCTGACCTCATTCGTAAAGTTTTAATGAAATATGATATTTAATCTTTATAGTTTTTTTCTTCTTTAGCTTTTACTTTTTCATTGGTCGTACTAATGAAATATGTTGTATTTATCTTACAGGGACAAGTATGAACTTGGCTCTTATGGTTATGGAAAGAGTAGCGTGAAGTTGCTTCATGTGCACAGAGATGGCGCTTATCATGATATCCGAGAATACGAAGTGGACACGCATTTGCGTTTAAATTCGCAAAAAGATTATCTTGAGGGTGACAATAGGGATATTATCGCTACAGATAGTCAGAAAAACACTGTTTATCTACTAGCTAAGAAATATGGTGTAAAATCTCCTGAGGAATTTGGAATTCTTCTATGCGCCCATTTCCTTTATACATATAAGCATGTCGAGGAGGTTAACGTGAACGTCTTAGAATATCCTTGGTCTAGACACGAGGTCAATGGAGTAGCTCATAATCATGCTTTTGTATTTAGTCCTACTGCCATTAGATACTGTCAAGTTTCACAATTAAGAAACGGTGAGTGTTTATTTGTATTACTGATTACTATGCATAGTATTTTTATATTCACGATAATATTGTGTATCGTTTATTTATTAGAGTCGCCAAAGATCCGCGGCGGACTCAAGGATCTTCGGGTTCTTAAAACCACGCAGAGTTCATTCACTGATTTCATTCAGGACGAGTATAGGACATTGCCGGATGCTAATGATAGGATCTTTAGCACAGTCGTTACGGCTTCCTGGGACTTTTCCACAGCTTCCGGAGTAAATTTTGATCAGGTCTGGCAAACTGTTAAAGATTGTATACTCGAAAATTTTGCTGGACCACCTGAAACTGGCATTTACTCACCAAGCGTTCAGAATACACTCTATTTGGCGGAGAAAAATGTCCTGGATAAAGTGGATCAGGTAAATAATTTTTATTACATGCTTATATCACTGTCTGATGATCACTTTCGATTTTTTGTGAATTTAACAAAAATTTGAAAATTTATCCCTAAATCGTGATTCACCCTGTATACGGAGACGTAGCGATACATATACAGAGTTATTCAGTAAAAATGCGCCACGTGAACATGATTCTACCACAGAAATCAAATCGACGGGCTAACTTCAGGTGCTGCATTTCTACTGAATAATCCTGTACACAAAGCAATGCAGCTATTTTTGAATATTTATTTTTTGGGGTAAAAATCTAAAATGTTTATTTTTCTAATTCACAGATTTACAGCATCGAGATGAAGATGCCAAACAAGCATTATTTCGACATTGATCTAACGAAATTCCAGAAAGTCGTACAGGGTGAAAACAAAGAGGTGTACCTTCCGGTAGACAAGCCTTCCGGTATCATATATGCCCAGCTCGATAGAAAAGTGACAACGTCAAAGTTATGAAATTTCTATTTAATAAAGTGATCACCGAACAATTGCCATCTACGGAATATATCCTAAGCATCTGTATTATGTCACGAACCGTTAATGGTCGTTGCGTAATGCCGAGATAGATATTAATTACGTTTTCGTCGATGGACTCGAAGATTCGAGGGCTAACGCTTTCACTTTTTCACGACTCACGTGCATTTATTAGCGATACTCAATTTGTAAATATATCAGTATTTGTATTGTAATGTCATGTGACGCTGTTAAATTTCAATGTTTTTGATTATTTTGATTACTCTGATTATGAAATCATTAATGCGTCACTACTGTTATTTAATAGATTGTTAAATAATTTTAAAAATCTTCCAAGGTTACTTTAATTGGGTTGTTGTTATGATAATTATTTTAATAAATTGAACAATTTTTATTCTTTACATATTCACGTTCTAATGAATATTGTCCGTTAAGTTTTCCATATCTTTTCATTGGCAAATTTTCTTAGAAATGCGTCAATGATTTTTTTACATATCTTAAGCCACACCAAACGTGTCCCAGATTTTACACGATTCTCGTGGCACTATTTCGGTGCGGCTCTTTTTTCCCCCTTTTTTATCTTTTTTAATAGTCGATCTCTTTACACATCCTTTGGCGCGCCCAGTTTCCTCTACAACTGTCATTATTCAAACATACACCTCAAGTGAAATCTGGAAATATTTGAGAGTGGCAAACAAACCGTCTCATAAGAGAATTGTTCACGCATCCTGCATGCCAGTACCATTGTGTCTTCTTTGGGTTTTGGGTGTATCTGGCAGCGAGGACGAAACTGTGTAAAAAAAATAAACGTTAAAAAAAAGTGGAGTATATTTGTGCTGTGAAAAATTGTGTGATGTGAGAATACGTTGCATAGTATTAGGGTAAAGCGAACATTTTTTTTTTTCGAAATTTTACTGAGCGACTATGACGGGCCACCACGAGCATTTTACGAAGATATTTGCTTTGATGGGATTTTTCATACTGAAATATGGAAACTGTATACAGGTCGAGTCCTCAAATTTGAATGAAACTGACAAACAGTGCGGTGGTTCATTCTCGGGTTATCAGTATTCCATAAGCAGTCCTAATTATCCTGGAAATTATCCTGCTAAACTGGATTGCACTTATGAGCTACGTGGTAGTCAATTCTCAAAATGCGATCAAGAATTTCATTTGCAATATTTGGACTTTAATTTAAAACCCTCGGAAAATTGTGAGAAGGATTTTCTCAAGGTTGGGGATCACGATGTGCTATGTGGTAATGTCGTGGGAATAAGACAATTTAAAGGGCTGAATAATAGTCTGAGATTAGTTTTTCATTCAGACGAAGAACGGGGTGGAAGGGGTTTTAAAATTTTGGTAACCACCTTGCCCTGTTCCAGTGTTAAAATAGATCCAAAAAGAAGCAGGTATGTTATCTATGCATGCAATTTCTTTATTTCGAAATTTCGTTTTTACGTGGATATTTTGAATTTTTTTTCCAGATCAGTCACTGAATCTAGTACAACATCGGAAAATAGTTTTTCCTTGGACGGAGCGGCAGAACATCAATTTAATACAGACAATGAGAATGAAACACTTAATGTTCCTGCATCAACTACTCAGTTTATTTTTGCGACTAAGGAAAGTCTAACTAATGATTTTGCACGGGAGGAACTTTCACCTAAAATAGGAGAGGAAAATGTGTATTCGATGTACAGCCCGAATATCGAATTTAACGTTGAAGATATCGAGGGAGGAAGAGCTGATCAGATTCCTGTAAAAATTCAAACATCCGATTCAAACATTAAGAAAAATTCGATATTTACAAAGACCCACAATCTTCCTACGTTAGTCGTGGCGAAGCCATCTGAAAGTTTCCAATTACCAATATACGAGCAACATCATTTTCACGATGAAAATTGCCAACACTTTAATATCCATGAGAATGAAAATCCATTGGAAAATCCATTTGAGACAACAGCAAATTTTGCTAGTACACAAGAAAATCATAAACCGCATATTACATCGTATTTGTATTTACCACCAAGTTCCACTGTGCCACTAAAAATTCGAAATCAAATCGACGAAAACTCGTCTAATTTAACGGATTCAGTTGCCGGTAAAACATCCTCGAGCCTAGCGCCACCGGTTATCTTTCAAACTATTCCATTCTCGACCCTCAGTAATGTGGCTAGTGTCACGGTGCCGCCTACAGAAATTCTATTACCAAATTTCAATACCGTACCAAAGTTTACCACGCTAGTTAACGCAGGAAATCGAAATTTGGCCGAGTTTCGACAATCTCCAAGAGTCAGCGTTAATTCGACAAGCAACAACGGCATAGACGGTGTAACGAGATTGATTAACGAAGGGTCAAAGGTCGGACAGAAATACATTACACCAGCCACGGTTTACGGTACTCCCGGAGAAGCTAATGTCAATATAAATAAGGATTCTTATTACATTCCGTCATCTATTAATTATCCTAACGCGAATAACAATCCCAGCACAGGTGGCGTTAATTGTAATGGAAATATTTCTCCAAATTTTCCCAATATCAACACAGGATTTAATACTGGTAATGTGAATACTAATTATGACCCGTTAGCTAACAATGTGCCCAATACGAATTTCGGTGTGAATACAAATTTTGACTTCAATAACAATCCCGGTACTACATATGGAATACCAAATTTTAATTTCAACACCAATCCGAATCCAACGATTAACACAGACTTTGGTTCAACAGGTACGAATTACATACCATCCACAATTAATTATCCCAACACGAATTTTGACGTGAATACAAATTTCGGTGTCTCTGGTAATTACCCATCTATAAATCTCAATCCTGATAATAATTTCGACTTTAGTTTTGGGGTTAATTCTAATTACCCAGGGACGAACTTTGGCGTAGGTAGTAATTATAATCCAAATACTGGATTCGTAAATTCGAATTATTATCCTAGTACCGGTACTGTCAATACTAATTACGATCCTAATATCGGTATTGTAAATACGAATTATTATCCCAGTACAGGAACAAATGTTAACGGTCAAAGTTCTGAGTGCTGTAATACTGTGTACTCGTCTCAAAGGTTTCTATTAACGAGTCCCGGATTTCCGGCGTTGACCTATTCCTCTAAAAGTTACGAGTGTCGATACACCATACGAAAATATTCTCAAGATGTGTGTCAGTTGCGTTTGAATTTCAAATTCTTTTATTTGGGTTCGGACGATCAGTTTTGCGCTTACGGGTATTTGGATATAGACGGTCAAAGAGTATGTGGCTGTAAGAGCAGCACCAGTATAGTATCGAGATTTTCGAATTACGCAACGAAAACAATTACTTTGAAATACTTGGGATATCCTCGAATAAAGTTCAACGGATTTTTGATCGAAGTTATTCAAGAGTCATGTTCGAATAGTTACGCAAGAGCTCTCAAGGATATCGAACAGAGCAGAACGATAGTAAATTCGAGATTGAAGAGATCATCGACAGGATATTTTTATGAAAAACCAAGTTACTCGTTGCCAACCACCGGACGTCATCCTCTGCAAAATCCCGGAAGTCAGACGAATCAAAATTTATTTTTCAACAGTTGTCAAGCTTTGGTTTTCTTCAATTGGGCCGTGGCAGCTAAGACAGTTTATCTGCGAAATGCACAATGCTCGACGACCGGAAGTTCCAGTCTCATTTCACAAGTGATACCAATATTTCCTGTAAGTGGCAGTTGGATCAGTTATCCAGCTGCCAATTGCGAAGGTATCAACGTTATTGATGGGACTATATCGTCACCGCAATATCCAAGAAACTATCCTGAAAATCTCAACAAGTGTTATAGGTATTATAAAAATCTGCATATGACAACAAATCTATTAATAGTATTAAATATTGTTATTAAAATAAATATTCCAGATTCTACAAAGCTCCTGGTTACTGTCAATTGGAATTGGCGATTTTGGATTTTGATTTAGAAAATACTAAGGGCTGTTATAAGGACTATGTATCATTCAGTGGGCAGAACAGAAGATACTGTGGCACATCCTTGGCAGGAAGTCGAGGTAGGAAATACAATATTTTATTATAACATGTTTTCGTCTCGCTTTAACTTATAAAAATTTTTTATTTTCTCACAGCTATATTCGATACGTCAAGAAGCAACATAGTGGATATGTATTTTGTTTCGGATTCTTCCGGATCCGGTCGAGGCTTTCGTGTTGGCTTCACACAAATTTCCTGCCAAGGCCAGGTGAATTTATAAGGAATGTCATCGAGTGACCATATCAGTTTAATAATTCACGTACATCTTCAAAAATTTTAAATTTTGTATATGTACATTCATTTTTGCAAATAAACTCTAGAAGTTTCTGATAGTAAATTCGTGTACCGTAATTACTAAAATTTTTGGATTCCACCATTTCACGTTTGGTTACTCAATTAATCTAATGCAGGACATCCACTATCACAAGGAGAATCAAACCAATAATTCTCAGCAAGAAAATACAGAATGCATCCTGGAACGTCGTAGCAAAGAAGGTATAGAATTGGCACCCAGTTTGGAACCACGTTCGCCAAAGAATTTAAGTTGCAGTTACGTTTTTTTAAAAAAACACGGTAAGATTGAAATATACCCACTGACCTTTCACAGGGAAAAACAAAAATAAATATCCCAATAGAATTCATTTCCTCAATCAATAATATTCGTAGGCTACTGCATGCTGCGGTTGCATTTCGAGGAATTTGAGCTTATCGATTCACCAGGATGTGTTATGGGTTATTTGGCCATAAGAGGACGACGATTTTGTGGTAGATTCTTGGAAGGAAAAGTATTAGGTAAACCGCCTGGCTGTGTGCGCAAAAAAAAACAGTTTTGTGAACTTTCATTTCAGGCATGATTTTTCTCATTTTTTTTTCTCTTACCTAAATAGACCTACCGTTCGAATCGATCAGCCGCACTGTAGAACTGCCATACTTCATGAAGAACGATGTGGATTTCGTGAAATGGAGATTCACCTATAAGTATTTGCCATGTAGGAGCACGATGGTACATAAGAATAAAAAATGGTGATCGACAATAAATATGAATTTGAATGAATGATTTTTATTGTTGCTAATGTTATTATCATTATTAGTTTTTTTTCTTCTTTAATTTTAATACTGCTAGTACACGTTACTTCAATATAGGTTTAATTAGGCCCTCGTTTGCTTCAGGGTATTTCTATGTATGATTCAAATTTGTATGGCTGCCAAAAGTCTGTATGGGATTACGTCGGAAAGTAATTTTGCTTAAGTTGATTCTCACGGGTAAAATCGTGGCGCTGTGTACACGTGATTGATTTTGAAAAAACTAATTCTTCATGACTTCTAAATCACTTTGATTTGTTATATGGGACAAACATACACATCGAGACGTGACATTATTCTTTAACATCTCCGTTCTAAGTACCCTCGTTAAAAGTTTAGCATGCATTGACAGTCTTCGTACGACGTAGCTTTGTGATTAGTTTTTCTTCTTTTCCTTCTTTCTTTTTTTCTTTAAATCGAACTTTTCACACAGCAAGTCGAAGAATTTTTAACTTACTTGTAATCGCAAGAGCGAGGTCCGAGTCATTTTTTCTGTAATAATTTTGAAAAACAATTCAGTTCAAATTTGCGTATTGTTAGCGATCAACCTAATTAAAAGGATTTGTAATACAGAAAAAAAAAATTTTCAAAAGTCAAAAAACCGTTAAGTATTACGTTACAAATGTTTTTGAATATTTTGTTACCTGGCAAAATAGGATATTACATACCAAATGCTATATGTCAATAAATAGTGTGTTATTAAAAATAAATTTTCGAAACGATTAATCATTAAAATATATCTGTAATTGCAATTCGCAAAAGCGTTCTCTTGACTCGTAACTCGCAGACTACGTGAGTCATAGACGTTTGAATTGCGCGCTCTTCGAAAATGTCATTTCTAACGATTTTCACGATTGTCGATTATCCAATCATAAATATCGTTTCGTTAATTGTTCCATTCTTATTATTATGTCGTTTTCATTGTTCCTTCCGTAAAGTTATTCCCTTCTCGTAAGCTCCCATTACTTCCTGCGACCGAGGAAGCGAATGTTCGTGAAGACGGCGCCAGCTGGTCGGCGTCGATTGCAGAAATTCACGGTTCGCGACTTGTTGCCCTGACGTGCGTCGTGAAGTGCCACAAGTAGTTGAAAAACGTCCTCCCTCGTAGGCGTGCATAAATAACGCGAGGAATCGTAATCGTAGCTATTGCGTGATCTAAAAATGTCCGGTGGAAAAGAAAAAGAGAATGGAAAAAAAATGTTAAGTGAAAGAGAAAAAAAGAGAAGATATATCATATAGCTGCTCTACGTAAGTATCTATTACACCGATATATATTTTTGTTGTCAGAAATTTTAAGTCAAATTTTCATATAATGATTACATCATGTACCGTGAATTTTGTCTCTTCCATGGATAACGTCTATAGTAACGTGATCTCTTCCAAACGGTCGGTTCATTTTCAAACTTATCCTCAGACTCATTCCGGTCCTCCGAATCGTTCCAGAGGTTAGGTTCCTCTACGAGTATCAACGGAGCCTCCCAAGTACCTGGCTCCTGGAGAATTTTTGTCAGAAGTCCAGAGAGACGTGTGAATTCCGTGTCTTCCATTTCCTCCCTTGATTCGCCTTGTTCGTCTGTAATATTACGTTGGGACATGCTTTTAGTATAATGAATCCTTTTGACGTAATATTCTTGTTTTTCGTCGTGATCGTGGATAAGGCTGAAAGTGTAATTTTGCAATGTGACACATACGGGAGGTTCATTTTTGGAATTTGAATAAATGCGGGAAAATTATATATACAGTAGTCCATAGTGACGTAAAGTTGGCGGGTGGCAAGTAAAAAGAAGATGTGGAAGGTTATGGAAGCCATGCATATTTTTGCTTAGATGTTAATAACACGAGAATGGAGATTAAAAAGGCCCACGCGATGTGACTACCAGTTGCGTTCAATTAAGGAAAACTAACGTGAACTCAGTCAACCGTGAAATTATTCAAGTTACACGTTAACCGCAAATACTACTGGATATGCCGTGACTTCAGCGAAATATCGTACAAAATTTCTGCACGAATATTCGTGTTATGGCTGAGAGCTCCTTCGATTTTCATTCGCCTAACTTGATCGATTCCTCTGACGGAACTAATCGGACCTTTGGCAAATCGAATGGCGGAAAGCAATTATGTGTGTGGCACGAATACTTGTCGTGATAAATTAAGTGAAAATCCAATTGTCACGAGTCGCAATTGCAGTTGGATTTTCTGGAATCGATTTTCTGATAAATCGTATACATATTTATATCCATTAGAAGGATATTCTCCACTCTTTGTTTCATAAATTCAAAAATCTTAAAATTCTAAAAAGTTCATAAAATTAGAAAAATCTCATGAAAATATAATATTTTTCCTAACACAAATTATCGTGAGAAAATTATTAATAATTATCACAAAGCATATTTTATTAATCGTAAGCCCATTCAATTTATTGATAAGCCCTCAATGTCACGTGGAATCTTCCGCTTCGGGACAAGTCAATTTCCATGATAGTTTCTCATCAACTTCAAATTTCGAGTATTCGCCTATAACTCGCTTGTCGATGATTTAAGTAAATTTATTCGTAAATAATCACACCATAGGGAACAAGCAGGTACAATGCAGAGAATGAATCTGATAAGTTGGATAGTTCACGGACTTGGCAGGTGGCAGATTGATGAACAATAAAAAGTGGACTTTGAAGTTCGTATCGTGTTACTGGATTCTGTCTAACAGAACAAAAATAGAAATAAAATAGGTCTGACAAAACTCTGGAAAAGATAAAGAGACAAATTTTAATATAATTTAAAATAATCATAAATTTCCACCTGTACATTTTTTTTTAAACAGTTGGTAAACAATATAATTCTGATTGAATAATACGTAGCTTTTCATAAAACCACTGAAACGCTTAAGTATAAAAATAATACATTAAACTGCAAAATCATGCACAATTATATTTTCCTACAAAAATTTTATGTAAAAATACGTTTGGCTAGTTAGAGGCTCCATTGTTTTGGATCTGTGAAAAAATAAAAAGCTTTTAATCCAAGCAAAAGCTTTTAAATGCAAGCCGAATAAAAATTTTCCATTACAAATGTTTTTTCTTCACAAATTTAACGAATGCTTTTCCATTGATTCGCATTGATCAACCACACGGTGTCCTTGGCTAAGAAATATCGTCCATGTGAACAAGAGCATAGGATTTACGTTGTATGATAAAAAAATAATATAAGAATAAAATATATATTATACAGAATTATTCAGTACAGATATATCAGCTGAAGTTGGCTCTGCCATAATAAATGAAACGAATAGCTTCACTTCAGTCGATCTTCCATTCAATAAAAGAATACTGAGACGTCCTGAGAACGAGACAAAATATGTAGATAAAAGTTTCATATGCCAAAAGCATAATATCTACAGTGTATGAAAAAAGAGAAAAAATAAATACGTCTTTCCTATAAACGTAATTCATCAAAAATTCATAATAAACAAAGTAAGAGTAAACCATTAGTCAGAGCATAAAAGTTCGTTACTGTTACGACACTCTATACATTATTTACAGAATATCTGAAAATTAGTAAGAGGATATTATGATTCAGGGAATTTAGAAATAATATTTAATTTTCGCCATTACCATCTCGAGAGCTTTTTTATACCGAATGTATTTATTTCCTCGTAGATTTTCAACTTATAGCGTCGCCAAAAGTGTACGTATATTTTTGTGTGAATATATATACAGTAAATTTCTAGGACTGGGTGCTATTGTGATGTGACGTAGCTATTACCAAGTGATCAATAGCTATAACTCAAAGCCATACTTTTATTTCCAATCGTCCAGACCTATATACAATTAGCATTAACCGAAACCAATTGAATATTCGTAATAAATACTAAAAAGCTTTTCTACCAAAATAAATACAAGCGTCACGTGTATGTATGTACATATATGATTATTTTTCAAGTATGGTATAAAGTACTGGTATAAACGTTTTCAAAGGGGCCTGTAAGATTTTGAGGTTATATCAGAAGGATTACAAGTGACACTTTGTGTAATCCAGGCAGCTACAAAATCCCTAGGATATAGGAGTTGGACGAGAGAAGATATGACAAATTTCGAACGTGATTTCTACGAATATTTTATACTATATGTATATAGGGTGGATGGTCCAGTCATCAACAATGTGCCAGTATTCGTCAGTGTGTGCTTTGACTATAGCAAAATCTACAGTGTTATAACGATGTCTGGGCCATCCACCTTATATACTGTTCGGATGGTGTGATTGAGCTGAATAACCCAGCTGACATACACGAAGATGATATAAGAAATATAAAGCATTTACGAAAAGTACGAATGGCGGGAAAATTTAAAAAGCACAGTTTTTTTTTAATCAGTCTGAATTGAAAAAAGAAACAAACAGAATTGATTAAGCACAAATAAGTTTCTTGTTTGTCCAACGCAATCGAATCCAATTGGGATTTATACCTAGGTTCATTGATTAACGTCAGATCCGTAAATAGAATGAACAAAAAATAAAATTCAATAAATCCAACAAATTCTAACTTGTCGCTATCATTTTTACAGATCGATTAGTTTCGCCATACCTGCCTGCTGATTAACGTACGATCAAGAAAGTCAAATGCTAAAAGTAGCTAGGGAGCAGCTCTTGGCTTTTTTCAAAATTCACCGATCTGCATTACCTCGTATAATCCAGGGAAACTGCTTTTCACGAGTTTATTTATCGTTTTAGGTGACTCGAAGGGGAGCCACCCTTCTTAGTTAAAATTTTCTTACCCCAACGTTTTAACATTTTAAATGTCTATAGTTACATTCCCGAGCGTTCATGGAGTCATTTATAACACTTGGGCCATTAAAGGCCATTCTACAATGCAATATAATAAGAAATAAGCAATAAGAAATAAGCAATAAGATCTTCAATTGATATTTACCTAATTCCATTGGATCCCCCAATGAAGAAGGAGAAAATCGTTTTTAAAACCGAGCGTTTACTAAGTCTCTACGTTTTTTGTGACGTCTTGGATATAGCAACGATACGGAAAATAAAAAATAATAATGATAGCAACAAAAACAATAATAATGATAATACCGACCCGGAAGTTCGTATTTAATTATATATATAAGATACCTCTCGTTATCCATTAACATACCTGATCCACTTGTCATCCATGTTACAAGGGTGGATTCACATAGGAATAGTTACGCGACCCTTATTACCCTTATTTATCGACACGATAGGTACTTTTGTGTCTGTGTAACGATAAGTCAAATACACTAGTTCAAATGGTACTTTGTTATCACAAATCCCATACAACGTGCAAAGAATAAAAATTGTATAGATTAAACGTTAATTGAATCGAAATATGGTTACACGTGTTCTAGGGATTTTTACACGAATCTAGTTACAGCATTTAGTAACTAGGTATATCGATTTTTCATAAATGTCAATTATATGAAAAAGTGATTAATCAGTCACTTTTGATATTGGCTTCTAGCACCATGTCATAGATCACCGTTTATTATACTCGATTTGTCAAGCAAAACCAATTTCACCACCTGTCGCCATAAGTCCCTGATATATTTCGAAGGAATTTTAATTTTCTATTTCAATCACCGACCCGACTCGAACATCTAGCAACGGTTTGAGGTTATGAAGCCATCATCCCCCCCCCTCGTTCTTTGGGTTTGCTGATCGAATTGTAACTCTAGTTTCAGCCTACGCGATCCTGTAGGCAGAACTTGGAGGCTAATATTGAGTTTAATAAAAATGATTAAACACAGATTCAGACCTAAGCAGCCTTATGCAATATAATTGTTTAGTTAAAATTCGTGTATATATATATATATATGGGTGTTTAAATACGAGATTTTATTGAAATCATTATAGTTAGGGTCTCGGGTCATAAATATTTTCTGCATCGAAAATATGTCTTCTAGATTGAAAATGAGGTTTAAAACCTTTTTCAACCTAAAATCGTCATATTTGGACGTAACTGACAGTTTAAGGCTGAAATTGACGTTAGCTCATTCGAACTTCCCTACCTTAAAATTTTAATACCAGCTTAAGTTTTCGTGTAGAATAAATAGGTTCAAGCGGATGCACAATTTCGGGCTCTGGTAGTAACGTGAACTCACCGATATTTATAAATCGATTGTCACCCAATTCCTCCAGGGCTGCCAGTTTTTCAAGTCGTGAAACGCTCGATGGAAATTTCGAGTCGAGCCACTCGTGCGGCTGATTTGATCTGTCCAGATCAATTTCCGGTTTTGGAATTGAGGCGGGTAGATTTAAAGGGTGTAGATCACTCGGTCCGTTAAGATTTTCGAATGAGTACGGCAAGTCGTTTCGGTGTCCCTGGGACGACATATCCAGAAGTGGCTCCGTGCGGGAAGTGGCGGTTCTTAGGAATGCCATCAGTAGGGGTAGTAGATACCACATCTGTAATTAATACAAAAAAAAAAAATTTTATCGTAGTTTTTTCAATCATTAATATTATTCGGAAAGTATTTTTTTAGTATCCTCATTACGCTATCTAGAAATTGCGTGTTCGTTATATGACATCCTAGGGCTGAATCGAGTAGATAATCGCATTATCAGTATCGCATCCATGTATTCCATATGGGATTCTGTACTACAGTACGTTAATTGGATTACGCGGTTTCATTATGTATCTAGACAGAGGATCACACGAGATGAATTCGAAAGTATCCTAGAGCGTAGGACGAATTTTATCCTATTATTCGTAGAAGGACTCTGGTACAAGGACTTTTCCTGACGGACCTTGCTCCAGATTTCAGTATAGAAAATCATGCTGTAAACAATGACAATACGTATAGCTATAGATATACAGGAATAAAATTTTACAATAAAATAAAGATAGGCTGCAACAAGGATTTTTCGTCATACAATTTTTGTCGAAATATTATTACAAAAATTGAACAATTATTTTCGTACGCATGCCTATGATATTTCTATTATAACTTCCGTGTATGATAATGCAATCGTTTTTCGTTAAATTAAAAATTTTTTTATCAACCGCCTAGATACATTACGACACGCCAAGTATTACTGAACCATTAATCGATGTTTACATATAAGGTTAAACGTCACTAAAAAACCTTGAATAATGCGGATACGATGTTACTGCAATTTTTAATGGGATTTTTTAAATTTATATTTTGATCTTTATATCTATACCTATGCATATTCACTGTGTGTAAGACAGATTTTACACGATTGCAATTTATCATCCCTATAAGGGTTCATTACTCCCATGAGATCAATCTCGTGGATATTGAATGATCTTTTCAAGTGGTCCAGCAGCGATAAGGATGAAGTAAAAGTGTAAAGCGGGAAATTAACTTTTCATAATTATACTCCTCATATGTGTACCAGTGGTTGGTTTGTGCATGGATGAGCTCGTATACTGGTTTAATTGTAGAACTTTGAAATGATACGCTTGAAAATTGTGACGCGATCGTCCCACATCATAGTATTCCGATACTAATTGAATGAAATTGGCGGCTGAAGCGCAAATCAATTAGTGCGTGACACGCAGCTATTGAATGTTTCAATTAAGGAAGAAACAACAAAAACGATGAAAATCAAAAGGTCGAAGCAACCACACATATAAAAAAAAACGCGTGGGATTTTATAGTGATTTATTATTTTTTGAAAATATCTCAAATTCTATTTTAAATTTCGCGCCTCTCCTACCAGCCGCGTAACTGCCTTATATTATTGTAAATTACATTATGGATCTCTAATTATTAAAAAATTCTCTTCTGTATAATATCCTATCTGATTGATTAAACGATAAGGTTTAATTAATGACTATCAGTTGAATCAAAATATGTGTATCTATCCCTATAAGAAAATATTTCGATCGTCTTCTACAATCTAATTTCGTATAATAACTTAATAATATACTTGACGCTTGTTCATTTCGCCAGCACGCCATATGCTTGGAAACTTGTTGCTCCCTTAGCGGAGCTTCCAAGCGAACGAGTGGTACAATAATAATTTCTGAATTTTTGTCTCATATGTTTTTGCAAATTGAACGTGTGAATTTTTTAAGAAACATTTTTTTTATTATCTATATTGAGTTATCCGATACAGTTATATTAAAAAGTACTATGAGCCAAGTGTCAACTAACTACATGTAATTAATGTATTAAATTGCAAGAAGTTTCCTTAAATAAGAAAGTTTTAGAATTCACACAAATAGTTAGCACACTTGGTACTTACCTTTGGTATAGTTTTTGAAAAGCCCTGTAGTCTTAACGAAGACACTTTGGCACACAGAATCACTTCACTATGGACCGTCCTTTCGTACTGTATACGATAACGATAACCGGAGGCTGATAAAGCTAAATTTTCAGATCCTGATCGTAGTATCGAATTTGATTACTGAAATTGATAAGAACAAACAGATAAGCAAGGATGAATATAATAAAGTAAAAAAAATAAACTTAATTAAACAAAGCAGTATGATCGAGGTATTAAAAAATCCTCAAGATCAATTCAGATCACTATTTATTTTATCCTTTTTTTTTAATTACATAATATTAAGGGTGAATCAAAATAATTTTTTTATTTTCTTACTTTTTTGTTACGTATATATATATATATATATATATATTTTTTGTATTCCCATAGACAAAGGGGCTTTAGTAGTCCGACAACTAGTAGCGTCGCGATGCGTCGGTGTTGTGGCGTTCTGTGAGCGTCGCGACGCCTTATATAGGCGTCGGTACGTCCCCTACAAGAAGGAGAGGGAAAACAACGCCCGAGGTAGAAGATGTGACACGATCTCCCAAGATTGTATCTTGCCAGCAGCTTGTTGCATGAAAATGAGTAAATCCGAAAAAGGTGAAGATTAAATGAAAAAAAAAAAAAAATATCAAGTTACACAAAGCTTCTATTTTTAGGCCGGAAGTGGATTTATATTTATTATATTATATATTATATATATTATATATATATTATATATATTTATATTTATTATATTTATATTATATTTATAGCCCAAAGTATATTGGACACCTTTCAACATCCTTACACCGAGTCCTGTTGTTCATCCAAGTTGCATATAATTCAGAGCGGATCCTTCATTGTTCCATCCATAGAACCCACGCATGGAAAAGGTGAACTCCTATTAATCAGCGAGTCCCATTATGCAAGAGAAATATTAATACGGTTAAATCCCTGGATTAAATCAAGACCAGATTTTGTAACGGGACACGTGACTTACGCTTTGCTTGCACATAACCTAGAAAACATAAAATGAACAACAGCACATTGTTTGAGAATAAAACTATGTAGTATGAAAAGAAAAAGTTCCACAAAGCTATTTTCAATATAAAGTTGTCTTTCGTGAAAAATAAATTAATTTTAAGACTACTTGTGACGCAGGTCTTCGAAATTTTTTTTTTATGATTTTCGAATCGATTATTCGAAACTTGAGGTTTCTTTAAGTTAGGTCATAGTGGATCTTCATTCAGCTTCCGTTTTTATGCCTCGTGGAAAAGAAATAAAGTTTCTGTATCATATGGTATAAATGTGTATATGTATACACATTGTATATATGCATATATATATTATGCAATATGTTCGTGCTTATCTATGGAGAATGCAGAGTGGAATTCCCTTTTTGAAGTAATTCAATTAACTTCCTCCTCCTTGTGGTGGTTTGATCCCTTGAATATTTTACAATGCTTCGAATATACTTTTCCTCCCCAAAGATCACTAGTCTCCCTTATGCATTATATGACACTTTATACAATCTAATGAAAAATATAGCTAATAATGCATGACGTCATTAGACACGTTACTCTCGATATTCTCGCGTGTCCTTTTCATGTCCCGACAGTCCATGACAAATGTCCTTGCGGTCTGAACCAAAGTTTTCTTATGTTCCCACCTACGCTTTTCGCATGATACGTTCGTAGAATTTCGGAAAATGTTTTATTGCTTATTTCACTAGAATTCCAAGATTTCACCTTATCCTGCCTTTAGGGTTTGGTTCCTATTCACTTTGCAAAAGGATTGACAGACATAAAGTAATTTTAAATAAAAATTTCAGATTTCTGTGCTGTTCCAAATCCTTGTATCATCTACATTCGGTTAATTTATAGGTTCAATGTGTCTTTTTGACAGATCCAAAACAATGAGGTTTTTATAGCAAAGGACACGTGCATGGTTTTGCACTAAAATATATTTATTTTTTTATCTTATCACAAACTTATGCGCTTGTATTAAAAAAATCATATAATTTTTCCCGAGTCTGTCTGCCAATTGTCAAAAAAGAAATTAAAATTCGTGGACCGACTCTTGGAAAAAGTTTGTATAGTTTTATTCGTGAGTTAATTTGTCTTATTAATGTTGTTAAAAAAAAATTATTTTTGCATACCAAAATAGTATTATATTTCGGAGTTGCGATAGGTATGGGGGGTCAAAGGTCAAGTCATAGGACCAAGAGACACATTGCAGTATCGATACTGATGCGATTATTGGAAATTTTCTCAGCTTACTGAAACAAAGGTGAACATGAACAGTGCTCGCTCCAGACCAATTAAACGAATCAAGAGAATAGAGGGTGAAGATGGTTTTTTAAATTTCAAAACCCATTGAATTAAGAGGAAAACGTATATAAAAGATAAACAATTCCAAAGACAAAGAAAAAATGTAAAAAGTGCTTTTATTTAAATGCACGATCCGAGGCCTTTTAACCCCAAATGCCATAGGGGCACTTAGGTGTACGCAAATGCACAGCTGACAGTGTACATTTAGATACGTCTACAAAACCCTAATAGCATTTGCAGCTGACTTCAGACACGATAGAATACACTGCATTAGCTTAGGACGTTGAAATAGTGTAAAAAAGCTGCGCGATACGTAAAACTCGTACGATGCAAAACTTACCATGTGATATCTTTGGAAATGCCCCATCCATTAGTTCTTTAGAATTTCAAGAAAATCCACCGTGCTTTGCCGTTTAGCTTTGGATCTTTGCAAACGGAACTTCCAGTTATAGCGACGTGAAGTTAGCTGTAGAAAAGCTGTGCGACACGTAAAACTCGTACGATGCAAAAAGTTACTAAAGTACAGTCACCGCCATAGCTCAAACCTGTTAGGTGAGATCACCCTTGTATAGGAATCTTTAGCTAATGGCGAACATGCCGCTACATCCTGACAGGATACATCTCCTGTCTAATGGATAGGGAATAACCTCTTCTGACGGTACACCTACTCGCTGGCGTAATTAGCACACTTCCGTTACCCCATGTTAGTACATGCTTATTCGAACGGGTTATACACGCCTGTTGTCTTATTCTAAAATGTATTTGACGCGTGAGACAAGGAATGATTTTTTTTCAAAATTTATTATCCAATTTATTAATCAAATTGACAATTTAATACCTGAATAATTTAATTATCCTTGAGACGTTCTACTCGTGTATTTAACTCTCTAGTTTATTCGATCTATATTACATGGTGTGATGCAACAGCTGCTTGGACGTAAACGCGTCCATATACACTGTATGTATTGTGACTTGCCAGCTGTGTTTCCCTCAATCGTCGAAATTTAATAATGAAAATTGTTCTCGATTACTTTTGCCATGTGATTTTCTAGGGAGTCGAATCAGACCAACTTTTTTTTTCACGCAGTTCAATGCATGAACTCGGTTTAACTGCCCAATCAGACACTTGTATTTTTGAAGGTAAACGGAGCTTACGCGCTGAACCGCGTTCAAATAAACGGGCCTAGGTCAGCTAAATATATTCCCTAGGGATTTTCTTAGTAGTTCACTGATAACTTTAAGCATGGCTATCGTGTCGCTGATCGTTACTAATTTCTTGGAGGATTGTTTTACGAGTCTTTCCGATAAAGGTCAAGTTTTATCCTTATATAGTATAGGAGTGACCCTTAACTCACAATTAGAATCTTTCCGACAACTGGTCAAATATATAACCGGAATGTATGTGCAGTAACGAAGGAAACGTGATATACATAGACTGAGATTCAAGTTTGGGTCTAACCGGAAATTTATTTCTCAGCAACTTTCCCCAAAGGTATACAGTAATACATTGATTTACGTCCTCTGGACCTAAGTAATTTCGGACTTTGATTTTTTCCCTCTTTTATACTTCGCCACTGCCACTTCCACCTTCTTCTATGGAAAATACTACCATGACTTTTGATTTTTTCGACTTACGTTGACCATCCGACGTATTAGGGGTATCGCTGTATATACAGGGTGGAACAATAAATTTTGATCAGTGAAATTTAATCAGTAGAAATATCTGGTCGGATGTATTATCAGGAACCTCAAAATAGTGAACTTGAGTTTTGAATACAAAAGCGTGGATTTAATTAGTATATGAAAGAAAGGATTAAACTTGGCAAATTCTGTTCCTAAAATTTAATTTTATCCAAATTATCTGTTAATCTTTTCGTAATTCGTATACGTTCCCCAGTTTCCTTATCACACTGGATTCAAGGATCCTTGGAAATGCTATAAATAAATTCACAGGAATAGGAAGACCCTTATTCATTATCTTTATCATTTTCGTCCCGTTGCACCGGCATCTCATTGAATTAATGTTAAATTGTATGGACTTCTAACGATTTACTCTTATAATTAAAATTTTTATAAATCATCAATAATTTAATTTTCCAAGGACCTCCGATCTCTTGTAAAAGATCAAATTTTATTCACTAACTTTTTTTTTTTTTAACAAACACCATTGGCGACCCTTCCTCGAAAAGGAAAGATTGTTAGTTTTTTCAAAAAATTAGTAAAAAATAATAAATTTAATCGATTGCTAATAGAAAGCATATAGCGATTATATTTCGATGTAATTAGAGTTTTTAATGATCTATTCGTAACACTAATAATCGATATTATGATATTCTTGGCTTAGTCCATCATATAAAAACATACGACCCTATTTATAAATGCGTGATCCATACCATAAATTTGGTATTTAGCACATTTTGTCCCCATCGATCTTAACCGATCTGTCTTTGATAACCTTTGAAACTGTGAAGCAACTGCGAAACTGTAATTAGCTGATACGGCGATTAATGCTTTTCAGAAGAGACCTATATACTGTACGTAATGTTCATCCCTAATGAATTTTACTGTAAACGTAGCAAAGTGAATTATGACAAGCCTATCTTTAACGTTAAATAAATTTTAAATTACTCAAAGTCCAATTAATCCTTAGGAAGATATTTCGCAGTACAAGAAGGTTATTGTATTATTTTTCAAAACTCGATCCAGTATGGACACACGTTATATTTTATTGTTATCTCTATAAACGCATATAAAGTAGGTACAGGTAGACGTGTTTTCAATAAACAATCAAATACTCATTTTACATTAAATTAACATAATTTCACTATACAAACGCATAATAACCTATAAACATAATTTTTTTTTCCTCAAACATTCGTAACTGTTTAGACATAACATAATATTCTAATTCTACTTCCCTTATCGATTGATTACCATAATGAAGATCGATCGATTAAAACCACGTATCAGTAAAAAAAGAAAGATCAAATCTACATTTTCATGGATATAGTATTTGTCACCCAGTGGTCTTTGTCTTATCAGACATCCGTTTCCGGTCTCTTCTCAGATTCCCCAATCGTCGCTGACGTATCGACCGGTCCTTCTTCCGTATTCTTATCACCTGCATTCTTCTCTTCTGCAGCTTTCTTGTATCGACCTTCGTCCACATAAGAGTAAAGAATACCCACGATCTCATAAGCCTTGGCGTACATTTCCTCGACCGTCTGAAAAAAGAAATTTATAAAAATTCAAAAATTAAAAAAATCCAAAATATAAACATCAGACAATAATCTAACAGAATTTATCACTCATATTCTTTTCTCTCCATATATTTTCCCTAACCACCGACAAAACCTAAATTCGACCGCTATGTAACTTTTTCATAATAATCTCAAGTTTTCCCATATGTCATTTTCAGAAAAGATGAACATCCTCCCATACCTTCCGTAGAAGCTAGAGAAAATAGTCGACCAAGAAGAGGGGTCCAAGTGGGGGAATCTAACGATAAAGATAACAATAGGGTGTCCAATCAAGCTCGATATGAAATTGTTCCAAGAGATAATCAGTTGGTCGTAAACTAGTCTAACTAATAAGGGAATCAAAGCAAGACTCACGTATGGATACAGCCCGATACGAACCAAGTAATCGAATTGGATGAAATTTGCACATGTTTACATGATCACTCATCAAATTGTTTCAGAGATACAATTTTTTGGATCCTCTCAACGTTACATAGGTTTATAGAAAAAACTTGTACACATATAAAAAATGAAGTGTGGCGTGAATTTTTGTAAATTTTGTCCCATTCTTTCCCTACTCTTAATACAATCTCTTAGGCGCATCTAGATCTCCTACGTCAGGACTACAGTCGTGATTTTCATTCTTGACGATCAAGATAAAATTTTCTGCTGTTCACCTGAGTCTCGCGAAGCTCTTTAACGGCTTCGGTTTCGTAGTGAAGACGATCGTATTCCTCTTGGGTCAGCATGTAACCGTCCTCGATATCCTTCACAGCTTCCTGCTCTCTCTTAAGGTCGCTTATTTCCTGCGGACTCATGGGTACCTTAGAGACAATTTATTTCGTATGATAAAGTTGACGATAAATTGTACATAAAAAGAAAGAATAAAGATATAGAAAAAAGTTGTATGATTGTCATTAAAGAAAATTATTATTATATAATTAATTACCAATTCTGGTGAACCGTTTATATAAACAGTTTTCATGTATATCTCTTCCTCGTCATCCTCGTTAACCTCTTCGTCGTTCTTTTCATCCGGATACAAAAGTCTATAGAGAGATTCGGTCATCCGAGCTTTCTTAGGTATACGCTAAGTAAATAAAAATATAATTATAATTAGATACCCAAGATACTGTAAGACTGCTATATCTATGGCTATGATACATACTCTTTTGCGTTTCTCCTCGATTATTGCGTCGCAGTAGAGATAAAGCTGAAACAATGGATACTTTCGCAATTCCATTGGAGCTTCCTGCACCGGGATCAGTCTATTGAGTATCATCTTTTTTGTTCTCGTCAATTCATTTTTCTGCAAGTAAACAACGATGGGGGATGCAATTTAGGTATTTCAAATATCTCATTTTTGCTTGGTAAATAATTCTACTGGCAATGGGTAGATCGATATTACCAAAGTTACTATGATATATATATGCATGGCTGGGAGGCTAGATATGTATGTACAGGATAAAAGTTAAGTTTATGTGTGCTATACGAATTTCGACATGCTCTGGGGGTACTTGTTTGTGCAGTATATATGTATATATGTATTGAGAGTGAACATTTCTCGGGTTAATCGGACGCCCTAGGTTCAGGATTCCAATCAGCAAAAAGACGCGTTTGTTCTTTACTCAATTACTTATTTTTCCTTGTTTCTATCGTGTTGGCGTAATTGGACGTAGGACAAGAAGTTAGGTTAGGTTATGTATTCTCCACTGGTGAACGAACGTCAAACACGCGTAGATACAAATTAGTTGTGTCAGCGCATAACTTACTATTATCTTACTTAGTGCCAGTGCATTTCGGAACGTACGTATTGTGTATTATATTTTTTGCGAGTGAAGAAAAAGTAATGAGGTCCTCTGGTTGCTTTTTGGAGTTAAGCACGTGAAAAGGCGTAAGGATTGAAACGCAGCGTGTCAGATACAAGAATAGAAGCAAATAGTGGCAGGTGAAAACGATCATTTTAGTTCTGTCTCGTACGCGTGACGGCGAAGGCCGGCTTTTTCGACGAATGAAATTTTGCAACGCGAGATGTCAGTGAGAGTTCGAATGGTTTGCCCATTGTGGTGATATTTTTGGTATAAATTGATTCTTTTGTTGGAGAAATGTCACTGAGAAACGAAACAATGAGTTTTTTTAATAATTCATTACCGTTGTAGGTATGACGAAAATGAATTATCAAATCAGACAATGGTGTGATATATGGGAAATAATTATGTGGATATTTACATTTGTCTTGCTAGATTTCGGTAGTAAAGTGGATTATTTGAATTAGAACATGACGTCAGTATCGTATAGACCGTGCACCCTGAGTGACAGTGCTTAAAATGAATTAAGAATGATGGATAAAAGACTTTTGCACATTTGAAAATAATCAGTAAATAATATCGCTCACTGCAGACGAAATAAAATTAATTTTGTGGGTTCCAATTAGCCACTAGATTCTCGTACAGGTTTTCATTACTACTGTTGAACTTTTATAAAGGTTACAGTGCCACATTACAATTTATCAAGAAGACACAGGCTTTCTGTCTCTTTTTTTTTCATCATTTAAAATTTATTCCGTTGGCTATCACAAAGTAAAACCAATTATAATTGTATTTGGGAAATACGTTTTCTACAGATTTCAAATATCGTGCTCTATATCACGTGTAACGTTCTTCTGGTACAGTACGAACAAAACGTATCAAGCTTCACTTTTAATTCCACTTCGATTTATTAGAAAGCATTCGAGTAACAAGTAAAAATAGTACCGACAGATGCTAAGAGTAAAATATACGTTTAGTTCTAAGAGACAGCGGTAGCAGCACTGTCGACCAATCGAACTGCTTCCCTCGTTACTCAGAGTGCAATAGTGTATCGTGTGATAATTATTAGTGAATTGTAAAACGTGAAATAAAGACGAACACGTTATCAGTGTTAAAACGAACCAGTTTGTAGTTTCGTGTTTGCAATGCGAGGTACCGATAATTTCACGTCGATAATACACGCGATTAAAATGGGCCAGTCGTAAAGTACTTTAAAGTATTCTTTCACTTAGAATCAGTCAGGGAAATCACTCTTCCTATGTGTATTCATATACAAATATATCTGTTCAGATATATATATATATATATATAGTCATTCGGGATTCGACGAAATGGCGAGCGCGCTAGTTTCATTTCGTTTCTCTACGAGTCACGTCGATGTACGTCGACCAGGAGAAAACTGCCTCGTTACATGCGATCACTATTTTCATTCCTTATTCCTCCAAGGGTTTAATTTTAAATCCGTCTTTCCATCGGTCCCACGTGAGCGATTTCTTTGCTTGAATGCCCACTTGTTTATGTACGTTGTTGTTTTATGCATGGACTTATAGCGATATTAGGACAGTGACAGTTTGTGGCAAGGTAAAAGGTATTGTCCCTAAGGATGTATTGGATAATTCAGAATGGTGAGTGTGCATCGGTCGATGTCTCTGGAAGCGATTTTTTTGTTGTATATGATGGGAGCAGAGCTCACGATCGATAAGGTCTAGGGGATTTCATCGTTGGCAAGATTATAATTCCTTGCTCGAGTTTGTAGGGCTTTTAGATTTGTTGATACGGTGTAAAAAGTGTACAGGTTAGGAGGGGAGGAAATACTAAGTGGTCAATAATCGTCATTATTAGATGTCATTACGGGTCTGACAATATACTTTTCTTCTTTTTCTTTTTATTTGTAATATTTCGTGCGAATGGTTTCTAAGTGGTGGTTGGGGATGAAATGATATTCAGGTTTATGAATTGGTAGAGAGTAGGGAAGTGGATGAGAAAATACAAAAAAATGCTTACTCGAATTTTGCTTGGTTGAATGCAAGTAGGTATATCGTAATATTTTTAATATGGCAGTATTTTAGGCTTTGGCATGTTTATTGGATTGGTTGGATTTTAACAGACGTTTTATAAGGGTACGATAAGGTGAGCTGTGTGAGACATGGTATCATAATATATATATATATAATGTATATGTGACTTTTTAAATCAAAGTACTGGAAATATTATAAAAAATTTTTCCAAATTCTTCGTTTAACCTAAAATTTACTTTCGAGGTCTATTCCGACAAATATTCTAAACTTCTTACCTTACGTTCCTCAATACGAATCTTTTGCTGGCTTTCATAATCTTGACGAATTCTGGACATCAGTTTGAGCATGTACTTTCGGTCGGTAAGTCGTACGACGTTGCTTCCCATAAGCATCTCTAGTCTTGTCCTTACCGGAGGATAACTCAAGCTGAAAATACGTGATTAGCATACAAAGAAATGAGAAGGGACATAACAAAGAATGAAACTCCAAAGAAGATCCGATGCGAATGATCAGTTTCCTTTGCCTGTATAGATTCACCGTGACTTTTTTCCCCTAAACTGAAAGAGATAAAGATAGACGATAAAAAAGAATAAAAGAAGAAAAAAGAAAGCTCTTTCGTCGTTAACCGTTCCGCCTTATCGCACCAACTGAACTTTACTTTTCCTCATGATCTCTCTCCGCTACATTTTCCCCCCTTAACTTTCGTTCTTCCCTCCCCCCTTATTTTTCTTGGTTCACCCCCATCTTTTTTCTTTCTTGCAGGTACACCCCTCCCATTTTCTTTCGATGGAGTCTCATCAGGCGCGCCCACGCGTAGAATACTTGTCACGTATCTTAAACGGGATTCAATCGGAGTATAAGGGATACAGGGATTAACCAGGAACCCTTAACAAGAACGGATAAAGATCCGATTACACCGACAGTACCTTCTTACTAATTGGTAATTGAAAATATTTTTCCTATAAAAATTGAAAAAAAAATTTGAACATCAAATCGCACCCTTGTTCAAAATTTTTTAAACTTTTTAACTCCGATATCGAAATTGCCTTCGTACGTGACGTCATTATATTTTTTTTACAGTGGAATCCAACACCTTGCCCAACACCCTTACACTTATGGGGTTGAAAATGGATTCAGATTTCTTCGTTACCCTTGCCGTATCGCAGGGGTGGAATTTCCTCGTTACTTTTCTTTCTCTTCTATTAAGTATCTGTCGCAGCGAAGATTCAAGATCGCACTGACTGACTCTAAGTATAAGGGTAGCGAAGGCGACACCCCCCACGGCGTCGCGACGCCAAACATTCGTGACTGGCTGCAGCCTAGCGCTTTCTCAGTTCTGGCCAGACGGGCGAGTTGTAGAAAAGTCGTCACATGGGGATGGGTTTTAGACGAATAGGGGTTGCAGGGAATGGCTATATGTCTCTTCGTGGAAAACACCTAGCAGTCACAGAGCTGCTTGCTGGTTCATTGCGTAGCTATTGATCGGTTCCGTAAAAACGGTGTCAGACCTGGAGATCACTTCCCGTTCGATGCTATGCTAACTAACTATAGTATATAATGAATCGCCAACGAGCCAACCCCTCTAGCACTAGCATTCTACAGGAGCTTGTCTATGGCATTGGCTAGTGACGCCGGAAATTATTGGGGCGGAATTTCCGATAACTTTTGACACGGTTCACCCCCTGATCGTTTTATGGTTAATCGATGCGGCGCACCTGTTTTTGTTTCCGCCGTCTTTTATAAACTTTTTAAAAAATTCGAAGCTTTAATCGCCCTCGATTATATAAGAATTTATACAGCGCATCAGCAGCGATTTTTATTATACGTGTGTAATTTTCATTGTTATTTAGAGGCTCGTAAATTTGCGTTGATTACTGTACTGAGTTAATTATAGACAAACGTAGGACGAATGAATTCTTAATTAAATAGCAAATTTTATCTTATTTATACAGACAATATTATTTGGTGATACGTTATGTTAATTAAAGTTAACGGGGCGGTAACGTTTTCCCAGGAACCAAGAGTTGGATGCTGGCGTTGTTAGTCGTTTGGAATTAATTAGAACAAGTTAATCAGACCATGCAAATCTGAATTAATTTTTTCAATAACTTTACAGCCAATAGTCGATCAGTGTTTGTGTTTTTTTTTTTTGGGATTACAGTAAATAAATATATGCGAAATTAACTAGCGTCGATCGATAAGCTTACGCGTCGCGACGCTGGCACGAAACGTCACCTACGCACGGCTTTCACGCACGTCATAGTATTCACCTACTTATATATAGAACATGTACCCAGAAAAAAAGGTAGAAAAGAGATTTTTCGACAGGATGAAAAAAAATCTGTTTAAGGGTGCAACATTATATTGTGGAATGTGAAATTTTGTAAATCCAACTGGAGAATTATCGATCGCCTGTGCCGTAAGAGGATGATTTTATTTTTTATGAAATTTTATGATGCAATTTTTAATGTTTACATACTCGAATCGAGATAACTTCTATAAAAGTCTATATTTATCTTACCAAAACGTAAGTAGTGCAAACTCGTGGAGCTCCACCATGTTGCCTCTAGCGTAACTTTTAATCGACTGATTATTTTTTTAAGCTCGCCTGGATCTTACGTCAAGGTGGAGTCGACGAGTCGATGTCGTGCACCAGGGTTGGAAAGAACCTACAGAAGCTACAAAGCCTACGTTGAGGATAACTTCGACGGGAAATAATGTAATGACGAACTTATGGAAACTAACAGGGACAACGAGTGTGACTTGATTGACTATTGATTTTAGGTATGTATCTTTTTTATAAAAAAAAAAAAATACACGAATATTATGGAATTTCCTATTTTTACAATGAAGTGCTCTGTGGTCATTTTTACTGACGAATGAGAAATGCTTTTCCTTTTGTAGGACGATGTCAAAATTTGGGATATATTGACTGTTGTCTTGTGTGGTTACGAGTGTGTGTGTATATATATATATATATAAATTGATTTAATTCCAGTAAAAGAACAGATACACCCTATTCCTTTAGAAGACGTCATTTAATTCATTTAGGATGACAGTTACGTCTGTTAATTATTTTTCTTTTTCTTTTAACGATTGTAAGAAAGTAAGGAAAACTTTGGAACTTGGAAATCAAAGTTTTGTACAACTTGACTTTTCTTTTCACTCGTTCCATATGTACAGGGAGTGATGACGTCGGGGTAAGAAATTAAGAAATTCAAATATTGGTCAAGCTATCTTTTTTCTTCACATAATGAGAAATCTGGTCAAGCCGATTTATAATACAAGAGAGTTTGTTTCTTAACTTTTAGGCCAATATTTTCAAGGCACTTAGGCACACTCCTTTAGGCACACTCTTTTCAAAGACCAAAATATTTAGTGAACAGAAGTTCAAAAAGAAAGACTCATCGGCAAATATTAAAGTACTACAAAAAAAAATAAGACAAGTATTGTTCGGTATATCGTATTTAATATTTAATCCTCTTAGTCTTGACGTTTGTATTTAATGCGAAGGTGATGTCAAGAGAAAATAAAATAAGAATAGTCGACTCAATTTAGCTCACACGAATAATGAGATAGGATCAGGACCCCTGACGCTGAGGTGACGGGATCATTTTTTTATTGGAATAAGACATACCCTTGGTAGCAACTTTTTTTTTGTCGATGTATTTCTTATTACGAAAGAATCCCTCAAGATCTTGATTTACAATTTTTTATTAAAAGGAAAGTATCAATACAAGACATGAAAATGGAACGTTACATGCCAAATTGCCAAGTGGGTGTGTGTATTCCTTTGAAACGAAATATTTCCCAATGGGACGCTGTTGACCACTTTACGGGAAAGTCTTGAAATTTCGTGAAACAGCTTAGAAACAAAGGGGGCTGAAAGTGTATCCCACCCTGGTTGTTGCACCCTCTTACGTATTTTTCGCAATTTCGACACTATATATATTGTATATAGATACACGAATTCCGATATAGTCACTTTCACCCTTTGCGACCTCGTCTGATGTAAGTGTGGGAATTGGTGATTGGGGGGGGGGGAGTGGGAGTTTTACCGTGAACCGAGTGCGATTTTACGTTACGAGAAAGTAAGACAGAGAAAAGTAAAAATAACAAGGTGACGAAAATTGTCGACGAGAGGACGTGAAAGTTGTTTGATAAAAATTTGTCTCCAACAATTCTTACGTTTCTCTCGTTTTTCCTTTTTCCCACGTGTTTTTTTTTGCGATTATTTTAACTATTTTCTCTCTCTCATATTCTTTCTTTCTCAATATTTTTCTCGTGGAAAACGAAAGAAATGATGTAATCTCAGGGATGCGTATTGTCTCTACTTTCTTCATTAGCTCTTGATAAATGCAACCGTAGCAGACCAGCAGCACCGGTAATTTCTGCTTGATTAATAATTCGCGCAGACGCGTCAAAGAATTTCGAATTAATGTACCACTCGGCCAGAGAGCATGTAAAATACATAGAAAGGATGCGCGCTAAAATTGTTCCTGTCATTCAATCCATTGTTACCCTGGTAGAGCCTGGCAATTGGGCGGTGAATGAATTTACAAAAAATGTTTAATAATTCTCTTGAACCATAGGTACCATAATTCAAAGACGTATATACGTATATTTGTATTAGGAAAATTTAAATCCTTGAGATTTTCTATATGAAAACATGAGTTATCGTCTTCCTACAAGCATCTAATACAGACAGTATCATTGTTTTAATAAGCGAAAGAAACAGACAGCAGTATCTTTAACCCAGTGATAAATAATACAGTGTTCGCTGACAATTTGTTTTTTTTTTTTAGTTACCAATATGTCTCATGGCAATATCCACAGACGTCTGTTGGAGTGAATCGTGCCTGAGGGAAAAGGATTCTTAAAAGAATTTCATAGGCGAGAAAAGTGCATGTTAAATATTGAATAAACGCAAAGACGTGACAGTCGCTCGAAAACGTTTCTGAAACACTCCGCCAGGTCGCGTTGAGGGTGAAAATGTCTGTAGTGGTTGGAGGTGGGTATTGAAAATGGTAAAGGAGTAGACGAATATCGTTTAAGTTCTTCAATCCCAGTGTGGGTTTTCCTTCTTGTGATTTCTCCGTGTCTGCCATCCTTTTTTTTTTTAATAGATCAACCCCTTTGACAGTACTAAGAAAACCGATGTACACTGCCGTCGGAAAGTTTCCAGCCAAGGTGGGAAAAAGTAAAACTCATAAGCGTTTGAGGTATGTTTTGGGTCGTACTGAGCGCTGAGGAGCGGGGATGTGCACGTTGTTCTGTAGAAAAATCTTAAATACGATTTAGTTTAATGCTGACCGAGAAACAGGGTTCGAGTGCATTTGTGGGCCTTGCCCGAAAACTTTTCGACAGTAGTGTATGTCTAAGGAATCATATTTATGCTCTGCGGCATTTCGGGGCGGACTTTTTTTTTGGGAAAGATATTTTGTTTTCAGTTTATGGTAAAAGAGCCAAGATGTTTGGCAATGCTGTTGTGCATTAGTTTGTATTCTTAAAATTTACATAATCTTACTTATGTATTTTTGTATTTTCTTTCAATTGTGTTATGTGTATGTTTGGGGATTTGTTTTTGGAATTGATACATTGAAATTATTTGAGGATTTTACAGATATCTTGAGAGTTGTAATGATCATGTGGATGTAACGATTAGTTCTGGAATTTTGAGTAATCTTTTTGTGGATTTTCTAATGAAATAAATATACGGTTGTTGGGTTCTTTGAAAATTTTCTGGTATCTATTTTAGGATTCCAAGGAAACATGTTTCCCCGATCGAATTTTTAGACAGGTTGTGATGTACGGTTGCTCGTATAAAGTAAGGTAAAAGTTTCACGCGAACGCTATAAATCATGACGCGAGATAAACTGGTTATAACGTTTCAACGGTATAGCTATTGTTTGTATAATTATTGGGATTTTTAGTGCTGCGTGAGAATTCGGCTTGTTCAAAGAGACTGGGGACCTCGAATGGCAATGCAGAATTTTGAGTTGTGAAAATAGTAATTAAGAATTTTGCAGGTATTTTTTCTTATTCAATTTAAAGAATCGTTTTGATACCGTTGTAGCAAAGATTAATGAAAAATTGGAAGAGATATCTGGCCGGGAAATTGAGATATAGATCTTGAGAAACGTGACAGTCTGATTTATAAAGATTGGAAAATATAAAATTTTGGCGGTGAAGTTTTATTTTTTTCATAAACCTACTACTTAGTGTCTGTAACGGTTCTATTTATTGATCAAATAATGATGTTACCTCGAATTTTCTGTACTGCCGGTAAACGAGTTTTCTGGGAAAGCTGCAGTCGGTAAGTCAGAACTGAAAACTACATTACCTACTAAAGCTCGCAAGCTCACAGTAACTTTATCGTCTTTGTTGACGAATGATTGGTCCTTGCAAGCTCAGTAGGTATTTAATATTTTTTCCGAATCGTAAATTGTACAAGTTTTTTTTTTTTCTATATCGACTGTACAGTTAATGCCACTGATAAAACAGCTCGCTGATGAAGCTGTACATCATTTTAAATCTACGGCGAAATTTCTCATTTGCACAACTAAGGAAATTAATCATCAAGACAAAGCTGTATAAAAATATATATTTAACGATAATCCCAAAAAAAATAATGATCTACCTGCAATTCAAATTATTTCTATAATCCATTGACTCCTTCCGAGCTTTGCATCCAACAAGCTTAGCATTCTCTCTAATCTTCTCCCTCTCAAGCTGAAGTTTCACTTTGTTAGAAACAGCCTCCAACCAATCCTCAATATCTTCTTTAAACGGTTCAACGCCAGGATCACTTTTACCACCAAGGGCTACCAGAAGCTCAACGGTAGCCCAAAACCCACCCCCGTAAGTCATCATTAAAAAAATTCTTCTGTCAAAAAAAAAAATCGCACAAACAAAGACGGCAAACTCAACACAAAAATTCGAAACGACCAAAGATGTTTTTTTTTTTTCACTTTTTCAAAAAGCCCCAAACCGGACACTACAGGAGCAGGATCCAAACGGTGCGAAGTCAAGCACGAGAATGTCCGTGCAACCCCCTAAACATTCCACCCCTCTTAAAGTGCAAAGTAACACGCATACATGGAAAGAGCTTGCACACAACAATCTGTACGACTAGAAAGTCAGTCTAGTGTCTATAGGCTGACACAACAACCTCCTGTCATGTTACCAAAAGTATAGACAGCGTCTAGCTGACAGCATGACACCTACGTAGACACGCGATCCTTAGACACGGGAAAAGCCTTTGGAAATCAATAATCAATCGAGAGCCTACACAAGACGACAACGACTATTGGGACGGGGTTGATTTGAATTTTTCCGCGAAAAGTAGTATAATGACAAAATTTTTTTTCCTCCATCGTATTCAAAGGATACTGTATTTCATGATGAATGGATAAACGACGATTTGAGGTAGGCAGATACGTAGATGGTGTTTTACATATATTTTTCTTCCATCCTTCTTTGTTCGATTTCTTCGTTTATTTATTATAAGCTGATTTATCGTTTCGCCATTCTGATACGTTACTTTTGTTCGCTTGACAATGTCCATGACTATCGTTCGATTCCTCGTAATTCGTTATTTGGTAAAATCTAGGCACTTCGTAAGGTCAATGATTACCCGTAGTGCTTTGAGTGAAGAAAATGGCAGCTAATGGGTTCTTGGGATTTTTTTTTTTTTTCTGTCAACTTTTAACGTACTTTGGATATAAATTCGTGGGAATTCCAGATTTTCGGGAACATTGTGAAACTGTAATTCTCGGATGGTATTCCGGAGCGAATTACGTGGCGAACTCGACGTTCTCAGAGTCAAATTGTGTACTCGAGTCGAGCACGCGGACACCACGGAATTGATTGCTACGTTAAAGATGTACTTTAACGATTGGATATACGTTGCTGGTGCATATTTTCTAGAGTGTAATTAGAAATGTCTCTAAGGAATTTCTGTGACGTCATGCAGAGACTTTCTGGAATCTCCAATGTCAATTGGACGTGGTCTATTTTCATACGGGTTTCAATGTCTCGTGCTAGTCAAATTCACGTGTCGAGGTTATGTCGATTACGATTTCAGGATATCGGATAAGTTTACGTGCGAACTCTTGGGATGGGCTTTGAGTTATGATCGATTCTAGGTATTTATTGATCAGTTTATTATTGCACGTGATGCTTCTCGCGTCTATCGCTTTTCGAAGTAAACTCACGCACGTTTTGTGGATATTTAAGAAAAATTTTATTGTTCAAAGGGGATTCAAGGGCGAGGGGAAATATAATTTTTTTATTTTGCGAATTAAAAGTCTTTTCAACTACTTTTCGAATAAATGTTGTATCTTTCATTTGATAAGGTTAAATTTTTTTTTTGACATGACGTTTGGGGTTGGCTCTTTGGAAAGTGAAATTTTTTAAAGATTTCTTATAGTTTAACCACTCACGCATATTTCACTGGCTCCCTTTCCCACCATCTCAATGGCTGGGCGTAGATGTCAATGCTGGAGAAAAATAAGAGTCGGGGATCTTTTTTGATTTTGACATTTTTTCTTCTCTTGGATTTTTTGCTCATTGTGTCAAGGCCATCCTCTTCAGTCTGGAGTTTACTATAGTTTATATCTTTGGATCGCGGCATTTTTCGAATGTCAGGTGACTTTTGCGAAATTTACAATATTCGGAATTTAATTATCGGAACGTGTGTGTGTTACCAGTAATTTGGATTAGTGCTACAAAAATTTTGTTCACATTTTTCACAAATAAAAACTGTATTACTATAGAGGCCAAACAGTCGCCTTACGCATCGATCTTCCTTTAGCATTTTTTCTTTTATTTTGCATCCCTCATAAGGTCCGTGCGTGCTAGCGTTTTTTACACTATCCGAAGCATTGTAGGCGTCTTCGAAAATGAGCCGGTACCGCTGAGAGCATGTTGTGTCCCTGTCAAATGCATGCAATAGACAGAGAAGCAACGATGCACTCTGCGCTCTCAGCTCATTTTCGAACACGCCTTCGGTGCTCCGGAGCACGTAAAAACGCTTGCACGAAGTGTAGTATAGTATTACAGAACACAATACGCCTTTGGAACAAAGCATATAGAGATACGAAATTTTCAAAATCTATGTACAATCGTTAACTTATTTTCTAAAAAAAAAAAAAATATATTTTTGTTCCCTTATTTCTTATTTGCTTCAAAAATGTCACGAGGTGTACGTATATCTTATACATATTTTTTTTTTTTTCCGATCAACTATATATGTATATAGAATCCACACTTCAGACCTTTGTCACTTTGATACCATTCATTGTGGAATTATTAAAATGACTTGATGAATTCTTTATGCATTTCTCCCATGCCTCCCTATCCTCCTTTTTCTGTGGACCCCACTCTGATGTTGGATTCATACCGATGACCAATCTTTCCTTTAAAGTTCCCTGAGATACAAAAATGCATTCTATATTACCTAAGAATTTCCTTAAGAATATTTATATGAAAAAAAAAGGATTTACCTTAGTTGTGATTAAGTGTACTATAGCATATCCAGGAATACACAGCATACTGACCAAGCAGGAGCACCATCCCAAAAGTATGGCCCATTCTGGATATTCAATGCCATTGTACGTGAGTCGCGTATTGAAAACGATAGTGGTGACAAAGATGAACTGAAAGGTAAAATATAGAAAAAAAAATTTTTTTACGTTTAATGAAATTTTTTGTTTATTTTTAATATTTAGCTAATTTTACGTTACAGACTTCCTTCCTCGAAATATCGTGTAAACTTTATTTTCATTGATCAGACCTTTTCTTGCATTTTTTTTTTCATTATACGAGGTCAATGCTCGATATTTCAAAAAGATATTCCTTGAAGACGAATATCTCATGGGAATAGCGTAACAATCTGCAGTCACGGATTTCATCTTTCCTTGGATGCACTTTACTCTTAATACTTGATCTACTTACCGAAAGTATTATTGGCGTAACGTACTTCCAGCATAATGGCCACCAACAGTGCAACTTTTCATTTATCATGAATTCCACGTCACGTACAAAATTATCAGAACCTATAAATATAAGTAAAGCACTGTAAAAATTAGCCCAAAAATGTCTTAAATTACGTAAGATACAACTTAATTGCATAATTTGTAAAAATAATTTGTCACTTTAATGACCTTAAGAGAACAATCAACGTTCACCAGTTGTACGAAGTACTATAAATAATTCTAAAAAAAGAAATTGCTATTTAAAAAAAAAAGCTCTTTTTTGACTTTTTAATGTCTCCAATTAAAATTTAATTATTACAGGCGATCGTTTACCGTAAGTCCAGCCAATCACGATCGCTTCCACCAGACAGATTGAAATAACGGAAATCGAAGCGGCGTACCAATCGAACACTTGTAGAATGTACATTCCACCCTAGGAACGTGTAACGAGAGTAAAAAAAGTAAAATAAACGAGGCCATATTAAGCTAAAAGTGAAATTCAAGATATCGTCCAAAGTGTCATACTCACGTTTGTAACGAAGCACAGAGAACCAAGAAACAGTATAACCAGGGAAACAACTGTGACAATTTTCTTGTGTTTCCTCAATTCAGGATAAGCATCCGTGATGCTAGATATTATCGCCTCTATCTGTACAAACTTGAAGCACAAGAGTAATCGTAAGAAATGTAAATAATACGTAGGATAATAACGGAAGCTAAGAACGGTATGGGCGATACTAACGCAGCTGTCCATTCCCAGGAGGTAGAGCATGGTGAAGAAGAGTACAGCCCACAATTGCGGAACCGGAAGCATGGTGATAGCTTCGGGGTAAGTCACGAAAGCTAATCCCGGACCTGTACAAGAATTTCATTGGTCGTGGATTTACGTGGAAATTAAAATGAAAAATATTCACTGCTTATAGCTACCGCCAGTTGCGACCGTGGATACCGGAATTCCTGTCCTGTAGGACATAAATCCCAGAACGGAAAATACTACGAAGCCGGCGAATATACTGGTGCCGCAATTGAGAATCGGTACCAAAATTGAGTCCCTGGATATGAAAATATTTTTGAAGTACGACTAGGTGGGATAAATTTTGTCAAATTACATTAATGTATACTCACAGTCTGTTGTTGTTTCTGAAGGGGTTGTAACTGGCCATGTTGACAATTCCACCCCATCCTGGACCAAGGGAAAAGAATATTTGGATGGCGGCGTCGGCCCAGACTTTTAAATTGGTTAGCTGCGACCACTGCGGTGTTATGTAAAATAATATTCCGTCCATGGCACCGGGCAACGTTACTCCGCGTATCAGCAGGACGAATAAAATAACGAAGGGAAAGGTCGCTGTGAAGTATACGACTTTACCCACGCTTTTTACTCCGTTACAGATACACATGAAGACGATTATCCAGGATATGAAATTACAGGCGAACAGTGGCCAGACGATAGTACCAATTTCATCGATACTTTCTGAAATCTGGAGTATATGATTGCTGCAATGGCAACAATGAATTGTGTGGATTAAAAGAATTGTCATAACTTCACTACTGATCATTAATATTTGTATTTTATGTATTTACTGAAAAAATTCGTCCGCCGGTGTTTTCGTGTGCTCGATCAATTTCATCTGATCGGTTTCGTTTCTTTTATTGAAAATCTCACCACCTAGCTGGACAATTAGAAAAAAAATCTATTAATTCACAATTCATTAAATGACGCTCGAATAGTTTTAATAATATATTGTTAATATTACTTTTAGACACTTATACGTGTTCCAAGGGTTGTCGCAATCCTGCCAAGGCAATTTCGATCTCAGAGACATTGCCAGGAACATTAGGGGATATGAAATGATAACGTTATAGTACATTGTACAGATAATATTTACAATAACTATCGCGAAACCGGCACCTGGGAAAAGTAATTTTGTTAAGATGATTATATTTAAGATTTTAAAAATTACTATTATTATTATTAATATATTATTATTTTTGAAATCATTTATCATTTTAAATCTTTTGTCAACCAATACGATGTCAATTTAAAAGCTAATTATTCATCCACTTCCGGTGCTAATGTCAATAGTAATAATAGGCATTTATTAAAATCAATAAAATTTAACAATTTTTTCTCGCTAATTGTCATGAGTATAATATATAATTTTGTATAATCACCTTTGAAAAGGGGACTCATTCTAAACATAGTTATACACCCTGTACCGCCAAATTGTCCCATGGAAGATTCCATAAAGAAAAGTGGTATACCACATAGGAACAGCATAAGCAAGTAAGGCACGAGAAAGGCCCCTAAGAACAGATATGGAAAACACATATACATGTTTCTATGAGTTATTATTGAGCGTAAAGCTATTTCAAACGTGATTACGTCACGCGGGTACAATGATCGAGGAACGGGATTATCAAGGGCAGTAAGTAATTTTGCAGTGTCAGTTGGACAAAATTACTCAATTAAAATACACGGCCAATTGTCACACCCCAACAGGAAACAATTTCGTCACCAAAATAAAACAATCTGTATTATCTTGACATCAACGGTTGCGATAATTGGATCTTTTTATCTCAATTCGCTTTGGCCGTTAAGACTGTAAATATAGGGGACAAAAGTTTTCCACGTTCTTAGCGGCGTCGCAGAATTATTCTCATTAGCATAATGCAATTCTGGGATTCGTGCGTAGCGCATATTACATATTGGCGAATTTACTAAATCCTTGGACGAGTCTGAACGATCTTCAGTGTCATTATTTTCTGGAGTCTGATAGTGCATCGTGTTACCGTGCATATGTTCGCGTATCACGTGGGTCGTAATCTGAACGTAACATTGGGCCAAGGCTAGTTGCTTATTAAATATCATGATCTTCTGGTAAACGATCATTGAAAATGTACACCGATATAGAGTTAGCGAGGTTATACATTGGCTATGTAGAAATTGTTTAATTGTTGATTTTGATGAAATTAACTTTTCCGATGATGATTCTTACCGCCACCATTTCTGTAACACAGATACGGAAATCTCCAGACATTTCCAATGCCAATGGCGTAGCCAGCGCAGGATAGTAGAAATTCAGTTTTATTAGCCCAAGATCCTCTCTCGGGTGTTGGTACATGGTTATTCTTTTCCCTCATGCTTTAAATTGATATAATTGTTAATAAAAATTATTAATTAGCTATTTTTAATACCGTCGATCATTTGACGAGTGATACACTGCTTAAGGGTAGATACTTGTATTTGTATTCTTGTGGAACTTTTTTTTTCTTCTTTAGTTTCAATTTTTTTCAATGCTAATCAGACTCACCTAATCTTATTCTTCGCGTTGATTATTATGTTACTTTCGGCAGTAAGGTTTATTTATATAATTTAATTATTATTTATCGTTATCTCATGGTTTCTTGTGGCTCTTTTTTAGGCCTGGAGAACTTTTTCTTTTGCGGAACACTTCAGCCCGTGAGGTACTGTCCACAACTACCGATTGAAGTGCATGTGCTAAGAGACGACATCCTCGTGTCCCCCCATGGTCATGTAATCACCTAGATGTGGAGCGTTAACTATATAAATCAACCGGGATCATTACTGATTGTACTGTGAGGTGGGTACAATCTTTTAAATAATCATCAGCTCCAGTGAAATTTTTTGAAGTTGAAAAAATTTGTAATTTTTTTATCCTTTTCATTGTTCTTAATTTCCGAATTATTTTCGCCCTTTGATTTTTGGTTTTACCAGAGTTCATTCAGTCATGATGGGTTTTGAGACATTAGGTAATCTTCGCAGTGCGAATACTACCTGTATGACGCAAGTTATAATTTATTGATAAGAATTAATTACTTAAATTTTTGTTCTATGATTACTTGAATGGTGAATAATTTTGATTTTGATTTTTCGATTTTTTTTCTACTTTTTACATGGCTGAAATTTTTGACGGTATTGTACTTTTCATTGTGTACTTTAACAAAGCCAGACTGTATAATATTTTATGAGATTTGTTTATTAATGATTTTTAATAATTCAGGTTTCACGATAGGTGGTGGACTCTATATAAAAATTCGCATAAAAATTGCGTTAGTTACATAATATATCACAATTTTCAAAAATCTATATCTTATTGTTAGATTTAATTCCTTTCGATAAATACCATCTCCCTTATACACAGTGGAGTTCCGTGGCATTTTCATTGTCTTCTGAAATTATTTATGCGATATCTTTATTTCAAAATCATAATTATTATCTGTATATAATTGATTAGTCGGTTCATTACATATTTTTCTACATCATAAAGTCCTTTCTGCTACTAATCAGCATGATCTAGTGTCATATGCACTCGGCCTATTTCATTAACATTTCTCTGAAGCACTTAGCCTATCTTCCGAACAGCACATTCACATTCATCGATTGACGACACCGATAACCATTTACAATCCGAATAAAGCGACATCAATGCTACCATCGAATTTTCGATAAAACTCACATGAATTTCTTAGGAGAGAATCAATGAATGAAGTAAGTTTAATCAAAGATCGATTAGTGCACCATCTGTGATTAATCTGTTCATTTGATCTAATTTCAGTCGATGCGTTTGTACAGTATCACCCTGTATAATTCTCACAAACGTCAATAGTCCACCTTCATATACAACGACACCGGCCAATATCGAAACAATATATAAAATATAATTCCTGTAATCCAAATTTTCTGCATTATTAAAAAAAAAACTCAATATGATTCAAAATCTATATAGATCTTAATTCATTATCTTTCCGCTATTACCATTGGTAAATAACAACCATATAGAAGCTTCATCAAGCTTTACTCAGTCGATAACAACGAGCTTTAACCAACGGTAGATTCCTTACCGACCAAGGCTTTCCTTGTACAGACATTGCCATAAGATTTTCCAGGACTCCAATTTCCAGTAGTAGGTTTCTAAGTTACAAAAACGTGTTACCTTAAAATTCCAGAAGCCCGAATGAGTTTTTGAGACATTCCATCAGGAGGAGCTTGCTGTCCCTATAACCTCGTACAAAAGCTGCATCATAAATAAGATAGTAGAAATTCGAAAAATCAAGCAAATCCATAACTCTAACGTACAACTGAACTCTAAAACTGTCTAAAACATACATAAGTAAAGCTCAAAGATTCGAAACAAGCTTTGGAATCGTTTAGAAGCTTTCGAACAAGGTCTCATCCAATATTGACAATTAATTATACGCCACGGGTTTGAATAATTAACGCGCACAGAATCGAATGGTAGGATAGGGGGTTGTAGGGTGCCGAAGTAAACGTTAGACGTATAATGAGAAAAATAGTATGTAAGCAAGTCTGGACCAATGAGGATTAACCAGCAGATACACGTAAAAATCGTTAAAACGCGTACAATTGAATTTACTGTTTCCAGTGGGCGAACGAGAGCGTGTAAAGAGTCGAATGAGAGAGTAAAAAGAATATATAAGAGTGAGAGAGAGAGAGAGAGAGAGAGAGGGAGAGAAAATAAAGTAGATAAAAGATACCATTGGAAAATATCCCATCTCACGTATGTCCCCCCATACATAATGAAAGAGCATGATGTCTGAGTAGTCTATGGCCAAAGTAGCTACGGGGCTATCGGCGTTGGGTTTGGACGAACTCAGTGGGAGTTGTATTAATGTTGCATCCCTCTTCTACCCTGGCAGACATCAGCTATCCTCTCAGGGCCACTCGGCAATTGCTCTAATGCACCCTCAGTGCCGTAGATGGCCAAAGAGCCATCCCAGCATCCAAAACGATCCTTAACCCGCTAGCTACTGGACTGGCTTGGTTCGAATTAAAAGCTTTTCCTTTCGATTTTCTCCCTCTCTCTCGCTCTCATGTACTCACCAAATTTTTCGTCTCTCTCGCACTCGTAACTCTCAGCTTGACTTTCAGCATCACTCATTCTCATACATTATACCCTCCAAAGCCTACCATCCTGAGGTATTATATACTTAATCGTAGATTTCCCGACGTTCCGTGCCCTTGATTCGAATTGTTAACGCAAAATAAACTCCAGGCAGCCAAGAGTCGAGCGGCTCGCGTCACGTCCACTCGTGCGCCGTTCTCGCGTCGAGTCCGTTTAAATCCGCACAGTCCAGTTTTGAGTGGCGCAATCCGACGGATGGATGTACGGCCAGGGATTATCCCGAGTAATCCCTTGTTAAAAAGCGATGAGAGGAACTTAAGTTGGAACGGCCATTAGCGACTCATATGCAGTATAATTCGCATCTATGAGCAGCAATAGCTTTGTGTATTTCTTGTCGAGCCTTTTAAATAATAACTACAAATTTTTATACTTTCAGATTATCTCCTGCGAACGGTGCACTCCTAATGCTTGGGTGGAACGTGAGGCGAGAGGACATGGTCCAGGCAACCTGTGCCTCGATAAAAGTCCTGGATAGAGAAGTGTTTAGGTTGTTGAGCTTTTTTATTACCGGCGCAGGACATCAGTGCTGGATCGTAACGTGTTGTGTATGCAGGTAAATTTGCGTATGACATTGTGCATATGCACGCGTGAAGAGTCATAGGTGGATGAATTGGATTATAAGGCATCTCGAGTGTCACCAGATGTCATCCGGGGTTCAATGAGATATTCGATTGTCATATAGAAGTAAATGGTAGAATTTTGAATTTATGGATACTTGATAAACATGATGTATGTGGACTTGCGTGCCTTTGGTATTAATTTACTCTAGATTGTATTTATGTCCTTTATCAAATTCGGGCTTAATGGTCTAGGGTTTTTTTTTTTAAATTTTATCCACTGTATTGTACCAGTGGATACTTATCGGAGAATCTGGTGTATGAGAACCCGAAGGCTGATCGTACGAGCAGATACACGTGTGAAATGCTGGGGCTGCTTGTAAATAATTAATCGCTCACGCGAGACAGGCCAGGACATGAGCAAATGTGACGACTGATTGGAAATCAGCCTTTTGTTGTATATTGAGAATTGTTGAAAACGTTGTACGTGAATTGAGGAGATATATTGATTGTATATGAAATTCTACTGTCGGGTGATTTTTTGATAGGCCTAGGTATGACTTTTTTTGGCGGATTCTCGCACGGTGTTTCGGAGCTTGTTATCCGATTTCTTGAAAGTTTCAGGAGCTGTAGATCACGAGGTAGATCGTTTCCGGTGATTTCCTCGATAAAAGTAACCGTCAGGGGCAGAATCTTTAGATTTCGTCATTTTCTTAGACTCTCGTCCACGCTGGTAATCTTTTCATAAAAGTATTGGCAAAGTTAGGAAACGATTTTTATTTTATTTTTTTAAGGTTAAACGTTACGAAAGATTTATGTTATCAGTTCGTTAAGAATTGCATAGATTAATGTTGCTATAGGACTTTCCACGAAATTATTCTTTCATCCTATTTTTCCAATTCACTTTTATCAGATTGCTTTACGTTGAATTTTGTTATATTTAATTTTGTTTCACGAATTTTCCTGGTCATATAAATTACATATGAACACGTATAAATACTGTTGAAAACGTATTTAATTAATTAATAATATTTGCTATATTCTTACCGAGATACATTTCGATTTTTCTCATCTATAAACACTGTTATTATATCTTATAATCAAAAGTTCATGGTTCTTCGTATTTTTACTAGTTTCTCCCGTCTTTCATTATCCATAATGATTCAGCCCTTGCTTTTAGGATTTGCAAGGAGTTACGTACCGCGACGTGGAGTCTCTGTAGTCTCAATGATTTTTGGCCTGCAAGCTACAGTTACGTTTACGAGCTCTCTATGCTATTCCTGTAGGAAATAAGGATATAAAAAGTGCGAGTACGGTAACGAGGTAATCCTGTGCAGCAAACGAATGACGTACCTTTATATTCATGGGTTTTTTTTTATCGTCGGTCCTTCAATCAAGATCTAATAGCGTTACGAAACTTCCCGTAAGGATATTGAATTTTTGTTGTTTTCGTGGAATCAGCTGAAACGATAATGACATTATAATAATACATTGACAGATAAAATATATTATTATTTCTGAAAAATCTTACGTGTCTTTTAACTGTTACCATTATTATATTCTTATTCTGAAATTATTAGCGATTTGACTTTGAAGTTTGATGCTTGATTCCAGCGACAATTTAAAAACAAAGTTGGTGATCGCTATGCAACATAGATGGCACTGGTAAATTCAAGATGGCGGACGTAAGTAGGTGGCGGTTGACAGTTGCTCGACGCACATATCGTTGAAGTTGTTATTTGTTAATTGTTTTTAAGTGATTTATTTAAAGCGCGGTGTAATACTTTGTGATGGCCAATTGTGCACAGTGGCATAGAAAAATCAGGTATTTATTTGTATTTTCACTCGTATGCAACTAAACGTGAAAATTAAACTTCGTTTGTGGCGATTATTTAATTTCATGTACGTATAATGATGTTGTTTCGCAGTTGCAATGTATTATGTCCTTCAAATATTTGCTCATGCAGTTTTTACTTTTCAATAATACGAAACACACGACCTGTGCTTCAAGATCCGCGGTGAGATTGGTCGTGCTTTGTGTAATCGTACAACGTGAAATTTTCCAAATTCTATTTCACGTCAAAGGCTAAAAACATTACGCATTCTGTGTTTGCACTACAGAAGTTTTCTTTCTCTTCTTTTTTAAAGCATTTCTCTATTTTTCGTTGCAACAGAATCGTTCATTACTTGAGAATTTGTATTATTTCAAAATCAAGTACTTTTCACGAATTTGAATTTGTATATGCTTAAACTATTGGAAAATAACTTAATACCACACTCGCATTAATCCCATGCCGTGTAATCCTATAGCATACAATTTTTTGTTAAAAGAATTTTTCATTATTCTAAAATATTATTAAAACCGTGTGTAATCCAAAAAATATATATTTCATAAGCGTCGTGAAATTACACATATTTTAAAATGAGTTATACTCTTCGTGTTTGCGTTTCTCCTTTATTCATATGTTAATACATACATATGTCATTATAAGCGTCACCTTCAGTCACATTATTTATTACCTACATACCGAGTATTTATTAAAAAAGGAAAAAAAAATTATTCAGAGCCATAAAACAAATTTTATTATTTACCAGAGCCCTATTGCGCCAGCGTTGCATAAATGATTAAAATGTTGTTTCATATCTTTACATAGGGATGCTGATTAATAATCTATTTGTCTCGGAATCAATGTTTTTGCCTGTAATTCTCCTAGACTACAGATGAATTCAAATCCTACGAAATCAAAATATCGTCGCGGAGTCTATTATAAGTTATTACTTCATTTACGATTATGCAATACTACAGCTGCGTGCTACAGCTGACCGGATAGAAGAAACGCGCGAAGACGCTCACGGAAAGTACGTAGCGAGGTAGTGACGCGCAGATCAGTGGGTAGTGAGTTCAAAAATAAGGCACCTGAGATGTGAAACCTCAGAGAGAGAGAGAGAGAGAGAGACAGAGAGACACACAGAGACACGACTCTATACATTATATATAATGTACGCTGGAATATACATATATCACGCGGCATAACTGGCCGCCCATTATTATCATGAGATGCATCCCCTTAGGCTGCATCATAGTCTCTAGTAACACGATAGTAATTACTGGCCGGGCATAATTAGTGGGGGGATAATTAAAACGGCACAAAAGATGAACGATATCGCCTGTCGCTTGTTAGTAGACAGTTTTAGTCGATTATATTCCTTTTGCCAGCGAGCAACAAACAACGATTCTCTCGGGTGTACAATGTCTAACAGCGGAGACATTTGCGTCCTTGGAGTTACCCAAGTACCTCCTGAAGGACCGGGGTTAGATTATGTGAGAATTTTATCGTTCACGCCGAGTGTATTAGCGCAGAATTTGTATAGGCCGGAGACACGCAATGCATATGGGAACTTTTAACACACGCCATAGACACACACACGTGTATATCTATACGTAGATTAGATTGAGTGTCCAATAGCTCGCTGACGCATCGTAGAGGGATTGGATAGAAAGTAAAGGAGATAAAAAAAAAGGGAAAACATTTGGATTTCCAGAGTGGGAGTATTGGGGCGGTG